GAAAAAATCTTTGATGGCAACACTTTAAATACAAACGTACGAAAGCCCAGAAAGCTCATTCCAAATTCTAGATTCCAAATTCCAAATTCCAGATTCCAAATTCCAAATTCGCTGCTGTAGCAAAAAAAAAAAATGCCAGTCCTAGGATACCGAGTAGCAGAGTAGCTCACTGCAGAGGAACTTTGCCCCAAACTGTTCACATCTGCCGAAGCAAACCCGAACAGGAATATTGTTATTATACTCTAACTGGTTGGGGGGGGGGGGGGGGGGGGTAGATGGCCGAATGGTTAGCACGTGCGTGCTGTATCATACGGCCTGTCATTGAGTCAATTGGCGTGGTTTCGAATCCCAGGTTGTACGTGACAAGGAGTAGGGTGGCCTGTCCGAACTCGTGGGTTTTCTCCGGGTCCTCCGGTTTCCTCCCCCTGCTAAAGACCCCTACGCGCAAGCGAATTATTGAAATAAAATTAAAACCATATGTTAGTCCCGAAATGACCTAGTTTGTGTCGAGTGGACGTTAAACTCCGTTTCTCTCTCTCTCTCTCTCTCTCTCTCTCTCTCTCTCTCTCTCTCTCTAACTGATTAGTCAAAAGGAAAAACCTTATCATGTATCTGGAACTGGAATTTGGTATCTGGAATCTGGAATCCGGAATTTGGAATTTGGAATCTGGAATTTGGAATTTGGAATCTAGTAATTTGGAAACGGGTATTTATCCGGCCCAGATAGGTAAACTAGAAGTAATTAGTTGTGTAAAATTACAATTTATATAAATTCTAATTTGTTTAATTGAGGGGGGCTGCCAATTTGCTTTTTTATCGGTAAGACATGAATTTGGAATTTGGAATGAGCCTTCTGGGCTTTCGTACAAACGTTCTAAATGGACGCTTTCAGCCACCACAGAATCAGTATAAATACACGAACTTTAATAAATGATTCATAACAAAATACAACACAAGGTATATATGGATGTAACTACTTCTCTATTATTTAATAACGACGTTTCGTAACACATACAGGTCACGTGTTCAAGTTAATGATAAATATCCATTATAGTCAGCCTATTTATACATATTAAAGCTTACACCAGCTTAATTACAAAAACCAAAAGAAACCAGAAGAAAAATTAAATTCGAGCTAGCTTTACTAAATTTAGATATGTATAAATAGGCTGAATAGATGGATATTTATCATTAACTTGAAAACGTGACCTGTATGTGTTACGAAACGTCGTTATTAAATAATAGAGAAGTAGTTACATCCATATATACCTTGTGTTGTGTTTTGTTATGAATAGTTAACCGTGTTTCTAGATGTCATTTAAAGATTTAATAAATGAGTTGTCCTTGGATTTATCTATTGATAGTGCATCAATTCTAGAGTTATCACTAGTATGTACTTCCTCTGTTTATTATCATGTATTGTTTAAGGCGGAAATTTTAAATAATCCATTTAAATGAACAAAAACAATCAATAGCAATATCATGCTAAAGTATTTTATCCTAAAGTTTGTTTGTTTGTTTGGGGTTTTTCCATTGGCGAATACAAAAGCTTGAACATACTGTTCCCAGCGTGAGCTTCTCATAATCCTAACAATAAATCATTGAAGAGATTACTCTTCTTAGACGAAACATATTCATTTTCAAACTAGGTTGAATAACCAGGTTATTTCTTTAATTCCATATTATTAGACAGAAATATTCGTCAAAATATTGATTATTCTTCGTTTCAAAAGAGTATATGCATAAACTGGCATCTTTTAAAAGAAAGATGGTGGTCAATAAAAATAAAGTACCATGAAATTAAAAGCAGTCATAATTGATGCAGTCACATATGAGTATCTAATCAGATTATATAGACAGTTGAAAAACCTAGAGGATATAATAATAATCGGCTTCCACTGAAAGGTTCCGCCATAAAGATTATGGATAGATATTAGCTTTCTTATAGGCTATAAGATTGTGAATATACGTGAACTTTGGACTACAGACGAGTTATTTGCCCCTGAATTTCATAATCACATTTACGAACATGAAGTAATTAACTATAAACTGAGAGACCGCGGAGTCCCTGGTGTGTTTTCCCGTTACAATTTCGGGTAGCACAATTTTTCTCAAATATCCAGGTTTATTTGACTAATAAGGCTTATGATAATCATAATGAATAATATAGATATATTCAAACAAGATTATTATGTATATAAATAGTATTTAATATACATCATTATCTAAATAAAGTACGATTTATTAATAACCAAGTCCAAAGTTCTAACAGTTGCTGGATGTCCGGTCGTCTGATTCAATTCATTCGGATAACATGGGTGTATTGTTTTGGGGGTTTATAATAAATTTCTCACCCAAAATGAACTCTAGCAACGGTTAATTTTAATAAACCATGTATGTAGTAAATATGCTGTGTATGAATAAATTATTTCTTATAGTTACAAATATTTTCATCCACGAAGTTCAGGGCATTGTTTAGATTAGAGGCACATATGGGGACTATAGCCTCTATCGATGTAACTATATTTGAGCTATTTACGTCCGATTATTTATACGGTCTTTTCTTAACTCGACCTTACGAATGGCATACTTATTAATATGGCTCAAATTAAAACTTGTGTTTTGTTTTTACTATGTGTACAAGTAGTGCAATGTCTGAGAAAGAACATTTTATTTCTGGTGTCAGATGATATGCGACCAGAAATAGGGGCATACCTTGGCCCGGATTTTCCCTCACCAGTACATCCAACTATTCACACACCGAACCTAGATGCTTTGGCTTCTAAAAGTCTTCTGTTGAAGAGAGCGTACGTTCAGCAAGCCATTTGTTCTCCAAGTCGTACATCTTTACTAACTGGACGTAGGCCGGACACAACCCACGTGTACGATCTCGTTCATTATTTCAGACATGTGGGTGGCAATTACACAACTATTCCCCAGTTTTTCAAGAACAATGGTTACAGAAGTATTGGGATGGGAAAGATATTTCATCATGGTAAAGCATCAGGACAAGATGATCCGATCTCCTGGTCCGAGCCATACTACCATGCACCGGATGAAAAATATAGATCTAATGTAGTTACGTGGAGAGCAGTATCTAAAGCAGAATATGACATACGTCCACTACCAGATATGCAATTAACGGATTATGCGATTAAATCGTTACGACGTGTGGCTCGTGCTGCTAAAAGTGGAAAACAAAACTTCTTTATAGCTCTTGGTTTTCATAAGCCCCACCTACCATTTGTTTTTCCTGACAAATATCTCGATCTTTATCCAAAAGATAACGTACGCCTTCCAGATAACCCTTACGCCCCAGTTAATATGCCAGAAATAGCATGGATCAATTACATGACGGAGGAAATGGCCAACTATCATGACGTCAAAGAAATAAACCCCTCAGGAGACATTAATACCACCCTTCCTGATTATTTTGTTCGTAATTTACGAAGAGCTTATTACAGTGCTGTATCGTACATAGATGATCTCGTGGGGAAGGTGCTAAATGAATTAGATATGTTGGGGTTATCAAATAATACGGTTGTTTCATTTTGGGGCGATCACGGTTGGCAGCTTGGGGAGCATGGTGAATGGTCTAAACATACCAATTTTGAAGATGCTACCCATGCCCCAATGATGGTACACGTTCCAGGGATAACAGATAAAGGGATAATAACAGAGAGGCTTGTGGATTTTGTGGACCTTTTTCCTACTCTTGTAGAAGTCGCTGGTTTTCATCCACTATCGCTATGTCCAGTTGATTCAACTAAAGTAGCCCTGTGTAGGGAGGGGACTAGCTTTGTGCCGCTTATGAAAGATCCTAAGCGCGAATGGAAATCGGGGGCATTTTCGCAATATCCTCGAATGAATTACACGGTGATGGGGTACACGGTGCGTACTAACATGTACAGATATACCGAATGGCCCGAGTTTATTGGGGAACCGGAATATAAACCAAACTGGAAGAAGCTGTATGGTGTAGAACTTTATGATCATTCTAATGATCCAGAGGAAAATTATAATCGTGCTAACGATCCTAGTTATAGTAGTTTAAAACAAAAACTGAGTGCTAAATTGAGACGAGGTTGGCGGTATAGTCAACCAAAAGAAACCATAAGTCTTAGCATCAAAGGTTCTTGTTCTCTATATCCCTAATTCATTATAAGTGTATTATCACTGGTAAGCTGATACCTTTCTTTGACTTATGAACCTAGACCTTTTAGTAATGGCAATTTCTGACATTAAATGACATAAGTGATCATTATTCTAAAGTAATGTTTAGTATGTATAGAAACTGGTTAGAAATTATACAGTTGCCAATAATTAGCAAGGGTGTAACTAGCTGTAAAAAATGTTACTAGTGTAGAAGAGTGACTATTTATAACTCATCAATATTGAATACACAAACCTGGACAATAGTGGTGTATATCATTTAATGGTCACGGTTTTAACACCTTACCTACTTAATGGCTTCTGCTTGATTACTAGCAATTTTAAATAAACATTATGTGTTTTAAATGACGTCTTTGATCTACTACTGTCGTATAGATTCATTTACAAAAGTTATTTGTTGCTTGGTCAACGATATCAACTTTACGGTGTATACATATTTAGTCTTCACATAATAGATTTCTAAATTGCAGTTTCACTCGTATATTAAACCACAGATCACATAATCTGTATTTATCAAAGGTGGAGTTTATATTTAGTTCCCACCCAAGAACTACAGAATTGACGCAAATCTAGACATAGATATTACAAGATTTAAAATTTATTATGGGGTATGCGAAATATATCTATATTGTATTGTGTTGAATGGAAAGTAAGTATAAATACAATCTTTTCTCGGTTATGCTTGGCTAGACTTTAGAAGCTGCCTACTACTCAAACTCCTGCCCAGTATAGTGTGCGAAAAAAGGTGCAAAACCTCGTATGTCTTTCCAGAGACACGGCGAAAATGCGATTCCTATATTACATACTGTGGAGACTACAGTAGTAAATACATGTATAACAACAATTTATTAGAAAAATAATAACAAACTGTACAAACTATATAATAATATAACTACTTCCTTATATGACTTAAACAACAGAGAGAAATGTGCTGGAATCAGCGTGTATTTGGTCGCCGGGGACGGAACTCGTTGACAGATCATAAATCCAATTAAATTCCGGGACAGTCATCGTAATACCATTTAGTTGACACATTCAGCAGACAAAACAAATTATTACCGAAATAAGGAATTTGGAAATTACGTTCATGCATCAATTACGTTCAAGAAAACTTTATGTTCATTTGTGATTCTCGTTATGCTTGTTATAAACCTTCATCGATTTATTTTAAAGGCATGTCAAACTTTAAAACTACATACACGCATGCACGCCAAGATCGTCTCTAGAAAATTCTCTATAAAGCTCTACGAGTTAATTTGGCAGGAAAACAATACTTTTTTATTTTCCGTTTCGATGTGGCACGTTTGAATTTGAATGATGTGGCACAGACTTGGATCTATTAAGTGGACCTTTCTTTTTGCGTGCAGTCTGGTTGTGTATATTTAAAGATTTGGGCTGCACGGGTACTGATTGGCGCCTGGAAGGACCAGCTTCAGGCGATATCCTTGGGGCGCTTAAATTTCTCACCGATTCTACTGTAAAGATATCAATATTTCTTTGTTCATTTGCTTGTTCTGAGTTTACATGGGTGCTGTTCCCAGCACTGGGCATGTTGACTTGAAAAAGACGAGCTATTGCCCGGGGGTCCCTTGTTTCTGGGTGTATTGTGGTTTCTGGGGGAACATGTGGTGACCCTTGCTGATTCTCAATATCATCAACAGGTAAGCTTTCGTTGAATAAATCTGGTTCTGGTGGTAGTTCGGTTATATGCTGGGGAGCATCATAAGGAGGTGGTGGTGATGATACTTCTATATATCTGGGTGTACTGCCCGGGGGTGGCAGATGTGTTCTATTAAAGGAAACTAGACCTATAGGCACTGCTAGGGAATTGTTTGTAGGAACAGCATGTTGATGATTATCGGTCTGTGTTGGCTGTTCCGGTATTGATTCCTGTTGGAAATAGGAAGGAGGGGGCGAAGATACTTGAATATATCTCGGGGCGCTATTTGGTGTTGGTGCACGAGGTCGATGCGGTGTGGCTGGGGGTAGTGGTGTCCATCTTGACTGTGAAGGTCGTCTAATGATGCTTGCTTCTGGTATTTCTGTGTAAGATGGAGGTGGATCATGTTGTTTATATGGCGGGGGTTTTATAGGTTGAGCCGGATTTCGGTGGTAAAATCTGTCATGTGCACCTGAAATGTGTCAGATTGAAAAAATATATTGCTATATCCCATTGATAAACTCCCCTTATTAGGTATACATGAAGCTATACCTGAATAAAACATAAGCAGCATTAAAAGACATTTGGGTAAATAGCTTCTATACACTCCTAATTGGAAATACACTGGTAACAATTTTACGGAATACAATTAGTGTTTATTACTGAACGACGTTTTAATAAGGGTCTTAAACAGAAATGTTATTCCTTATAATTTTGATCTGACTATTCCCTGTTCAGTTAGTAAATGTCATTGAAACAATTTACTCTAACTGGACTTTGTTTTTCTTCTTTACTTTAACAGAAGAAACAAACAACAAATTTGACAACTGTCCTCCAAGTTACATGTCGTGTGAGTTAATATGAGTATCGTATACCACATATGATTTGGATGAAAGTGTTTTCAAACTCAGACTTTAATACAACATTTTCCCTTTCCAGGGAAGCTAAACACTAAAAACATACTTTAACTTACCAAGAAAAGATAACTCGGAACCAGAATTTAATCTTGATGATCTGTTAATTTTATGTTTAATACAGCAATATAATAAAGTACATATAATTGTGACAAACGCTACACATGCGAAGAAAATACCAACTATCATATCACCCCTGTTAAAAAAAGAAAACAATAATTTATAGAAAAACAATGAAGTTTAAACAAAGACCTACAGGTTAAAAATAACGCGAAGCTTGAAACTGTTTGTGGGGTTTGACAACCCTGTTGTTGATTGCCTATGTTGGGCAGTGATGTATTTACAGTGGTGGAGCATTGGACTATCAGATTTTGATTTTTACAAAACACAGCTGACTAAATCAACTAGACCGTTTTTGGGATATTTAAAAAGGAATGCTACCCTCACCCCAAACCAGTTTAAGTAATCTTAACATTATGTAACCCCACCACTACCATAGGCCACTGATAAATGGTACCGGGTAATTAAAAATGGGTAATAAAAACGCCCGACAAACCTGTGGTCCGCGCCCTACGGATGGTTATTTTCCATTTTTTGTCTTGTGTGCGATATTATTTTAAAATGAGCGTCGTCTCATAATTACTTTGGTAGTTTTTATAATAAGGCATGCTTCGATTCCTTTAGCTGGTAATTGAGCTTAACTGTGATTACTACACAGGATCAAATGTACAGTACACGGATCAGTGATCATGATAATCTGTGATCAGGAATTCGCAGATAAGAGAATAATTGTCTAAACGTCGTGCTATGCATATAAACCAGTGATTGTATTGCTATGCATATAAACCAGTGATTGTATTTCCATATAAACTGTGTTGTGTTTTTTTTCTCTCTTTTAAGGAGTGTACGCCTCCAGTATAGCAAAGTGACAGTTGGAATTCGAAATATCAGTAGGTCATAGCTCCGCTGTCCGGGCAAAATTTCCCCATAACACACTGCATTAGCCGAGACATTTAATTCACATTGTATTTCATTTTATTGCTTTTTATATAGGAGCCGCTGTGGGTCAGTTAGTAAGACTCTGGGTCTGTTTCTCGGGCGTTTCCGACGCGGTTTCCCTTGTCAGTAGTGCTGGACGGAGGGCAGCTGTATATAGTCGTTCGGATGGTACGAAAACCGGGGTCCCGTGTACACAATTTCGTGCACGTAAAAGAACCTTTGCCAGTTGGAATTTGATTTAAAAAAAAGTAAGCTGTAGAGCCGCAGTCGGGGCAAAATTTCTCTCATGACACACTGTATGGCATGACGTATGCCCGTCGTTATTAGTCCAGTCGTTGCAGAAAAGTAGGATTTTAAACCCCATTTCATTTCATGCTTTTACTTTTATATATATCTTCCTCTTTATGAAATTGATCACATGAAATTATGAATATCAATGTGGGGTCGCCAAAGCGCCTATGTCCCCGTGCGCTAAGGCCCATGTGCGCTGACCTAATGGTCAGTTAAAATATGTGATAGAACTGGTTAACCCGTTCCAAATTTAACACAGAGATCATTGCTACGATAAATGCGTAATGAAGGTTTCAACAAATGGAAGTGACGAATGCATTACAAGTTATATTTATAGCACGGCTTTCATGAGTTAACAGGTTTAAACATCGAGGCCGTAAACCAGCAAAAGAGTGCAATAACATTGAACATGTCTAGTTATTGCACGGTTAAGTTCCACCCAATCTACTAGAGGGAAAACAATCTGTTTATTCAACGAAAAGAACAAAGGAAGATTTCCCGTCCATGTTACAATGTTTTTATTAAGTATAGAATGAATAAAAACAAGGGAATGTACGGACTATTTCTATTTTTGTCGTGTTCTCTTATCTAGTGACATTCAGTTACTTTTTTGAATTGTCAGATATCCTCTCACAGTCTCAAATAACAACTTTTGGTCTTCCAAGGAATTATTAGTGAGCAGAAATTCGCCCGTGTATCTGTTATCACTCGTCAATTCAGTCAGTTATATAGAAGGATAACTCGTGTTTTCCTTTTACGTTCGTCACTTCCTTTTGTTGAAACCTTAATTACGCATCTATGGTAGCAATGATCTCTGTGTTAAAATTATATCTGGAACGTGTTTAACGAGTTCTATCACATATTATGTGATAATGACTGACACCAATAGTGTCTTAAGTTTAAGTATACATAGCTAGTTTGGTGCATGGCGTATGCCCATTTTCATTATTCATTGCATAACCAGTTTGTAAACGGGGATGTTCAGTTGACACTGAACCAGTGAGTGGAAGTAAATTACTATATAACTAACTTACGAAACACAACATCTTGTATCGTAACCCTGACCGCAGCATGTTGAACTACATCGTATTTGATAGGTATGATGTCCTGGATATCCCGGAACTGATACAGTGCAATATTCTCCATAACAACCTTAACAAAAAAATGATATAGGTTAACTTCGTGCTTTAGACTCAAGTATAAAGCTTTTTAACAACGTCCTTCCATGCACCCCCCCCCCCTCCATTTCAGTAGTGCAGGCCCGGAGGAGGGAGGGGGTCAGACAAGGGACAGTATCTAGTTGATGTGCACGTAAAAGAATTCAATTGCTGTCCGTACATTGTATGTCGTATGCCCCTTTTCATTGCCCCGGCTGGTGCAGAAAATTAGGATGGTAAACCATATTTCATTCATTCATTCCTTCCATGCACGTTTACAACAAAATAAAACAAGTTGTTTTAGAAAGGACCAAACATACGATGATACGCTAGGTATCTAGAAGGTGGAGAAATAGTAACGTAAATGGGGAGATAGGTCGAATCAGTGGAGAGGCATTATGTGGATATAATGTCCACCAATCACAAACTAGGCCATTTCCGTACTGACATAAGTGTGTATCTTAATCTTTATTTCAATTATTTGTTTGTGCACATGGGTATTTAGCAGTGGGAGAAAATTGGAACCCGGAAAAACCGCGAGATTAGGCAGGCGACCTTACTCCTTGTCACGTACACAGCAGGGAGTCGAAACCACGAAACTTGACTTAATGACGGGACCTTATAAACCATAGTGCACTCTTGACACCATAAAATTGTTTTTGTTACGGAATTTCATTGTGTTATATTCTGTGTTTGACTATCTCTTCAGTGAATATTGTAACGCACTGTTCATATTTAGCCCACGCCGACAATATACAGTTAGTAGTTGCATGCATTGTCTATTATCAATTATTCAGAGAAAGCAATTACACAAAAGTTATCTCTGAACCAAGTGCCATTATTGTCCTATTACGTCTCATACATCAAGAGGGGGTTTGATTTTTTATCCGCTTTATACATGGACGTCGGGAGATTATTTAACCTAATCTCCGTGATCAATACTTGTTAGCTCTATTTGTCTAGCCTTCTGGGGGTTTTTTAAACCCATATTACATGTATAATTATTCATATTAATCCATATTAATCATTTGAAATTTCATTTAAATAGTATATTTAACATTAGATATATTCCCTTTTTGGATTTTTAAAACATTAGCGATGTAAACATTTTAAATAATTTACATATGGAGTAAATATAAATAGTAAACCTTTTATGTATTCTGCCTATAATACTATGCAAACATGAAGATGGGTGGCTCTACGTTAAACAAGATAAAAATATATAAACACACACCAAAAGGTGTTATAATTCATAGCATTATACCTGAATGTGACTTTTTGTCCTTTTAACTGATATCGATCGAAATGTATTGGCCACTTAATTTTCTCGTACAGTGCTATTTAAACTCATTTAACTGGCCCATATCGAGCAAGTATACGGATTTCCGTTTACTCATAGAATTCGACGAAGTATGATATGGCATTAAAGCGATGAAAGGCATTTGATAAAATAATAAATAAACCAAAGTCATTCAAACAAAGCTTGTTTAAACGTGAATTCAAAAAAAGAAAAATGATATTAATATATAAAATATTCTTTATATTCCTTACTTACCTATGATACATATGAATATAACAAAACTGGCCAGGTGTATTTCCATCGCAAGTCCTAAATTTCAAAATGGATTCATTTTGATAAGATTGTTGTATATAGAAATATATCAGGGTAAAAAGTTTAGTTGGATATCGGCCAAAGTATTTTACCTATACTAGCGGTCTATTGATTGGGTTTTACTGTTATACGCCATATAGTACCTGTATTGTTATACTGTTTTTGTCGGGGTTGTGTGTGTACGACCTTTTGTTAACAACCTTATAATGCCGGTAGATTTTTCATCGCAAGTTAAGCGAGAGATTATGTACAGTATGAAATATATATGTATATTGTCCATTGCTTTGTGATTCTTGACAACAGAGACTATATAGACGTGTTACATAAAGCTAGAGTCGTAAATAGAAGACATTGTTCTATCAAAATGACGAAGGATGTTTTCGGTAGTCATTTTTTTTTAAACACAAAACGACACATTTAACACGTCTAAAGATTACCAATTTTAAGGAAAATATCCTTTAATAAAAACAATTCTTAAGATATATATAGTTATGTTAAAAGGGATTTAAAAATATGTACAATAGATAAAATTATTCTTTTATTGAAAGGAAGATCATTTTCAGCTGAAGAAAAAAACTCACGGGGTTAATTGAGTTCCATTACTTTATAGAATAGTTTTCTTTATGTAATTGTTAATTGCACATTGGATGAGGTCAAAAGCAGTGTTAGGGAAAGTATTTATGACGTAATCATATAATTATCCACTAATAATGTAGACAGAACAAACTAATTATTAAAAAATTAATTTATTATTTATTTTCCAAAGTTTCAACTTTATTATTAATTATTTACCAAAGTGTAATCTTTTTTCTAATCTGAACATCAGATTAGAGCAAATTCCTAACTTCTGGCCAGTATGATGTGACCGGGGTGGTCCTGCAGATGTCCGCGGATTGGATAAACTTAAAAGACTAACATATCAATTCGTACATTCTTCGGGTTAACCTCGTCTTCCACCAAGGATGATATCGCAGATAATGTACATCCATGTATCAAATGGAATTATTTCTAATTACGTGTTTAGATCAAGTGTTGACATAAACAAGCATTGATGTGGGCCTAATAATTTACAGTATAAGAAATAAAACAATGGTTATTAATAGATTAATCATATATGATTGACATTTTCATGCTATATTGACAGTCACTTTATATCTGTAATACTTATAAACAATAATGGATTATAATGAATTAACGTGTCGCCATCAGCATTATATAACATTATTTCATACTTGGCTTGTCACCTTATAAGAACACATCAGGGGCGGACCCAGGAATTTCTGCAGAAGGGGGTTTGCCAGGTTCTTGTTAAGGAAATTTGACTGGTGACAATGCATGATGCCACCATCGTCTCCAAATTACGTAGGCATACAAACACATTGAGTTTTTTTAATGAGCGAAATCCAACACCCCGTTTGACGTCAATTTTTATTATGAATTACAACGATCACATTGTGATTCATTTTCACTGATGCAAATCATTATGTCTATGTCATTATCTCGCGCTTTGAATATCCCATCCCACCATCTGATAATAGGGGATAAAGTACACAACCATGACACTTTTCTCATAAAAATTATTGTTTAGCAATTTTTTTCTTATGTAGTTGAACTGTGTTGGGGGTGGGGGGTGGACCCCACACCCTCTTGATCCACCCCTGCACACAAGATTAATGATTTGAAATAATAAAGGATTCAAGTTGAATACTTTCACTTTTAAAGCCTGAAATATTACAAATATAAATTGTAACTATAACCCTTACTGTTCTTATAGTGAACATGGAATGGGTTTTAGCGTCCTGTTTTCTGAATCAACCGGGATAATGAACACGGCCATCCATGCAGTGTGCCATGAGGGAAATTTAACTCGAACAGCAGCGCTTCCGTCGAGTCTTCGTCGAATTCCAACTTACTCTCAAGAGTGCTTTACGTGCATGGCAATGTATATACGGGGCCTTGTTTTTTGGACAAGGCGCTGTTTTGTCGGGTCCTGCACCACTCACAAGTGGAACCGGGGTCGAACCATTTCTGGTTATAGAGCCAGCGCCACCGTGACTCAACAGGGCCTGCATTTATTCGTAATGCAGTCCCGTCTTCATTAGCTCATAGTCGGTGCAGAACACAGGGACGATAAACCCCATTTCATTTCATTTCTTAATGCAGTTCAGTTTGAGAAGATTTTAATAAAATTGATAGATTCATTGCGATTTCTGTGTTTTTTTTAGTGTGTGCGTTTGTTACAGACCGTCAAGGATACTTTAGTCATTTCTTTTCAGACTTACGTTATAACCATAGTTATAGATTTGCATCCGAATTCCCAAACATCCAATTCAATCAAACTGTTGCAGCTGTACATTCACTAAAATGTCGCACAAAGCAGAGTGCCTCCAGACAAAATGCTTTAATTTGGGGTATTCGATAAAAGAAAAGTAAAATTAGTGTTTTATAAGATTTCGGGCACTTTATTTTGCCAAATAGACGATTTTATGCCAAGCCGTGTGGCGTCAGACAAAATGTTTTAATCCGTACTCAAATACAATACAAATCCGCGGTAATTCAGTTAAAGAAAAGTGAAATTAGAGTTTTATTAGATTTCGGGCACTTTATTTAGCCAACTAGACGATATTATGCCAAGCAGTGTGGCTTCAGACAAAATGTTTTAATCCATAGTCAGTTCAGTACAATTTTTTTTCCTGCTAACACGAAAGAAAAAGTTGCACAAAAAAAAAACAACAACAACAATGACAATCCCTAATGATATTTATTTCTCTAAAAGATCATGTATTATATAAGTCGGATAAATTTTATCAAAGGGAGATAATATTATAGGTGGCGCATTGATTTGTTTCCTCACGTGAAAGTTACAAAGCAAAACAACATGGAGAGAAGGAAGCTCTTTAAGTCGAAATTCCATTTTATGTTTGGATTATTGGTCTGTTCCATTACTTCACAAGTGCATTCTTTGGATCATGTAGAGAACTTTGAAATAACGCATAATGACTTTGTAGCAGACGACGCAAGCACATTACTTGGCCATGAATCGCACCTGAGATTTCGACGAGAAGCCACATCGACAGATCCAAAATGCACACAACAAGAAACAATTTTTCTAAGTGAATTATTTGATAGTACAAAAAACGTAAATGGAACTAAGCTTGAACAAAAGGTGTGAATTATTTTGTATATTTGAGCAGACGCAGAAACGTATTTATAATATGATTTTACTGACATGATGATTAGTCATTAGTCATTATAAGTGTCAACGAGAATTTCCACAAAATTTAGTTTTACTTTTTGCTATTTTTAGTTTTGTTATGATTTAGGCCAAATGGTAATGTTGTGATTGTCAGTCAAGCATAATTTCGAATTGGCGGAATTGCTATCTAGTGACATTTCTACTAGTCCCAGAAACAGATGAGGTTTGAATGTGATCAAAATCCATACTAGAATTTAGTATGTCGTTTCGGTCCCGTATCATTTTGGTCTTAAGATAAGACATTTCGGACTCAAGAAAATATGGCCTTGACGTTTCGGACACGGCTGGTGACATTTCGGACTCAGGTTGATGATATTTTGGATGCGCGTAGATGACGTTTCAGACTCTGGAATAAGTTGAAAGGAAAGGTTGAACACAACTGTCAAATCAATTTATACTAAGCCAAAAACTTGCAGGTAAAAATTTACCGGTTGCCATCAAGTACAGCATATGGAATCATGGATCACCAATAACAGCAAAATTTCCAAATGTTGAATGTTTATGAAAAGAATGTTTTATTTCTATAGTGATCGAGGGTATTTCTAAGTACCAAGTCCCCCTTGGTGTTCCAAGGCATCCTCAATAATAACAATGTTACCTATTTGAAGTCTAAAGCATAATTTGAGCTGCAGCTACGGCAAAACAGCAATATATAGGTTAAATCCCACTGGTAGCACGGGACTCTGTGGATAGGTGGAAGTAGTCCCGGTTATCCTGACGGACACCTGTATTATACAGGGCAAAATCACAATTCTTCTTTGTATCTGTAATGTAATAATAAAAAAATAGCTGAGGAATTTATAAGAAAAAGATACTGGTAGTCCAATTCAAAACACGAAAGAAAATATTAACATGGAACACATGGTTATAAAAGGGCCTCACCAAACAATAAAACATTAGGTGCACTTACGGTTCTTTATCATCGTTTCCAGTAAAAGTAATATATATGCTTTTAAAAAAGAATCATATGCTGTTGAATTTATTTCTTTGGTGGATGAGGAAAAACGTGAGTTGTTAATCATTGATAATGGCAGCTGTGTGTTAAATGCAATTATTCCATTTCACGTAAAACACATTTAGGCTTTCACAATTATAAAAATATGAGCAGTGATCGGTCAGTCAAGCTCGTTTACCGGTTGAGAAAAAAGGAAGTATTAGGCCTACCAATCGGATTAAAATACAGATCCTATTTCGTTTTGTTTTTTATAATTCAAAGTTTCGTTTTATTTGTCTGTACCTCACTAGGGTCTGGAAGAGTTGTTATATAACCTGTGTTCTGGATGGCGTGAGGGTTAGCCATTGAAACCATCTGTTATGACGACTTCTTGGCGTGCGATGTCTGACGTCATAGGGTCAAAAGCCGTTCGTAAAACCTCTAACAAAACCTTATACTACAACCGGTCAGGCCATTGAAAGTATAAAAAATGAAACGAAATATAGATCTGTATTTTAATCAGATTGAAGTATTACTAAATACACACAAATTTTCAACAATATTTTATTCTCAAGATCAATACCCACCGATGAAACAATCTTTTATTAGCGGTCTCAACAATCACCAATGAATTTTATAAAACAAAAGACAACTATCAGTCTCATATAAAACAAACCCCGAAAAAACAGCTGTTACTAATAGTAATATATATCACAGTCTATTAATTATTCATTCGAGTCTGTAACTGAATCCGAAATGTCACTAGACCGAATTCAAAAAGTCGTCAAGTAAGTCTGACCCGTCGTCGTCCAAAAGGTCGTCTGTGTTGAGTCCAAACCGTCGTCAAACTGAGTCCAAAAGGTCGTCTGTGTTTGAGTCCGAAATGAAGCTGGACAGAAATGTGCTACCGTATGTAGACCCATTAATATTGCTCTGTTAACACTTTGATACTTTCCTCTCCATTTCCAGACCCAATGCCAGTTGACAGTACAATGTATTTAGTGATTTACCCGCATACTGGACCATACCTTTAAACCATGCTTTCAAAAGCTGCATGTATCCCACTTTCAGTTGTTGGGCTTAACCTTCATGACAAAGTTTTTGGTTAAGTCAAGGTTTTAATTTGTCGCCCACCTTTCAGAGAAAAATAGGGACTATTGACATTATAATAGAAGCGTCGATCTGTCAGTCCAAATCACCTTTTTACTAAACACAAAATCAATTTAGATCTTGGTTTTATATTGAGTAAAAGAACAAATTAGGAAACAATAATGTTGCTTCAATAGATGTGGGTGTTTATTAGATGAATGATGAACAATTTTGGTGTAGTCTAATCAAAGATATTTAAAGCAATTTGATTTGTCGATGCTGAGGGACACGTTAAGTTTTCCTTTAATTAAAGATACATTATGGGAGATTAGATAACGAGTTGGCAGTTCTCACTATAATAGTTAAAAACTAGATAATGTAACCGAGAAATGAGCGATCGAAAATTCTGCATAGCCTCGGTTATCATTACTGAAGTCGGTAAGACAAAAATCATAGTCTCGATTATCCGTTAAATCGAGAAAAAAAGTTATGCAGCAAATCGGAGCATAATCCATTATAGATCGCAGGCTAGCATTGCCATCAAGAGTTGATTATGGTCTGGATACGTTAATTAATGTCTAATTAATAGTATAACATTTCAGGCCTAAAGAAAGACCTACAATAGGCAGATTTAGCTCTTGCATAATGTATGTTTAACTGGGATTGATGAAAAACCTGGTGTATAGTTTCAAACTCAGAGTACTGGTATAGGTTTAAACTCAGAGTATACCTTGACATAAAGCAATGGTCAGAGTTTTTTGCTTAGTAAAGGCTAAATAGATGTAGCGATTAGCAATTTGATTTGTCAAGACTTTAGGACACAAAACTCTGCTTTTAATTGAGATAAAATGTTCAAACTTGATGTACGGAATGTCTATTAGATTTAACTGAATGTCTTGACTGATTTCCATGACTAACATTTTCCGCTATGGGTAAACAGAGATCTATAATTATAAATCTATTGGAAATCAGGAAAGTACATGGAGAATCAGGACACAAGGTCGATTGGCATCTATTTGCTATATTTTTTTGAATGGTTCCTTTTTCCAAATTTTGCTTTTGTTTTCATTAATTTTTATTATTTTTCAGTTTTCTTTTGTTAATGAAACCAATTTGAAATTAGCCCTAGCATGGGCAGGTACAAATGATGATGGGGTAAGTGAAATGTTTATAATAATAAACTGTGGTTTTATTTTGGAGAATTAATGAAAAGTTATTAAACCTTTTTTGACTCATTTTATAAAACAATCATTCTTCAAGTATCGTGGAGCAATTGTAAATTTTAAGTTACAAATATTTTAAATAGGTTTCACCGAACCAAGCCCATGCATCAGATATGTTGCTTTTTATACACCAACATTGATATGTGGTCGTATATTGTTGTCTAGAGGCTAATGTTAAAGGAGCTAAGTCGCTAATATTTGGGACCTAGAAATTGACACAAATGGGTCGCAACGCATACAATAATGTAATATGAATGTATATAAATTGATTTACATTCAATCGTTTCTGTTTTTACTGTAATTTCTAATCAGTTCTAAAGGTTCGGCGAAATACTCCAGTATTCTCAATCGAATTTCAATCTCTAGCGTCTGGTTATTCCAGTATACACCGATAGTATTTATTGGGCATGCTCTCCAGATAAGATTAAGAATAAAGCATCACTGTTTGACATGACTTGTGGAATATGCCTAGCCTCGTTTTTCGAGTCCCTTATTTCAAATAGTGCTGAAACGCATTATGGTACACGATTCGTGTACCAATTGTAAAATGTTTATTTTGTCTTAAATATTGGATATCAGAAGGCCCTCTTTTCCCGGTAATATCGCAACATCAATGTTGATTTAAACCACCAAATAAATCGTGTTTTCAGTGTCAAGATTTTGGATGATATTGAGTTAGAAACTTAGCTACTTTAATATACACAGTGTTTATGGACCTCAATCACTTTCAAATATCTTGTGGATGCTCTAGAGGCTAAAGTTAATATCCAATTGACTTTAATTTTATACACAGTGTTTATAGTCATGTGACGAAGAAGTCGATTGATTTTCAGCCATTTCCGATAATTAATACCAGAGTTAACGTTATGGCCCTTAAAGACTTTAAAATATCTTGTGGACCCTCTAGAGGCTAAAGTTAATATCTGATTGACTTTAAATTTATACACAGTGTTTAAGGTCATGAGACACAGAAGGCTATTGATTTACAGCTATTTTCGATACCGGTAGTTACTGCCAAAGTTATGGCCCTTGATCTCTTTGAAATATCTTGTTGACGCTCTTAAGGCTAAAGTAAATATCCAATTGACTTTAAATTTATTCACAGTGTTTAAGGTCATGAAACGCAGAAGCCCATTGATTTTCAAAGATTTCCAATACCTGTAATTACTGTCAGAGTTATGCCCTTGACCTCTGAAAAATTTTGTAGAAGTTTTTGAAGCTAAAGTTAAAATCTGATTGACTTTAAACTTATACACAGTGTTTTAACTGTCAAGAGACAAAGAATCCTATTCATTTTCAAAGATTTCCGATAATTACTGCCAGAGTTATTCAGTTAAGGCCCTTGATCACTTTGAAAAATCTTGTGGACGCTCTAGAGGCTAAAGTTATAAATTGTTTAAGGTCTTGAGACAAGCAATCGAAACAAATTCTAATGTTTTCTGATAATTACTTCATGGGTTATTACCTGTTATCAGATTTTCATGTGTTGTAAATATGTTCTCATTATTGACAAAAGAAAAAAAATATGCGACAACACTTGTTAACTGCCCAGTTGACTTAGCTGCTGTGGGCACATGTTTTGTTTCCTGGCAACCTATCTTTGTTTTAGCTTATTCTCTATCCATCTCTTGCAAAATGTTGGCGTATCTTGCCTGGCAACCGCTTGGTTAAATAATGCAAGGAATTATGTCAACATACATGTAACATGTATCTTTTCCATAAGTAAAACACAATCCCAAATGTCAATGTTACCTGCCACTGGTAAATTTCACCAGGTAGATTTCCGCCGTTCTCCATGAGTAGTTGTAGCTTTCCGGCAATACACAATCCGTGACGTCATTTTAGTCCTTCTGCTCATATTCTAGTCCTTCTGCTCATATTCTAGTCTAGATATTTCTATAAGCAGAAGGGCTAAAATGACGTCACGGCTTGTGTATTGGCGGAAAGTAAGACTACTCTCGCAGAACGGCGGAAATCGCTAACGTTGAAATTTACATAGCTCCTTTAACTACACAACCAACCATGTCTATTTTATGTGGTTGAAAAATACTAATTTCCTATGTTACATGTAATACATTTGTATCTATAGATGTTCGTGTAAGTTGCTGTTGCAAGTTGCAATGAATAACTTTCTAAACTTATCATTTTGAATTCTGTGTATATTGTGATACACTAGGTAATTGATTGATATTTTATTGCTCCATAATATTACATTTTGATATAAAAAGATAATACTATTAAAATAATCTATCAACATTCCGTGAAATATTTCACTCAGATTTTTATACATACGGTGACAATAGTTTTCATTGATTCTATTTAAATTAGTGAAAAATCAATTTTAATTCAGGAAATTAGGTCACGTTTAAAGCATTTACAATAAAATTAAATGTACTAATAGTTATATTTTAATCTAATTCTTATTTAACAGAATTTGATTATACATAATAAACATCAGCCATTCAGTTTATGAATAAGTCCAACACACAAACATCTATTTTGATATGTGGTATGCATAATGTAAGCACTTTCTAACAGGTGTTATTGACAAAGACTATAAATAAATCATAGCAACAAGTTATTACTTTTAATAGTTACCTAACTTTTTAGAAGAAATAAATATTGTTACTATTAAATCTTCATTTAATATAGAATTGACTTGATAATATATGTATTCAGTTGTGAGACTATTGTTGATCAGTGAAAAAGAAATGTAATGTTTAATGGCTGACTGAAAGAATAAAACAAATAATCTTTTAGAGAAAAAAAATGATGTCATAACAATACTCTATGTTAACTATTAAAATAGATACCTTCTGATTGTTTCTCACAAAATAACCTAGATAAAGAGCTTAACTCCATTTCATTATATATATATATTATACAAGGATTATTTCTAGAAATATAATTCAAGAAAAATGTTATTATTATTAAATTAAATAACTTATTTGAGATATTGAATTGATATGATTGTGAATATTTCAGGTGTTGATAGCTGTTACAACTGAAGATAGTTTTGTTAATAAAGCATCTAATCTATGGAGAAGGTAAATAGAACACACCTCAATAAAATATATTGGTTTTAATCAGAGCAGAAAGCTCAAAAGAACAAAGATTAAAGATATCTTTGTTTGAGCCTAATTAGGTCATAGTTAAGTGTTAAGAATTAAAGACTTGAATGGCATAATTTACACACCACCATCCTCTGTTTGTCCATTTGTTTATCAATGTGAGTTGTTGCTCATTGCATGGTAACTACATACTCATAAAGTTATATTAGAGCCAGCATGATCACCAACTACTTCCAAACTACAATATTGTGAAAGCATCCTATGCAGAAAATATAAAAATAGACAGAACTACCTGTAAGTGTTGGCTGATATCTAAGCAGGGAGATTATCTACTAGTACTGGGTGTAATTGGCTGTGTTTTAAATTAAAGGGGAAGACGAGCGATTTTCAACAAGGTTTCTATATCTTAAATATATATAGATAAATAATCCCATCTGTAGCACAAGCAAAAACGTTTTTGTAAGAGAGAAATTAATTTTTATTAAACCGGAAGTGACATAGTTGGTTCAACACGCTCAATGGTCTCTATAGTAAGCATACAGATTTGGCATAAGTTTACAGCTGTATTGTGGTCACGCTCGACCTTTGGCCAAAAGTCTGATCAAATGGGTTGTTTATTAGGATATTATAAACATGAATATATGTTTGTTTTAACGTTTAGTACACAAAGCCGTCGCAGAAATTCACTCATACTGAACTGTACGCTGTGCCTCAATTCACGCCACATGGCTAATTGTTTACATCACATGGTTTGATTGACAGCTTGCAAGTGAGAGATGTTCCGTCTGCTTGAATGTTTTTGTGAGTGCTGAGTCTGCTGACAGTGTTTTTATTTATTTCAACGGACTTGTGGCACATATATATTCAAATAAATATATAAATTTCCAAAGAATGTCAACATCAAACACCAGCGTATTGGAATATAAAATATCTCTTTTATTGGGTCTACAGTAACATTCGACGCTAGCCATTCTCAAGAGGAAATGGAAGGAAAAATGAAAAGCCGTTCACGTCGACATTATGTGCCAAAATGCACTATATTATATGTCTTACATGCCCGTAATTTTGACCTGTTTATGTTGAAAAAAGCTGCCAGCAAGCACAAAAACATCGAAGCAGACGAAATACATGTCACTGGCAAGTTGTCAATCAAACCATGTGATGTAAACAATTAGCCATGTGGCGTGAATTGAGGCACAGAGGACTGTTCAGTATGATTGAATTTACGCGACAGCTTAGTGTACTAAACGTTAAAAAAACATATATTCGTGTCTATAATATCCAAATAAACAGCCCATTTCATCACATTTTTGGCCAAAGGACGACGCGTGACCACAATACAGCTGTAAACTTATGCCAAATCTGTATGCTTACTATAGAGACCATTGAGCGTGTTGAACCAACTATGTCACTTCCGGTTTAATAAAAATTAATTTCTCGCTTACAAAAACGTTTTTGCTTGTGTTACAGATGGGATTATTTATCAATATATATTTAAGATTTATGGAAACCTTGTTGAAAATCCTTGGTCTTCCCCTTTAAGGGTTAGATAATCAGTTCAATACATTTTACCATGAATTAAGTAAGTTGCGGAGAATTAGACATCCATAAAAAGCCAATGACAGTCAGTGGCTTTAATGATTGAATTATTTGAAATATGCAAACAATTTTTCACAGATATATTGATTTAAGCAGCAGATATATTTTTCTTGGTGGGTAGTTTGAGATGTATTTGACTCAATGAGTATCTAATTAGGCTCGTAAATTTTGTGGAATTATATGTTTTTAAAGAAGCGTGATAACAATTATGAGTGTATTTAACTTTACAAAGACTGTACAATGCATGACCTTACACATTTTGAATACAAAGATGATTTTCTTTTTTTAATTGTAGTGGAAATTTTGGTCGAAATTGGACTAAACAGAATGATCTTATACAACATGCTGTCATACGCCAAGATGATGGTGTCCAGAGAAATCCTCATAATCCTAAAAAGGTAAATAAGGAATAAGCAGATGAATACTTTGCTTTCTACCTTAAAAGTTTACAAAGCAATAAATAGCCTAAGATTAGGCTGCGGTTAATTAACTGTTTGTTTCTCATGTCCGTTTTCATCCGTAATAATTACACACTTCCATAATTTTTGGGTCAAATTTAGTGAAGTTAAAAATTTGTCCTGTAAAACTATATTTGTTTGTCTTTAAATATGAAGAATTAATTGACTTATTAAAATCCACTATTAATATTTATTGATGAACATGTGTCATGGCACCGTAGGTGATAAGTAAAGTACATGTAGGCTACAATGTGCAAAAATATACAGAGTTCATCTGTAAAACAGGAAGTGTTGAAGCCGTATGGTCGCTACAACATTCACCAAAGACCTGTTACGTAATTAAAAACAAAGACAGATATATATGTCTTTTAAATTGTTTTATGTACCTGACTAGCACTCTGGTACTATCTTCCTTCATAGCTAGAGAAACGAACATGACATGTAATAAATTCTTATAACTGACATGTTAAATAATCAAACTTATTTTGTATTTAAAAATTCAAGGGTATGCTTTTAATTATTTATGTCAGAACAAATCATCAACCCATTTGGAACAGGTCAGTTTGGAACAGGTAATTTCGTAACCTGTTAAAGGAAAGATGAAGAAATGATATGCCAAGAATGAATGAACTAAAGAAGGTTAACTTAGGAAGCATATCACTAATAATTTAAACTTATTTATCATGATGTCAAAGTCTTCCGATCTATAAATATTTATTAAACATACATTATGCAAGAGCTAAATATGCCTATTGCAGGTCTTTCTTGAGGCCTGAAATGGTATATAAACTATTAATTAGACATTTATTACCATGAAAAGACCTTAATCAACCTTCGATGCAGAGATAGGATTTCAAAACATTTCTTGTCCGACATTTTTACCGAAAATAAAGGGACATAACTCTTATCGTTATTTAAGCAAGCAGTTTTAGACCACATACAAAAATCACGTGTCGACAACATATTCAATTTCATACATAATAAAGAAAATAGGTGCACCTCGTTATTTTTATTTATTATTTATTATTATATCACCGTTAAACCCTAAGGACGGTTGAGTTCGAATTTCGTGAAAATCGGCCCAAAACTGACAGACAAAATTTCCGCTGTTTGTTCTCAAATAGCGTAAAATATGGTATATCAAGGTTGTGGACCCTATAGAGGTCACAATTTTTATCCGATTTTGTTGAAACTTGAAATGTTAGTTTATAACACAAAGATCTTGGTTCCTTTCGATATTCGCGCATATCGGATCCTAAATTCATGAATAATGGCCCCTGATTGTACGCAAAAATGCGTTTTTTGGCTTGTGGACCCTATAGAGGTCATAATATTTATCCGATTTAAAAAACTGTGTTAATATATCACCGTTACACCCTAAGGACGGCTGAGTTCGAATTTCGTGAAAATCGGCCCAAAACTGACAGACAAAATGGCCGCCGTTCGTTCTCAAGTAGCGTAAAAATATGGTATATCAAGGTTGTGGACCCTATAGAGGTTACAATTTTTATCCGGTTTTGTTGAAACTTGAAATGTAAGTTTATAACCCAAAGATCTTGGTTCCTTTCGATATTTGCGCATATCGGACCGTAACTTCCTGAATTATGGCCCCTGATTGTACGAAAAATCGCGTTTTTAGCTTGTGGACCCTATAGAGGTCATAATTTTTATCCGATTTAAAAAAATGTATTATTATATCACTGTTACACCCTAAAGACGACTGAGTTCAAATTTCGTGAAAATCGGCCCAAAACTGACAGACAAAATGGCCGCCCCTCGTTCTCAAATTGCGTAAAAATATGGTATATCAAGGTTGTTGACCCTATAGAGGTCACAATTTTTATTCGATTTTGTTGAAACTTGAAATGTAAGTTTATAACTCAAAGATCTTGGTTCCTTTCGATATTTGCGCATATCGAATTGTAATTTCCTGAATTATGGCCCTTGATTGTAGGAAAAATCACTTTCGTTTTAGCTTGTTTTCTATCCATCTCTCGAAAATGTGGGTGTATCCTGCCTGGCAGCCGCTGGTTCATATTTAATTCTCTTGCGGTATTCAAATTTATGACAGTATATATTTGTGTTGAGTGGTAGATATACACTCAGTACCCTATATTAATTTTGCAATTTTGAATATTATTCACCATGTCTTGATGTCCAATTGGGCATATTCCTGGTTGGACAATTTAGGAAAATAGTATCAGATATGTCCGAAATATACAGGCGAAATCCCATCACTGCCTCGATGCCATCTTATGTATCAGATTTTCACTGGATTTAAATCCAATCTGCTGCTAAATGCTTATTGATAATTAAATCCAAAAATGGATAATCTAGACTACATGTATGTTTTTTATCGCACCGACTTTAGTAATGATGATCGCAGCTAGGCTTAAAATTCAGTCGCTAATAATAGCGTGGAGCAAATTTTCAGCTTATTCCCTTTACATTATTTAGTTTTTAACTATTATGGTGAGAACTGCCAGCTCTTCATCTAATCTTCCATTATGCCCCTTTAAATGTAAATAAATCGTGGACACTGGTTACCGTTGGGTTTTCAATGACCAAGTAACTGACATTGGTTATTGCTGTAATAGAAACAGCATTAAACTGAAGAAAAAAATTAAATTTCATCCCAATAATTAATAATTACCTCATGTAGCATGTGTATTTTACAAACTCAGGTCATAAGAAATAAACAATTAATTAACCGCGGCCTTAAAGTTTTAATCAAATTTGTAAAATATAAAATGGTATATCATGTATCAAACTAAGCATTACATTTTAAGACGTATTCATAAGATGAAATCTTTATTGAATTGCACATAACTAAATAAAAATAAACAAATTTGAAAATACTGTTCACATGCCAGTGAATTTTTCTACAAACTTTGTTTTATTTCAGATCTATCTCCTCACCTACCACAATTATGTTTTACTCACAGACGATGGTGGACTAACATGGAAAAAAAAAATCATTACCATGGACGACGAAATCCCACAGGCTCTAATCTTTCACTCTTCATCTGACAAAGAAGATTACGTCATGGCTATTTCAGGTCAACATAAAGTTAGTAATTTCACAAGTAAATAAGTAGTATTTGAGGAATTGTTGGGTTTTTTTTTTTTCAATTTGATTACTGGTATGTAGAATTATTACTAAAGAAGTCAGTAAATTCATGATTTCTTTGACAGTCAGTCAAATAACGTGTCAAATGAATTTTATTGTATTTTGTGTGAAAAGTTCTAATAAATTCTGATGATCTGTAAACTCCAACAGTCAGTTCCCAATGTTTGTGAGTTTTACATTAATTTTGTGCACTATGCAATGTTCTTGGGTTTTAATTATTACACAAATATAATTTTCAGCTTTACGTAACAACCGATAATTGGAAATCACCTGTAACTGGTAATGATGGAGAAAACATTCATACTGCTGTTTGGTAGGTGACATCTTTTAATCCTTTCTTTCTTTTATCCTTTAATATGTGTTGGAATTATGCCATATGGCTGATATTTTGTTAGAAATTCTAGTGAAGGAATAATTAGTGACAACTGTTGAAAATACTGCTAAATTCATATAGACCTAAGGCTTTAAACATACATTATGCAAGAGCTAAATCTGTCTATTACAGGTCTTTCTTGAGGCCTGAAATGGTATATAAACTATTAATTAGACATTTATTACCTTGAAAAGACCTTAATCAACCTTCGATGCAGAGATAGGATTTCAAAACATTTCTTGTCAGACATTTTTACCGAAAATAAAGGGACATAACTCTTATCGTTATTTCTACAAGCAGTTTTAGACCACACACAAAAACCACGTGTCAACAACATATTCAAATTCATACGTAATAAAAAAATAAGTGCACCTCGTTATTTTTCATATTTAATTCTCTTGCGGTATTCAAATTTATGTCAGTATATTCCTACAAAATTACTTGTTATCATAAAACGATAGAATGTTAGTGTACCAACTACTGCCGACTATTGCTGGCACGATATATCGTTGAATCGATACCTGTATTGAATCGCGGGATGCAGAATCGATTTTTCACGATTCTTTTTTGCGTTTTCTCAAATATATTATGAACTTTAAAACTTTAAATTATACCCTAAACTTTAGGCCTGAAATGTTATCTAAATTATTAATTAGACATTAATTAACTTATCCAGACCATAATCAACTCTAGATGGCATCACTAGCCTACGATCTTAAGTGGATTATGAGCCTATTTACTGCATAACTTTCCTTCTCGATTAAATGGATAATCGAGACTATGCTGTTTATCGTACTGACTTTAGTAATGATGACCGAGGCTAGGCAGAAATTACATTCGCTTAGTTCTCGGTTCATAGTGGATCAATTTGAATGGAATTTTCAGCAAATTGCCTTTACGTTATCTAGTTTTTAATTATTATAGTGAGAACTGACAACTCATTATCGTATCTCCCATAATGTATCTTTAAATAAATGAAACAGACCCAAAGTAATAAGTCAAAGTATCTTGTTCATCGTGCGATAGAAGTTAAGGTTCTTGTTAAAAATCAATATAATGCCGATCTCATGCCATCAAGGAAAATCCCCTCTATGATTAGCAATATTGCATCAAAACATAATTGCCTGCTACTTGTCTCTGAAGACAATTCAGAAAAGGAGTGTTGTACAAGGAGAAAACCTGATTTGTTAGAGCAGACTATCCACTCTACAATGATTTCAGTGGTAGAAAATTACTTGCCTTTGTCCATATTATGAAAAATGGAGTTATCCCCCTTATGAAACCTTCACTCTTCGGTTTTATTTCCGCATCAGGTTGGCTTGATATGTAAAGGCATCTTTGAATAATATTATATCCTCAAATCTAACTCAGTAACTGATCATTGCAGTGCCATGATATCAAGGCTTTGTTAGGTTATCTGTCACACAGTCTGGCAAAGCACAATCAGAATGAACACTTGTCAGCTCTGATGAATGCATATGGTCCCCTCACTGTAGCAGTAGTTCATGAAGACAGCAGCGTGCGATACTGCAGATGTTGCTGCATAATCTGCTAATCTTGTAGAGGTGTTGTAATGCTGTTGCTGAGGCTTACAGCTTCAGGATAGTAGTGTGATGACATCCAAACCTTCGGATATTGTGTCTTCCACAGAACTGTAGGAGTTCTGCTGACCATAGCATTTTAAAAGCCACATTCTATACCCCATGTATACCATTAGATCGTGATTTTCAACATCTAATGATCTGTTATGTCATTTAGAATAGCAGGATTAAAGTGTATCTCTTAAACGAGAATCACAATCATCCATTATAAAATTAGTGAATTTCCCTTGTATCTCAGTAATGAATATGTTTTCAATTTATTTGGTTATAGGGGAACAAAAGAATCGAAACAGGATGAATTTGTATTTTGTCTAGTTAATAGTAATAAAAAAAGTGAAAGTACCTCCGTGCAAGATTTTATTAATAGACTATTAACTGGTAGGTAATTATTTTATTTTATCTGAGTATCACAGTAAGACGTTATTGAAGAAATAGTTATAAGCTACTTTGAATAATTAATGTGTGTTGTTTTTTACGTCCACATCAAATGTAGTCTTATATTATCATTACATGTTTCTGTTGGTTCATTCAGCTTTCTTCTAAACGTTCAACACACTACAGTTCTTGGGCTTAATTTGTTCAGATTCACAGGGATTGTGCATTTGTTTCTAATTAAAAATCAGTGTGAACTGTATTATTATATTTATAGATAAATATCAGACAGAGTATCAGCTGTGTAAACACAATGCCAATTCAAAGTCAATGAGTGTTATTTTGCAAAAAGTTGCTTCATTTGGAATTCAAGGAGAATTTCTTTATGCATCTGTTTTCAAGGAAGTTTTTGCCGAACAGGTAATTAATTGAAGTATTGTTTAGTGAGAAATTTTAGAGACCCTACCCTCTATAGGGCATAGATTGAAAAGATTTACCGTGCTTTTTTGCTGATGCTTTTCAGTTTGACCTTAGTATCCCTTTTCGATAGGGGTGTTGGATGGCCGAATGGTTAGCACGAGCGCGCTGTATCATAAGGCCTGTCATTGAGTCAACTGGCGTGGTTTCGAATCCCTGGTTGTACGTGACAAGGAGTGGGGTCGCCTGTCCAACCTCGTGGGTTTTCTCCGGGTCCTCCTGTTTCCTCCCACTGCTAAAGACCCCTACGCGCAAGCGAATTATTGAAATAAAATTAAACCATATGTTAGTCCCGAAATGACCTAGTTTGTATCGAGTGGAAGTTAAACCCCACTTCTCTCTCTCTCCCTTTTCGATATGAAATCTGATGATCTACATGAGTTGTACACTGCGGCGATAAATGTGTCGTGCATGCATAAATGACACATAGTACTAAGCAGATTACTTTTTCCTTTAGTAAAAGTAATAGAAAATTATTTATATTAATTTAATACTTTATTCTGTTTTTAAGAATGCTCAAAAAATTATGAAAGTGTCCACCGATGGTGGTGCAACATGGAGTGAAGCTCAGTTACCTACATTAACCGTAGACCGAGTAAGTTTTTATAGTGAGTTATTCTGTGATGCAGCAAAACAAATGTGTATAAATATTGCTACAAATATGTTCATAACAATAATAGCAAAGTGTATTCCATCTAGTATTGTTTACGTCCCAGGCCATCGATAGCAACTTGTTTCATCTTTTCATTTCACAGACCATCTCTCTCAGAACACTTGAAAGAAGGCCCTGAACTAATGAGTTCTATTAATAGAGATAAAGAATGAGTCGATTATGTTTTAAGTGAATGTTTAGTAAGATTTATAAGTAACATTTGTATCTATTTACAGTTTTATTCAGTGTTGGATATGTCAGAAAAACTTATCTTCATGCATGTTGATAATCCTGGAGGTACGTAAAATGTTAGAGTTAAGAATATAGATTATTTCTCTAAGCTGTAAATAATGTGACCAAATCATCTACATATACCAGTATATGGCTTATCCCACATATATTGAGACACAAGGAAAATGCTCCATTTTTATGAATGTACAATTGTAAATCTTGTTGAGAGATACACTTTGATCACTCAAGAGATTAAGGATCACTCAAGAGATTAATGATCACTCCAGAGATTAATGATCACTCCAGAGATCAGTGATCACTCCGGAGATCAGGTACCACTCCAGAGATCAATTCTCTCAAGCACGAAAAATTGAATTAACGTTTAATGGTTCCGGCATGGGGTATAAAATGTGGCTTTTTATATTTGATTGACTTATTGAATTAAATTACTCATTAACAGTTTTCAAAGTTACTTTGGCTAAACGAATATTGTTTATAAATTCTTTGTTTATTACAGATACTGGTCATGGTACCTTATACACATCTGCTGGAGAAGGAATCATTTATTCTGAATCACTTCAAAGACATCTTTATCCTAACTTTGGTCGTGGTGTAACAGATTTCTATAAAGTTGAGTCATTACGTGGAGTGTATCTGGCCAGTCAGATAGATAGTGATGATTCTATACATTCTATGATAACGTTTGACCGAGGTGCTATCTGGCAACCTATTAAAGCACCTGAAAATGTTGAATGTAAAGATAAATTGAAAGTAAGTATGAATTGATTACTTAGTCTGGACTTCTGTTCATAAATTAAAGGCACAGTATTAGGCAGATATAGACATTCAGTTCATGTTGGGAAGACCATAAGTTAATAAAATTGCTAAAACCTAACCTAAGTTGGGGCCTAAAAATTTATGTATATATAATGATACAAAACCATTTTTTTATATCGGAAACAAAGTAAGCTTACATATGCTTTTCTTTTGCAAATTACCTAAAAGAGAAAAAAAATATCTTTCATCTTTCTAAAAGGAAATTTCGAAAATCACTTATTACTATTTAGACCTGTATCATTTCATATTGAAATTTAAATCATAGTTCTTTTAATTTATATTTGGTAGAAATGTTTTTTGAAATTTTAATAATTAATTTATATTTGGTAGTGATGGTTTTTTTATAAAATCATAGTATTTTAATTAATTTATATTTTAATTAATTTATATTTTATAGGGATGTTTTCTACAGATTCACAATAAATACAGTGTAACTCGTGGTATTCGAGCTAAGCTACCACTTAGTGTTGCTGATGCTAAAGGTTTAATTTTAGTTCATGGTAAGTATAAATTGGGATTTGAATTACTGCAGTTTTAAATTATTTAAAGATGCATTATGTAAGGGCTAAATCTGTAACAACAGTAGCATTGACAATCAAGACTACACTGTTCATCAGACGGCCATAAATTTTTAACATATTCTCTTTTCATTATCTATTTTTGAACTATTATAGCAAGAACTGTCAGCTCTTTATCGAAATCGTACATAATGCATCTTTAAATGAATGAATTATTATTTCAGTGATTTGCAAATTTGGGGAACTCTGTTTCAACAGCCATAAAATTAATTGAATTTCTAATTACTTAGCCTAAATAGCACCAGCAAAACATATTAATAATATTCTACTGTGAGTAAAACCTAATTAGAAAATAATTCATTATGTATATCACAGTCATTTTTTTATATACCACATTGAAATGTGAATCCAAATAAATATAAAGAGAGAGGAATCCAAACACTCTCTGAAGAAGTAAGTTTTTACACTTACGAAACATTAGATTCTATTAAGATGGTTTTGTGATATCCAAACTTTGTTTTAACCACATTGAAATGTGGTCATATATGGTCGTCGCCCCTGTCTGTCTGTCCATCCGTCCGTCCAGCGTCCACAATTACTTGTGGATGCTCTAGTGCCTACAGTTAATATCCGATTGACTTTAAATTTATACACAGTGTTTAAGGTCATGAGATGAAGAAGCCTATTGATTTTCAGCGATTTCCGATGTTTGAACAGCTAATTCCATGATATTAAATGTTTCGTATACTAAGCGTTAGCATGGGGCAGAACTAAAAGCCAAACAAATTCTAATGATTTTCTGATAATTACTTAATGAGTTGTTACTCTTATCAGATTTAGTGTATTATAAATGTTTAAGTACGGACAATAGAAAAAAAATGCGACAACTCTTGATGACTGCTCGGACGACCTAGCTGCTGTGGGTGTATGTTTTGTTGCCTGGCAACTTATCTTTGACGATACTTTCAATTTTTCTATTATTATAGGTCATGTTGCAGATGCTCTTCAGACAACTGAACCAGATGTATTTTTAACTGCTGATGGTGGATATACATGGAGAAAGGTTATTTCTTTAACTCAATCAATCAATCAGATCATTTATCAGAGATGTACCATATTTTGCGTTACATTTTGCCAATGGTTTTCCAGGAATAATCAAAATCTCAAGGTTTAGACACACCATTCTACAGCCATAACATACATGGAGGAGAGAAATGGAGTTTACGATCCACTCATTACAAACTATGTCTTTTTGGGACTAATTCATAAATAATTAAAGATACATTAGTTAAGAGTTTTATAATGAGTTGGTCATTCTTGCTATAATAATTCAAAAATAGATGATAAAAAAAGAAAATGTTGAAAATTTCAGTCAAATTACTTTGTTCTGAACGGAATTGTCACTGTTGTGACATCAGTTGTGCCTGCACCATCTATGAGAATTGGCAATCGTTTGATTGACAGACGATAACTCCACCCACATATTCTCAATTACCAAGTAACATGCTCAATGGCTATGGTAGCCTCGATTGGCCTCGCTTACACAGAGTTTAAGGTCTTGAGACAAACAAGTATATTAATTTTCAATGAATTTTGATAACTTGAACAGCTAAATCCATGATATTAAAAGTTTTGAATACTAATGTTAGCATGGGCCATACAAATTCTTATGATTTTCTGATAATTACTTAATGAGTTGTTACTCTTAATCAGATTTTAGTGTATTATAAATGTTTCATTACCGACAAGAGTAAAAATATGCGACAACTCTTGATGACTGCTCGGACGACCTAGCTGCTGTGGGTGTATGTTTTGTTGCCTGGCAACCTATCTTTTATTTTTCCTTCAGGTTTTAGATGGTCCTCATCATTATCAAGTTGCTGATTCAGGTGGATTGATTGTAGCTGCATCACTTTCTACTGCAACACCAAACAAAATTAAATTTTCTACTGATGAGGGTCGTTGCTGGCATGAGTATCAATTTACAGATGAAGAAATTAACTTGACCGGTTTATTGACTGAACCTGGAGGAAAATCTTTAACTGTTTCTATTTGGGGTTATCATAAAAAAACAAGGAAATGGACCATTAACGTCATAGATTTTAAAGATGTTATTAAGAAGGATTGTAAGTATGAAATGTTTTTTGATTTAGAGCAAAATAAGATGACCAGTTTCAAGGAGGCATTCAGTCTATCACTATGTCGATACTCATCCAAAAAATGATTGTATTCATTCTACGAGGAGTTTATGCCTCTATTACCGAAACTTCGTAAGCTCTCTAGCTACAAGTCAGTCTTTTTTAGCTTTTTTTTCCTTACTTGATGTTATTATTCGCCCTAATCCCCTTAAATCCTATATAATTTAGAATCATGGAACGATTTCTCTCAGTAACTGCTCCTGTAACACTGATTTTATAGATTTTTATTTAAAGTGCTGGAATTGTTTTTCTTGACCTGTACCCTGAAAAATGCAATAGTTAAAAGTTTTATACCGCAAATATGATGTTGTTATTATAAACGCTGTGTCTTGTGTTTAGGTTCTTCAGATGATTATGTAGAGTGGAAAGCTCATGAATCCATGAGACAAAAGGAATATAAAGGTGTTGATGGTTGTTTACTAGGTAAAAAAGAAACCTTCAGGAAACTAAAACCAGATTCATGGTAAGTTTAACACTGGTCCTTTTTACTGCCATATATCATAATATTTAGGAGATGAACACCTTCTTGTTCAGTGATATTCAACCTATCACAAGATCATAAGTACCCAAGGCTTATTTTTAAGAAAACATTCAGTCATAAAAGTTTTGAGAGGGGGGTGCATTGGCCATGATAATGGCCACGATTTGAATTCTTACATTCATTACACTAGTTTTAATTGCTGAATGGTTACCAAGACTAATAATAATTAAACTTTACAGATTTTTTGGTTTTTTTTTAATAAACCAGCGGTTGCCATGCAAGATATGCCCACCTTTTGCAAGAGATAGATAGAGAACAAGCTGGAAAAGAAACATGATTTTTTGTGCAATCAGGGACCATAATCCAGAAAGTTACGGTCCGATATGCACGAATATCGATAGGAACCAAGATCTTTGGGTTATAAACATACATTTCAAGTTTCATCAAAATAGGATAAAAATTATGACCTCTTAGAGTGTCCACAAGCTAAAAAAAGTGATTTTTCGAAACAATCTGGGGCCATAATCCATGAAGTTACGGTCCGATACATGCCAGTATTGAAAGGAACTGAGATCTTTTGGAGATAAACCCACATTTCAAGTTTTGTCAAAATCTGATAAAAATTGTGACCTGTAGAGTGTCCACAAACAAATTGTGGACAGACGGACAGAGACGACAACGACAATAATGTGGGCTTTTAAAAATAATATTGTGTAAGCATATGTGTAAATATATTATTTGGTCTTTTTTTACTAGGTGTAGAAATAACTATTTTTATAAGCCAAGTACAGCCACTCAGAAATGTAAATGTACCCGTGAAGATTATGAATGGTAGGTAACAAGATATTTTTATAATTCAAGAAAATTTTGTGATCAGTGATATAATATATCCACATGATGTAGATGTGAAGCTTGACCCTTGGACGATACAAAGGATAGAGGCCATATTCTTATGTTTCTATAAAATTCTCTCATATGAAGCTATCCATCATTAAAACACACTAATTAATGCTCTGTTGATGGCTATATAAATACCGTTCTATAACACCAGTCATGAGTTGAATTATTGCCCCGATCGTGGAAACCCTAGTATCACTCTACAGACCAGAGTTTTGAACATATATTTTTCTGACTTTGTGAGATTATTTGTTTAAACATACATTATGCAAGAGCTAAATCTGCCTATTGCAGGTCTTTGTTTAGGCCTGAAATGTTATCTAAATTATTAATTAGACATTAATTAACTTATCCAGACCATAATCAACTCTCAATGTCAACGCTAGCCTGCAATATTTACTGGATTAGGATCCCATTTTCTGCTCAACTTTCATTCATGATTTAATCACGAAATGGATAATCGAGACCGTGTTTTTTTTATCGTACCGACTTTAGTAATGGTGATCGCTAAAATCTCAGTTCAGAGTGGATCAATTTGACTGAAATTTTCAGCAAATTCTCTTTACATTATCTAGTTTTTAACTATTATAGTGAGAACTGCCAGCTGTTTATCTCATCTCCCATAGTGTGTCTTTAATAGTATTAGTATAACAGTATTAGTGGGTTTTTGCCCTATCATTGAAACTTTGTAATCAAAACTAAGGTTTTTAAAACACTTTATTTCAAATTTGCTGGTATTAGTGATTAACGCAAACCTTGTATTCATTCTGTGAGTCACAGTTTTAGTCTAAACTTCTTGGGAGTTTAAATATGGTCTGTATTAAAATTCAAAAACACTCATCAATTGTTTGGGAGTTATGCAGATAACTTTAAAAACTTACAACCAAAGTAATTCTATGAGAGATTTTTTCAAACTTTCTGGTGACTATAACCTTCTCAAACAGCTTGAATCTGTAAGCTGGTTTTGTTTGTTTGTTTTGTTGTATAACAGTCTAAATAAAAGATATAGTTAAATTTCAAGTGTTGGTTTTCTTTATGATAATGAAATTTATTTGGTAATTTGTATTGTATTAAAAGTAATATGATTTACAATAGAAGAGAGTGACATTGACAATTACCTATCTTTGAGGATGGGCAAAAGATCTTACTATTTAACACAGACGAAACTGTAATATGCAGTGTTGCCTTTCACTTATCCCATTGTTGATGTTGCTTAGAAAATGGAATCCAAGAATGCAAATTAAGACTAATTACAGATTTTTTTTTAATGAAACCTTGTAAGTATAGGAATGACAATATTTATCTGTTTTCTAGTGATTATGGTTTTGAACGACCAGCTGGAAGTGATGCATGTAAAAAGAGTCCCAATATAGTAAATGATCTTTATATATGTAAACATGGTGATGAAGAAAAACTGATTACTAATGGGTAAGTACTTTTAATAATTTTTTTACTCTGTTTAAAAGTAAGCTATGTTTGTAATCAAGTATTTTTTTTTCAAATCTGAAGTCATACGTCAAATGCATCTGACAGGGTGTCCATGTGTTATGGTTCCAAATGGATAGTGCATTGTAAATTTAATGTGACAGTATAAAACTAGAGGCCCAAATGATTAATTTTGACGAAAAAATTTGTTACATTGATGAAAATAAATCATGTTACAAAATTTTTTGTTTGGTAGCTAGTATTACCTTTTTTTTTTTTTTTTAGATATCGGTTAATACCAGGTGATGTATGCACAGGTGGATTTAAACCTACAGAGAAACTAGTGGATTTGAAGAAAGATTGTGAGGAAGGAAAAAAAGTTTTAGTAGAACTGGCTGAAAAACACAAAGCTGAACCAATTATTGACACAAATAAAAGTGTAAGTAGTATATAAAATTATGTTGTCTTAAGAATAAGATACCTCTGGTTCAAATTAAAATCACGCTAATGCTCGAAGTAGCAAGTCATAACCATGGATAATTGATGTTCTGTTGTAAGGTTAAAGCTCCCAGACAGCAAAGTCAGCAACATTGAAAAAAAAAATTTATCTGTCAAAAATTGGTGTCAAATTCTGATTTCATATCTTCTCTCAAATATAATATTGATGGAACTGCCAGATTTATTTGTCCTGTGATTGTTGCAGTTAACTGGATTTTCTGTGAGCACTGTGATAGTACAATAGGATTAGCAGTATAAAGAAATTGTTGTATTATACATCAGACAAATTATGGTACTGGTATAAGAATATTACATGAAACAAAGCCAAATATGTGTGCTTTCTTTCTGTCTGCCCAACCTCATGGGTGTTCTCCAGGTCGTATGTTTTTCTCCCACAGCTATAGACCTCAACATGCAACCGAATTATTGAAATAAAATTGAACCATATGTTAGCCCCGAAATTACCTACTCTGTTGTATCTAGTGGACGCTAAACCTGATTTATATCTCTCATGTGGACGTATATTGTCATCACCTCTGTCCATCCGTCCACAATTTGTTTGTGAACACTACACAGGTCAAAATTTTTGTCCAGTTTTGACGAAACTTGAAATATAGGTTTATATCCTAAAGATCTCGGTTCCTTTCGATATTCGCGCATATTGGACCCTTACAATTATATCACCATAATGATAACAGAGTTTGAATTTTGTGAAAATCGGACCAAAATTGCGGTACAAAATGGCCACCGCTCGTACGCAAATAGTGAAAAAGTATGTAATACCAACGTTGTGGACTCTCTAGAAGTCACAATTTTGTAAAAATCGGACCCAAACTGCCAGACAAAATGGTCGGTCCTTGTACGTGATAATAGCTTTGTACCTAATGCATTCACTTTAGATCCTACTGTCTGTCATTGATGAAGGGATTTGAATGGCCGAATGGTTAACATGTGCGTTGCATCATAAGGTCTGTCATTTTGTCAAGTGATGTTTCGATTTCCAGCTAGTTTGTGACAAGGAGTAGGGTCGCCTGTCCAACCTTGCGGGTTTTCTTCGGGTCCTCTAATTTCCTCCCACTCCTAAAGATCCCTATGCACAAGCAAATTATTAAAGTAAAATTGAACCATATGTTAGTCCTGAAACGACCTGGTTTGTGTCAAGTTAAGTTAAATCCTCTCTCTCTCTCATTGTGTCAAGTGGCATGGTTTCCATCCCACTCTTCTACATGTCAGAATAGAATATTTCTTTCAGTATATAATAAGACAATAAATTTGTTATTATTTCAGGGTGCCCATCACGCTATTGTTACTATTATTATTGTAATAGTATTAGTGGTTGTTGTTACCTTATCATCTTATTTCCTTTATAAAATGTATCTGTTAAGAAAACAGTAAGTACATTTATCTATCTACTTTAAAAATAGAAATAATGCAAACACAAATTTGATAAAAATCTTCCTTTCTACTATGGTACTAGATGACTGTTTTAACCATCTGAAAATTTAAATGTAGAACATTACTGAATTGAAATGAGGGTTTTAACTCCCTGTTTTTTTGCACCAGTTGCACTAAAGAATAGCAATAAGTAAACTTGAGATATAAAAAAACAATAGCAAATTGTCATTACTTGAGGCCTAGTCACTCGGACATCACACATTACTAATACTTAACATAGAACAGACTTGTCATTTATTCTCAGTAAGCATTAAGTTCTATGTAATTGATTATTTTTTTGCAGTAAAGTAGTTTATCGTTACTCACTACTGAATCAGAGTCAGACAGATAATCAGGATTTTGATGCTAATTTGGAAGGTGTTTTAACAAATACAGATTCATTGTATAATGATACTTCAGATGAAGAGGTAATATCTCCTTACCTACATATAACATTGGTGTAGTTGTGGTTTCAGCTTGTTGCAAATATACAAATGGAAGTAACAATAGCCAGATCTCGATTCTGTTTCTCAGCATATTTCACAAAATCACTAATTTTAGAAACATGAAGTAAATCAAAAATATTAATGATTTTAAGTATTAGATTGTGATGTAAAAACAGCTAAACATCTGTTACAGATTGTAAACAAGAAGAGCAGAGATTACTTACAACTGTGAATAATGCCATTTATCTGGATGTATTTTGTGCTTTATGAACTCTTAACTGACCCACGGCAACTTTTGTCGACAAAACCAGTTAGCCGAATGCAACGTTTCTAGCGTAATGAGAGTTACTTCCCTTATGAACAGACGACTTTTTCTCGCTTATTTACTTCCTGTTAGACATTTTGACATTGAAAAATCTTACTAGTTCTTTTTGAAAAACTGTAATAAAAAAGTGATATGTCTAGGCCTATAGGACGACATTCTCCTAAAGAAGGATTACCATCCTTATTGAATGACAGTAATTCAGATTTTATCGGTGGTATAGAATTTTATAGTTTTGTTTTAGAACGTGATAGGCTAGTGTAGGCCTACTGATAAGTGATAGAAGCAAGTAGGCTTAATCAACAAATTACTTAAATAAGCTTACATTAAAAGAGATTCATGATGAATGATTTTTAGTTCACAACAGCCGAACAAAAAAAAAATAGAACATCTACATGAATTTTGCATGAAATGTCTAAATTAATTTTTGGTATAAAATTCATTATTTCATATTTACGAAAATAAATTTAGATTATTTCATCCATTTACATGTATTTACATGAATTTTGCATGAAATGTCTAAATTAATTTTTGGTATAAAATTCATTATTTCATATTTACGAAAATAAATTTAGATTATTTCATCCATTTACATGTATGGTCTATCTACAGTTGTTTTTTAATGATATGACTTTAAAATGTGTGTATATTTTAACACTTGACGATTATGACGTGGGGTTTTATGACGTTATGACGTCAAACCTCTGGGTCATTTAAGAGAGTTAATAAAATTTGTATATTTTTTATAATTTGTGTTTTAACAGCAAGATACAACAAGATCCAATGGGAATCCTTTTGAAGTAACTAAACCAAGAAGATCACAGGGAGGAATGAATGGTAGCGCACCAGTCCAAAGTTACCATGATGATTCAGATGATGTAAGAATTATTATCATAAACTAATACAATATTTATTTAATTTGAATTAAAGTTTTAAACAATAGTGATATTTTATGTATGCCTGGAGGTAGCATAAAATCTTAGAGAGCAGCCATAATTTTATATTAAATTACTTGATCTGTGATGTCTGTATATTGTGTCCTGTCCCTAGATTTGTCTTGTATGTTTGTAGTGTGTGCTGCAGTCTGCCTGGACTTACTATTAACCATTTTATTTCCTAATAGATTTTCCATTTCTATCCATATGGAACAGAAGCATGCCAGTATGTAACTAGATAGAGTATAATAAGTCCAGGAGGACCGCACCACACATAACAGTTGTTTTATTCTTACTATACAATTAAGGGGGGTTGGATGGCTGAATGGTTAGCGTGCGCACACTAATTATTGAAATAAAATTAAACCATATGTTAGTCCCGAAATGACCTAGTTGTGTCGAGTGGACGTTAAACCCCATTTCTCTCTCTTTCTCTCTCTCTACTATACAATTACAGCTCAGAAATATGTTTGTGATTGTGTGATTATGGGGTCATAATTCAAAGGCTTTCCATTAAAGTTAAATAAGATGACTAGTCATCACCATCCCGCGCCCTTGAACTTGTTTGGAAGGCATAAGAAAAACAACTTCTTGGAATATCAATGGGACTAGTCAGAAGATTCATACTCTGATCACAGTAGCTCGACGAGGCAGGGTCGCTACTCCCTGCAATGTTTGCACAACCTTTTCCTACCTCAATCAGCTGTTGTAATGTTAAACAATAAGCTTATACATCAGAAAAAAAAATACTATAATAGGTTGATGTCTGTTCAAAGTTTCAAAAAGATTTCTTGAACAGATAATGAAATATGTTCCAGAAACGAAATCGGGATGGAAGGACGGTCACCAGAAATTAAACTAATAGGTAGATGAATGTGAAAGTATTATAAAGATATCTTGAGCAGTTTCTGAGATATGCTCTAGAATTCTAATTATATACCAAAAACTAAGTTAAATGTGCAGTAAAAATTCAAAAATCATTCAACAGAGAAATTTGTTTCCATGGAAACACAAAAATTATCAAATCCGAGAAATTTCTAATTAGCAAAAGGCACAACTACTATCACAGGTTTATGTTTTTACAAAGTTTCATGAAGATATCTTGAATAGTTTATGAGATATGCTCTGGAAACAAAATTGTACACCCAAAACTAAGTCAAATTTGTTTCCATTGAAACACAAAATATATAATTCCAAGAAATTCCTAAATAGCAAAAGGCACAACTACTGTAATGGGTTGATGTTGTACAAAGTTTCAAAAAGATATTTTGAACGGTTTGAGATGCTCCGGAAACAAAATTGTACACCAAAACTAAGTTAAATTTGTTTCCATGAAAACACAAAAAATATAAATCCCAGAAGTTCCTAAATAGCAAAAGGCACAACTACTGTAATAGGGTGATGTGTGTACAAAGTTTCAAAACTATATCTTGAACTGTTTATGGGATACGCTCCAGAAACTAAATCGGGACGAACAGACCCCATTTCAATATATATAGTATAGTATAGGCATGTATTTATTGAAAGTAGGGATGAGGCAAATGTCCTAATTCTGTGACTTTGGCAGGCAGAGGGTTAATGGCTCAGTGTTACCTTTAGATAATAAGCAGCAACTGGCCCCATTATTTTGCAATCATAATATTAGAAGTCCTAATAATATTATTTTTTTTTTTTTTTTTTTTCAGGATTTACTGAACTAACCAGCTGTATCACAAGTTATCATTCCAAACAGTTAACTAACAATTTTTTTGTTACAACTTTCTTCAACATGGCTGTGATATCCACACAGTGGTCCATTTTTAATTAAATTTATCTAGAGATGGAGAGGTTTATTTAAACGAGGTTAACTAGGTTTATTTATTTAATGTTGAAAAAATAAAACATAAACATTTAATGTGCGACAAAAAATGCAAATGAGGCTGTTTTAATTTCATACATAAGAATATGGGATGATAAAGAAGAACATAAGAAAATATTATTGAAAATATTTTGTGTTATACCTTCGTAGTTGGTAGAAATAATTTATATGTCCTAATGTCATGTTAGATAAAGTTCCAAATCGTATGTTACCACTGAATCAGAACATTTTATTAAAAAAATCTCTTTATGAAAACATTAAATTGTTGCAGTGGAGAAAACTTGTTAATATATTTTTACTTATATACTTGAAATGTGTTTTGTGTATGACTATAAACTAGAACATAACAGATATTATAGTAGTGAGGATTTATAGGATTTTTTTGCTTTTGTGAGGGGAAAGTTCCTTTTATTTTTTTTTTTAATTATCGTTTTGATTTCTAAAATTTATTGCTTGAAAGCTTTCTGCAGCATTTATTAACTTTTCGCAATAAGACCAATTCCAAACAAATATTTGTTTTGCAAACCAGTGGTTTAAATTAAACTTCCTGGGCCCTTATTCACGAAAACTTAAACTAAGATACAATCAAAATTTTAAGAAATACTGCAATTCGATTGGCTGACCAGTAAAATCAATTTGCATATATCCAATGAAGTTGCAGTATTTCTTAAAATTTCGGTTGTAACTTAGTTTAAGTTTTCTAGAATAAGGGCCCTGCATGATATATGTAATGAAAACTAGAGCCGTGGTGAAGATTGACTCTCTGTACAAACCATCTGTTTTAAATAGTGGTCATACTGCTCCACTCAATAGAACCCTTTGCAACTCTTAAGTAAGAAGTCAAATAGAGGGAGAACAAATATTTGGAATTGTTCTATGGTTATTGTAGTTTGTGTTTATATGATAATTGAATTAGTATTAACTAGACCAGTGGTATATATATAAAATAATTAGAAATTTTTGGTTTTGATGATACTATTTAAATGTGTATTTAAGACTAACTGTTCACATGAAATTTTATTTTTGTATAATCGTGCATGATCTCTCATTATTATTATCATCATTCTATTCAATAGTAGTAACCTTCTCTTTTTTGCAAGTATGAGATCATTCATTTAACATTAAGTAGTATCGACAGTGGCTATTTGTATGAAAATGGGGAATATTGACAGGTAATCGACATAGATATATAGATATATATATATATATATATATATATAGTTACATGTGATATATTACATTCAAAGTTTAAAAAGTCAGAATATGGGTTACTAATTATTTGCAGATTATTTTGTTTGGTGAATGAGTTTTGGGGGTTATGACATAATATACAAGAAAAAGTCCATTCTGAAAGAAATTTAATTAATTAAATTAAATGGATGTAATTTTCAGTGGAATAAAAAATGTCTGAATATAAAGCTAGATTTATGCAAATTCAAGTTTATACATTGTATTTGTCCCTTAAACTATTGAGAAATTTTCATTTGATATATCATATTTTATTCATTGTTATTTGATTAAAACTGTCATTGACTGACAGATTGGAGATTAAACAGTGCACTTTCCTCCAGACAGGGGGGTTGGATGGCTGAATGGTTAGTGTGCGCGCGCTGTATCATAAAGTCTGTCATTGAGTCGACTGGCGTGGTTTCGAATCCGCAGTTGTATGTGGCAAGGAGTAGGGTCGCCTGTCCAACCTCGTGGGTTTTCTCCGGGTCCTCCGGTTACCTCCCACTGCTAAAGACCCCTACGCGCAAGCGAATTATGTAAATAAAATTAAACCATATGTTAGTCCCGAAATGACCTAGTTTGTGTCGAGTGGACGTTAAACCCCATTTCTCTCTCTCTCTCTTCCTCCAGACACTGAATTAGGGACAAGCCATTAAAAGATAAATGTGATAGAACAGACTGCATAATGAAAATGTCTGCAAAATCCAATTATTGATCTCTAATGTATTATATTATTTCCATGGATTAACCCTAGGTTAGAAACAGTCTGGAAATTTGATCTTCTGAGTTACTCATATACAGAATTGTTTGCAGAACTTTTTGTAGAATACCGGGGAAAAAAATAAATCTTAATATGAATATTGATCTGTTTCTGGTTGAAATAATAGTAGGACTATTCTTCACTGTAATGCATATAATTGGAATTTTTATCAGTTATATATTATTTAAAGCGGAAATTGCAAATTTTTAAGTTATATTTTTAAAATTTATTAAAATAAAGCCTGAAAATAGATGGTATCCATAAACAGTCCTACCTTGTTAAAGATACATTATGGGAGATAAGATAACGAGATGGCAGTTCTCGCTATAATAGTTAAAAACTAGATAGTGTGAAGGTAATTTGCTGAAAATTTCAGTCAAATTGATCCACTATGAGCCGATAAAGAAGCGGATGAAATTTTGGCATAGTCTCGGTCATCATTACTAAAATCATTAATTTAAACAGCTTAGTCTCGATTATCCACTTTTGTTGATTTAATTATCAACGGCCGTTAGCGGCATATAGGAATCTAATCCAGCTAACATCGAAGGCTAGCCTTGACATCGAGAGTTTATTATGGTCTGGATAAGTTAATTAATGTCTAATTGATAATTTAGATAACATTTCAGGCCTAAAGAAAGACTTGTAATAAGCAGATTTTGCTCTTGCATAATGCATGTTTAAAGAATAATCCTATAATTCACTATTGCCAGCTTAGAAATTGGCAAAAATATCATTTTCCTCTTCTTTTTTAAATGTTTGAATATCGCTACTCCATGGTGGAGAATAGAAAACAAGGGAGGTAATTGTGTTATTATTTCCTGTCTAAATGAATCTTAAGTGTGAGAATGACACCTATGATCGTATAATTGTGAGTTGACAACCTATTGAGCAAAAGAAATAGAAATAATTACGTTTTGACTTTCTTAGAAAATTTGCAATTTCCGCTTTAAGCTTGCGTCCATCAGTCAGTCCAAATTCTGGTCAAAGTTTTTAAGATTTTCAATTTTAATTTTAGTTTAGTTATTCAGTCCTAAAAGGGAAGTCTACTAAAGTTTTTCAGAGTTTCTGCCGTTGCCACTCCTACAAGTCAATAGGAATTGCATTATTATTAAGAGTTGGCCAACAATTTTATCGTTATTGCCCTGATAGCCAACCTTCAAAATGCTTCTGGTGGGCATACATGTATATTTATTGCCTGGTAATATTTTGCTATTAATTAGATCTAACACTTATTTTCAAAAGGAAACTGGATTATTTCATGTATGTTTCACATTCATCAAATTTATATATTCCCTTACCCTTGATAGGTTAAATGTTACACAAAATAGATGATAACCTTGTGATGAATACACTGGGACTTCACAATATAAAGCTCCCAAAACCGTTCATATGAGGAACATTGAGGGCAAATAGCGGACCGTAACCTCCGCCTACATTGTGAAGCCCCAGTGTACATAGAACAAACTGAGTGTAGTTATGTTAATAAACAAAATTACAATGAAAATAAGATACTTATATTTATCAGTGAACCTATAAATAAACATGACATGTTTACATTCATTTACTAATTATATTCATTTCAATATTGATCACTATTTAGATATGTAAATATTATATACTGTGAAATGTGTAAATTTGATTTGTTAATTTTAATGTACCATTATGTTTGTGAATAACAGTGTTGGGATATAGGTCCTTCTTCACTAATGTTAGATTTTCCTTTTACTAAGATGTAAGTGTTCTTTCATAAATATATAAACTATTAAAAAATATGAAAAAAGAACTATTTCGACATGCATTTAAGTTATTCGTTATTGGTCACATGCAGAAATTTTAAAGGTTTAGTGCACAGATTTCACAAGTAAGTTATTAGGTATACCTCGGGCCTGTTTCATGAAATCTTAACTAAGATAAAATCCACATTTTATTAATTTGATTGGATAATATTGGATTGATTTTAGTGTTTAGCCAATCAAAATTGAAGTATCTACTAAAATTTGGATTTTATCTTTAGTTAAAATTTCATGAAACAGGGCCCTGGTTAATAAATTTTTCATAGCCAAGTACCCAACCCTAATAATATACTATTCAAAAAAAGTAGGGGATATTTGATTTTTAAGTGTTATTAAAGTCACCTAATGAAACTGACGAAGAAACAAATGACAAAATGAAATGAAGTTCACATTCATCGATTTATTCCAAATGATCGTTAGACTAAGTAAGGCACAGACTGACCATTATAAGGGTAAAATGATACCCGGGGTCAAACAGCAAAGTTACCACAGCATCACAACCAAGTCAGTAACGGGTAAATCCTCCTCTGTTTGCCAAACAAGCATTGATCCGACGTGGCATACTCCTAATGAGACGTCTAAGGTCATTTTGGTCCAGATTGTCCCATTCCTGTTGCAACGCAGCAGCAAGTTCTTGGACATTGGCAGGACGTTGTTGACGTTGACGTAACCTCTGTCCAAGCATGTCCCAGACATGCTCGATGGGGGAGATGTCGGGACTCAGTGCTGGCCAAGGTAATGTGGTGATGTTCTGTTTTTGGAGGTAACCTGTAACGATCCTGGCCCTGTGACATCTTGCGTTGTCATCCTGTAAGATGAAACGGCGGCCATGACGTCATGCGAACGGCACAACATGGACTGCCAAGATGTTGTCCCGGTAGTACTGGCCTGTAACACGCCCTGCAACAACATGTAAAGCCGTTCTTCCAGCAACAGTGATGCCTCCCCACACCATAACAGAACCACCCCCAAATCGATCATGTCTGATGACGTTAACGTCTTGGAAGCGCTCGTTTCGACGACGCCACACCCTCCTACGTCTGTCCAAAAAATCAACAGTGAACCTTGACTCATCTGAAAACATCACATTGCTCCAGCGTCGATTATCCCAGTGTTGACGATCCCTACACCAACGACGTCTTGCCTGAATGTGATGATCTCTCAAACAAGGGATCACGCGAGGACGTCGGGCGCGAAGGTGACCCCTATGCAGTCGATTCCGAATCGTCTGGCCACTCACTCTCACACCAGTGTCTGTTTGAAGACGAGCGCTGATCTGATTTGCTGTGATGACACGATTTCTCAAGGCCAAGGTACGGATAAATCGATCCTGGGCTTGAGTTGTCGCCCTTGGTCGACCTGAGCGTGGTCTGTCCTGTACAGATTGTGTATCACGGTATCTGGACCATAGCCTGCTTATGACAGACTGAGAAACATTCATCGTCCGCGCCACAAACGCCTGTGTTGTGCCGATCTGTAGCATGCCAAGGGCACGTAACCTTTCATTTTGGGTAAGCCGACGCATATCAAAATTTGTTTTCTGGTCACTAAAACAATTAAACTGATGTTTCCACCCTGGAATTCAATGCCACAATGACTGTAACATTCAAAGTCAGAGTCGTGCAAATCTTGGGTTGGACCCCCATGATGATCCCAAGCATCACCTGCATTCCATGCGGTAGCTATTGGTGCGTTTGGGCGTCACATGTAACTGGAAATGTTTCTTCTGTTAGGTTCTATAGTGACTTTTTTCGTAGTCATTTGCATATTTTAGTATTATGCCCCCAAAATCAAATATCCCCTACTTTTTTTGAATAGTATACATCACTGGACAAATATTGTCATGGGAGAGAGAGAGAAATGGGGTTTAACGTCCACTCGACACAAACTAGGTCAGTTTGGAACTAACACATGGTTCAATTTTATTTCAATAATCCTCTTGTGCATAGGGGTCTTTAGCAGTGGAAGGAAACCAGAGAAAACCCACAAGGTTAGACAGGTGCAACCCTTCTCCTTGTCACGTACAAGTGACAGACCTTATGATACAGCGCTCACATGCTAACCATTCGGCCATCCAACGTCCCTTTCTTGTGAGGAAATGAAATGAAGTGAGGTTTAACACAAACCTGACAAATAATCGAAGACAGGCATACACCATGCAGTCTGCTATGAAAGAAATTTTGCCCGGACAACAGCATTTCGAATGGCAACAGTGATAGTAAATAATAAACAAAGATTATGTTATTTTTCATCTTTTCCTATATGTAGACTACGACCTTTCTGTAGTTTCGATACAACGGCATCATTCTGTGTGTTCAAAGATATCAGCATTTTAATTGTCCCGAGATGTCGTTATCTAAATACGTAAATAAATACAGTAACGGATGGCTAGGCTACTTTTTGGTTTTAAATATTGGTAGCTAAAATGCACAGCTCCCAAACATGAATTACTAACACAATAAATATAGCTGAAACAGGATCATTATTTGCACCTTCCAGAAAATAATACGCCCTCCCCACCCCCAAAGAATAAAAAGATAGGTTGCCAGGCAACGAAACATTTTGTCGGAAATGAAAACATTTACAACACACTAAAGTCTGATTACGAGTAACAACCTATTTGGCTTCTAGTTCTGTCCTATTGTAATATTTAGCACATTTAATATCAATTGCCATTGATCCCACTCAACACATCCATAATGAACGCAAATTTCTGTTCCAAATTATTACTGGTCAATAGTCTCATTAACAACCAATACCTTATTGCGTAACAATATCATTCGGGTTTAAACAGAGCTCCAAATTTGTTTACATAAGGTTACGTCATGACTCAAGAAATTTATTATGCCCAATTAACCAGTGCATAGCAGAATATTGCACAAAAAAAACCCCAAAAAAACTAATTGTGTGACAAACGAGGCTATCAAAAACGGCTATACCATGTAAACAATACTGTTTGGAAACGAACAATATACTTTCACCGTTTTTTAAAACCTTAAATCACTGTCATGTTGCTGTACACAGTCGATGGTGGTTTCCTGCGATACAGGACTTGACAAATATATGCATAATATAATACCAAGGTCGTGGACACTAGAGGTCACAATTTTTATACGATTTTGATGAACCTGACAATGTATGTTTATAAACGAAAGATCTCGGTTTCTTTTGATATTGGCGAATATACGACCGCCACTTCCTATATATACATTTTTATTTGGTGGACCCTTGTAAAAACCGTTTATTTTAATAGAATCTGTTATAGATACAACGGAAGTGAGATGGGGTTGAAATAGGTGGTATTGGGTAATTCGACGCGCCGCCGAGAATATCGAGTTTAGTCGGCATAATTGGGCCTGCTAATTTCATTAGCCCTGTCGGGGCAGAACAGTTCAACAGTTGGACGTTAAACCCCATTTCCTTTCTAAAATTGAAAATGCACGGAGTACCCCGTCACGTGACTTGCCGATTGGGGGAAAAAACAAGAAGCTTTCATTCAAACGTCTTGGGGAAAAAAACCACACCCAGACGTCATTCTGGAAAGGCCACTGCATTGTTAATAAATATCCATTGTACATGAGCTATATTTAGAATGGGATTTCCAAAAACAAAATCACTTGATTAGTTGATAAGAAAAGTCAACACAAGAGAAATGGCATCTAATGATCCAGTCTCTGAAAATATTACAGGTGAGCTGTTGATATATTATATATTTATATTTATTAATTTTAGGCCATATTACAGGTGAGCTGCCGATATATTATATATTTATTAATCTGAGTTTACACATTGGCCATATGGAGTCGAGTGGAATTCACATCATAATTCAAACTCTCTATTTATTATCTATAGTAATATATTCTTTCTTCAGTTTGTGTAACTTCTTACATGTACATACAATTGTACCTACTTGTCTACTAATTTAGTTATGTGACCCAGTGAGAATTTGTTCTTTTTCTTTTAATTTGTGTTAATATTTTTGATATTAAAAGCAGATATTAGTCGGTTTGTTGGGAAATATTTTGACATTTCACAAATGTTACCCTGTAAAAGCCACACAATTCTAACCTACATTATGGTTAACAGATAACACTTATTGATAATGGCCATGTAAAATGACCATTATCAGTCCTATCTAAATCTAACTCCAATTTTCCTTTTTTTAAAATCTATTTAACTGTCAATTTGTTTTTAGCATGGGAATGTCAAAAATGTACATACTTGAATAGCAAATGGCCAGAATATTGTGAACTCTGTTGGACAAAAAATAAATATTCACATAAAAAAACACCTGTAGATGAAAAAGGAGACTTTGGTAAGTTAATAAATATAAGGTTTATATATGGTACACCCTTGTTTATAATTTATTGTAGGTATATTGTTCACCAATTGTTGTCAAAATCATTGACTTTCAGAATCATCACAGTAATTGACTTATTGTTAAAGCTTGTGAACACATGACACGGTTAATTCTTGATTCATCATGATTGAAGTTTTTATAACTTGATGGGATTGTCGATTAAGCCATAAGGAGGAACCAGTACAATGCAAGACATAGGCATGTAGCACTGCCATTCATTCGGTTTACATTTTTTGGCAAGTATATAATAGTTAAAAGAATTTAACTTTTGTTTTTGAAAATTCATTACCGGTTAAGTTAATTAGTTAACTTACTTTATAGGAAAATTATGTTGTTTCATTTACTAGTTTTAGGTCGAACTTTGTATTTGAAATCAATTCATTTATAACTGATTTGTATGTTTACTTCATAATTGACAGTAAATATGAAATGTTTGGGGGGAAATTGGATATTATAAAACAGAGTGAGAACGACCATAGTCCTGACTTACTTTTCTTCCTCTGCATGACACACTGAACTAAAGCTGCTATAATATTAATCGGTAGTTAATATTTGTAAATTTTAATAATGAATTCCATTACCAGTACACGGTTGACATTTTTTGAAAAATGGATCAACTTGCCCCATTTGGATTCCACCACCACACAACTACATGTACCGGTACTAAGCTGCCACTCCCCAATTTTACTGCTTACCTTTTGAATTTGGAACGTGATAGTCTACAGCACCAGAATCTAAGAAATTCTATAGAATTTAGTTCAAAAATCAAAATGTATTGCGTTGAACATTTATATACAGCGAAATGTTATCTATGGAATTTTGTGATTCTTGGTGGGAGAGTTCAATGAGGCAAAAGAAAGAACACATAGATGATAGATCTCAATACAGAATCCCTTGCCATGACACATTTTAATTTTTCAAAACTTTGAGAAAACTTTTTCGAGTTTAATGTGTCATATTATATAGCACTCTGATTTCCAATTCCGTATACATACACTGTGCATCTATATTTTGTACTGTAGCATTCTCAGAGGTAATGTGTACTGGGGTTCTAGTCAGTCAGACACCAATTATTAAAAACACATTTGTTCGAATATCATTTTATACTGCTTTCTTTATAACAAGTAAAATATTGCTTTTCTGTTAAGATTCAAGACCAATTCAACATTGAAACTTACTACACTACAACTAAAGACAAAGGATAAGCTTATCCATTATCCAAGCTTTAATTGTTAGCACTTTTAATCAATCCTATACATTAAATAATCACTAATCTTACAAAATCAAATTAAACCAACAGCCTGAAGAAAATTTGTCTGTTCCCCTTTAAATTGTTCATATGATTCTTCATATTTCTGAACCAGTTCAATGTACAGAGAAAACATTTTTTCAACTCTCTCTTCAACTTGCTGTTCCCTGTTCCTTAATTCTTCTAAGACTTTCTGTTTTTGCTTCAGCGTACCCTCTGTTTGTTCTGCTTCCAAATTATTTTTCTTCTTGTATATCATCTTTTGATTTATTACTTGCTCAAGCTGTTCATGGGAAGCCTTCTTCTTAGCTTTAAACTGAAGATCGAATTTGGCACCAGCTTCTTGTTTGGACGTCAATCTGGCGTCCAGTTGATATCTCTTTGTTGCTAATTCTTCCAATATACTCTGAACCTCTTGGTAAACATCATTGTTCTGGAGGATATCCTTGCTTAAAACACTTTCTTGATCTTTTTCTTGTTTGATGGATTGTAGAAGTTTTAATAGTTTATCAGCCACAGCCTCTCGCTGCTTGAATTTTTCGGCTTGTCTTGCCCACTCAGTACGCCTGTCCCTTGATTCAGCTATTTCTTCGTTAAGGGTTGTGACCTTTTCTTGATTTCTGGCCAGCTCATTCTTGGCTTTCTCAGGTGACTGGACAATTTTCTGAGAAATAATATCAATTTGTTTCTCTTTGTTGATGATATCAACTTTCAGTTTGTCCTTGGATGCTCTTTTACCCGACAAATCAGTTTTAATTTCTTGAATATTTTTCTGATATACTGATTGCTGCTTATGATGGCTTGCCATTTCAGTTGTAAACACTTCAATTTCATGTTGAAGTCTGGCTATTTCTGGTTCTTCTTCTGTTCTAATGGCTTTATGGTTATTTATTTTCTGTCTTAAGTCATCATAGAGCTCCCGAAACTTTTCATTTTCTTCTTTGAGTTGTTGGAAAATTGTAATTCTATTTGTACGAAACTTGTATAAATTGATAGCTGCACTGCAAATTTTAATAAGACGTTTCAAGGATGGTTCTATGATGTCTTGAACTGTAAAATCTTTAATTCCACAAGTGCTCATCACTCTTTTTAGGGAGAGCGTTACAGTCATAAGGGGTAATGATTCATTGTGGAGCTCTGGATATTCGTAAACATCATTTGATTTCACCAATATAATTTGTTGACTATTCTGATAAACTTGATCGGGGGGAATATTTGTCAACAACTCTAATATTATTCCGTAAATTTGCCTCCATTTGAAGGAATCGGGTTTTCTAAAATCAGTGTCACAAATGTCAACATTGATATCATGAAAGAAATTTAAAATTTCTTCAATTCGAAGCATGGGAAAACAAAACTGGGCCATAATGTATTATGTTTAAAACTGTTTAGTAATTTCTGCGTCCCGCGGATATTTTCATAGGTTTATGGTTTTGATTTTTTATCACGTGACAAGATATGGTGCGCCGTCTACAACCAGGAAAAGATAAGTCTACACATAGTCGCAAATTTCCAGTTGGTTTGCTTATATATAGCTCTATGTTTGCAGACGACTAACCCCAACCTTGACATTTTCAGTGAGACTTAGGGGCAATAAATTGTACGATTTTGTCTCGTCTTTGTATTTTTATTATTTCCTATTTTTTTCTCCTGCCATTGATTGAATTTATATTTTCATAGTTATCTACCAATCTGTTTCACAGAGGATTACGAAAGTCTTCTTATATCTCTGTTAAAGATGCCTGTCTTCAACACGTGACGCCGCGCAAGAAGCTTTAATATATTTCTATGGCGGCGTCAAGACGCTTTCGTCATTAAAGCTTCTTGCGCGGCGTCAATCATTGGGTCAATAATGGCACGTTACAAGACTTTACTGGTTCGGACAGAATGGTGTCCTTTACTCATTTTAATACCCATTTACACTATAGGCCTATAGTATAGGAAATAATTTTTACCTACAAATACTTCAAACGTTTTTATTTATTTTTCTAATACATGTAGGCCTACATAAAAAAATATTTTAGAATTTAATTTGTCTGAGGAAAAAGTTAATATTTGGGGCTCATATACGTCACATCGATGTCATCCTGTAGCGGCCTAGCGAATATGCACCGCTGATCAATGTAGCTCTACATCGAATATGGAAATCTTCATCTTTACGGACGTAAATGTTGCACATCCATCTCAGAAAATGAGATCAGCACCACGCCAAGTTGTTTTTTTTTTACCCAAGTTGTTTTTTTTACCCACTTCAAAGACGGCCAGTCCTTTTTGCTAACATATTACCAGGACCCTTTGTTAGGTGTTTTAATTCCATTAATCCATAAATAGGTCTAATAGTAAGGTGTTGTCTAGCGTGTGCATTTTCACATCTACAATTAATTGTGCATATTTTTTGAGTCAACATGCGTGTCGATCAGCTCCAAACTGCTAGACCAATAATTCAACCTCCTTAGTCAAGTCTATACCCGTCTTGTAATCCTCGTAATTGTGCTTTAATCCAAGCCAAGGCGCCCATTGCCCCAAGGAGAATTTTTATACGCCCACTTACATGGGTCGTTCCCCCCCCCCCCCCCCGTGAGGCTGCAGTTGTAAGAGAAAGTTTTAAAAAAATTATGCGTAACACTGGGTTCACAAGATGAACAAACCCTGTCGATATTCAGCGCTTCACAACCTTCCAGCATATTTCTAGGACTTTCGATCTGTTCCAGGGACATAGGCCTACTAGCCTATCTGTACGGAAAAACTTGTGAACACGACAGAGATCAGATTTCTTGAAGGCACAACGGATCCTTATCAAACTTGATCAACGGCACCATCCAAGTTTTCTTTTCGGATACACGTAATATAAGCCATCTTGTCTTCAAGACTTATTAGTTGCTGTGTCGGCGTATTTCCACGCTTTGCGTGGCTATCTTTGACAGTTGATGGCCGCTGTATGACAGTTTCACAGTGGCTCGCTAAAATTAGTATAGAAAATTCAAGTGACCTAGGCTAGCAATCTGTTTCATAGAAGTTATGCAAAAGCCTTCTAACTATGTGTAAGATGACTGACCTTTATAAGTTCCAATGCGTCGATCATTAGAGACTTTTGGCAAGCGGAATTTTCCCATCCGTATACGTATCCGTATCGTATACGTGATACGTGGCGTCAATGTAGTTTAAGAGTTTGGGCAGATTTTCGCGTCGCATACGTGTGCGTCGATGAGCTGAGCTTAGTTCTATTACAGCATGATGCCAAATATCTACCAAGATCACCACCAGTACGTCAAGTGCCTATTAGAGCCGACAATTTCCCGGAGGGAATGAAGTCGCTCGACAGTCGCAGAGCTATTAAAAAAATAAAAATTAGTGTCGAATCTTATTAAAAATCTTCGACTTCGACTTGACTGCAATTTTTGGTTTCACTAATGTATCATTTCAGAAAGTTTATACCCCTTTACCACAGAATAAAATCATTTACAGATTTGCAAGGTTCCGCCTCCCTAAATTTAGCATGTAGATCAATCATCATGGTTAAAATCACATCATACCATTTCAGCGTCTAAAAGTAGCAAAAAAGACGGCAAAAGGACACGACAATGTTATACGGACCTTTTCCGTATGAAAGCTGTTCGTTACCTGCTGCCGTATCCGTGTGCCGTATCACGTATGAGAAATGCACACACATTGGTGACGTCACACGCAAAATCCACACGGATACGCGATACGGACCAGAAATTTACGCTTGCCAAAAGTCTCTATTTTCTTCGACAGCGCGTGCATTGTAAACGGGCCTTTTACCTATTTTACGCTTATGTTTTATGTACACATTCTAGTACATGTATATATTGGTAAAGAATAATGCCGCAATAATTTTTTTTCTCCAATTTTCAGACACTTTACCAGATAAAGAATCGATAAGGCTAGTTATATTGGGAAAGACTGGTAATGGAAAAAGTTCAGTAAGCAATTCTGTTACTGAATCTCAAGATTTCAAATCTGAACTCAGCCTCGAGTCCATAACTAAAGAATGTCAATATGAAGTAGCAGAATGTTATGGTGATATTAGGCTGGAAATCGTTGATACCCCTGGTTTATTTGACACTGGGACACCACTAGAGGAATCTATTAAAGAAATTACCAAATGTATCGGATTGTCGGCACCAGGTCCTCATGCGTTTGTCCTGGTTTTGGACATCAACCGTTTTACAAAAGAAGAAGAACAAACCGTGGATGCATTGAGCCAGCTTTTCGGTGATAAATTCTTTTATTATGTAGTGGTTTTATTCACCGGGAAAGATGCCTTAATAAGAGATGGAAAATCGTTGGAAGACTTCATCACCAAGGTTCCAGATTATCTGCGTAAACTCCTGGTTAAATGTAAAAACCGATTTACAGCCATTGATAATACTGGAACTCAAGAGAAACGACAAGCAGGTGTACACGAACTTCTTACTGTAATTCAAAACATGAAGGAGGAAAATGAGCCAGAATATTATACCAATAAATTATTTAAGGAAGCTGAAAAAATCCTCTTAAGTCGTGAAAGAGAGTTTGCTTTAGAACTAAAAACAAAAGAAGTTGATCAGATGAATTTACCAAAGAAAAGATGCGATCAGTTTGGAGCTACCAGACAAGATCAAGAAGCAGCCCATACAGAAATAATGACGAGAAAAAAAAGAAGGGAGATAGGAGGGTTAAGACACAATTTAAAGAAGGAGATAGTTGGTGGAGCTGAGTGGTTTGTTACAAATTACAGACCAGTTCTAGAGATAGTATCAGAATCCCTCAAACTGATAGATATGGGCATCAAAATCTATCAAGGGCGATGGTAAAATGAAATACTTGTTTGTTTGACCCTCTGAATTATTCTATTATGGGTTACATATAATATTATGCTTCTGTTGATATCGCAGTATAAAATGTATATTCAGCTTGAATATGTTCGTTAGGAAACCTAACGGCTGTTCATATATATGAATATTAAACATACATTATGCAAGAGCTAAATCTGCCTATTGCAGGTCTTTCTTTAAGCCTGAAATGTTATCTAAATTATTAATTAGACATTAATTAACTGATCCAGACCACAATCAACTCTCGATGTCATCGCTAGCCTGCGATATTTACTGGATTAGGATTCGATCTGATGCTCTACGCTCATTCATGATTAAATCAAGAAATGGATAATCGAGACTATGTATTTTATCGTACCGACTTTAGTAATGATGATTGAGACTAGGCCCAAAATTCAATCGCTAAATTCTCGATTCAGAGTGGATCATTTGATTGAAATTTTCAGCAAATTCCCTTTACATTATCTAGTTTTTAACTATTATTGCGAGAACTGTCAGTCCATTATCTAATCTCCCATAATGTATCTTTAAAATAAATAATAACCAGTTTTTGCAAAAAGAAATTTAATGTTTCTATTTATTTTCTTTCTTTTTTTTTGGAAATTAAGATGATCTTGTTAACTAGTATATAATTAAAGAATAAATGTTGAAGAGATTGGCACTTGATTGACATTGAAAAATAAAGAATAAAGAAATCGTAAATATCTGAATTTTAAGTAATGCCACCCCACCATCTGGTGGATGATATTTAGAACCCTTTCTTGTCGGTATAGATACAAAATTTAACCGATGAATCTGACAAGGGAAAGCATAGTAAGGGAGCTAGGTTCAGGTACACAATTTCTACCATGATGGATGAATGGGCAGCGGTACCCGATACTCTGAACCTGGATTCTTAAGTTGCGGGTCCCCTTCCCGCGAGGGTGTGTTTGTGTGTGTGGGGAGGGGGGGGGGGGCAAAAAACCTCGAAATTTCGAGTCTGAAAACAACGATCAACTTTTCTGCATAAGTCTAGCAACCGCAGGTGTCATCAAAAACACTGCTTAAGAATATCCCGACCCGTCCTTCCTCCCTAAGAACGACCCCTTTACCCAACTCCGAGATGAGTTAATTCAGCTTCCACGTACGATCTTTATATTTTCGTTAAAAGTTTCACAAATGAACCACTAGAGCATAACACGTAAGTCCAGGGGGACTGCACCACACCAAAATTTAAACAAAAACAAATACACGGACAAGACATCATACTCAGAAAAACACAAAGAGACAAACAATTAAAAAAAGTGAATGGATCCGGGGGCTAGCCACAAGCGTCAACTGCGCTGTACAGTCCCGGGTCTGTAGTGACACAGACTTCACTCAAATTTGAAAACAATCAGGAATACAACCCAAAGAAACCATTGTGTAATGCCAGCATGAGTCATGCTCTGCTATAAATACGAATGTAAGCATATGTAGTAAAATTCAACTATACAAGTAGTCTAAACCTAAGTGCTCTAAAATCAATCAAGAAACGTTTCAGTATTCAATGGAATCGAGGTATATTGAATACATATTGGGCACATGTTCCATCCGTCACAAAAACAAAAACAAAACTGAATACAAAGAAACAAATAGGAAATGTTGACTGTCTCGAAAGACAGCCGTCTGCTGAACGTGAAAGCGCCTTATATCTATGGGGAGTGTGTGTGTGTGTGTGGGGGGGTGGGTGGGGGTCGAATAGATAACAAACCTTAATCTCTCAACCCTCCGTGTTTCGAGTTAAGGACTGAGGCCATGACCTATAACGTTTAAACAAAATTGACAATAGTTTTAATCAAAACAACGATTGATTATTGTTATTTATAATATTTCTACAACACCCAACTACAATTAAGCATATAATCCTACCTGAAACAGGTAGAAATCGTCGTATTTAAAATCGAGGCGTTAAGCCGTTACTAAGACCGCCATCTTTTTAAACAGCAAAAAGACCGTATAAAATGTCATTTTGAAGGCGGGGCTAAATTAGGCTTTTATAACAGCCAATCAAAAAGGCAATTTTGGACCTGATAATAAATTGCAGACCTCAGGATATGGTAAAAAGGGCGTGTACTAAATGAGTTTGCCACGTCAAACTGAAGGCTGCCAATCGTAGCTAAAAACAAACACATCAGTATATCTCAACGTTTTTGGCTACGTTCTAGTAGCTAGGGGTCGAAATGACCAGAAATGACTATTTAATTCAACTTCAGCGTACACATATCATCCTTTCTGCCTATGTAGACTTACCTCAGATGACACCAGAAACACTGCTATGAAAAGACCCTCGACCCCAAGGGGCAGATCCAGGAAATTTTGCAGGAGAGGGTTTTCCAGGTTCCTGAGACAATGTAACAGGGGGGGGGGGGGATTCTTCTTCGGTCATGAAAATTTTTGAGAAATACAATTGTTTCCATGTAGCGGAGCGTTGGAGGGGGCGGGAGGAGGACTCTGGATTCGCCCCTGACGCCTTCGCTTTATCCCTCTCAGAGATGAGTTAATTCAACTTTCGCGTACAACATTGATTTTTTCGTTAAAATGTTCATAGCTGTGTTTTTCTTTATTTTGTTTGAGTCATTATATGTGTCTGTGTCTCCGGTTATATGTCGTCTATGACTTGCCATGTTTTTTAGTTTGCAAAATTGAAATATATTTATATTTAGTCAGGTGTGCCGCTATTTTTTCATGTGTTCCAAGGTGTGCCGTTGGCTAAAAAAGGTTGAGAACCACTGCACTGGAACATAACACTAACTTTTGTTTTGGTTTCAGTTTAACTTGGGATTTTTTATTTTGTTTACCAATAATTATCAAGAGATGTTTTGGCAAAAAATATATGGGTCTAATAAATTGTTTTCGGCAAATCCGTCTCTGCTCTCCGACGTTCTTTTCTTCTTACCCGAGAAAGGATGAGGATTTCTATCTATTCTAGTTCCTAAACTTAACAGAGGAGACCGGTAGCGAGGACTTCTAGGTCTATATCGAAATTAGGTCGGGAAGCGGACCCGCAACTTATGAATCAAGGTTCAGAGTATCGGGCACCGCTGTCCACTCATCTATAATAGTAGAAATTTTGTACGCGACTTTCGAAACTACCTAAACCTAGCTCCCTTACTACAGGTTGATATCTTGATTGGATAATTAGGCATCTGACATTTTTGCATGCTAAAGATAACAGGGGGCTTATTAAAATCATTTTTTCTTGGATTCTGAATTGGCTCTCGATGGCTAATAATCACCAACTGCTTAGAAACGAATTTTGACACGTGAGCCTACATGGATTTACTTGAAACTTGCAGATTTTACTATTCAAAGGTTCCACAAAGTGGTGTTGAACGGGCAAATTCGGGTCTATAGTCTTATTTCAATGAAAATGGAATGAAATGGGGTTTAACGTCCTGCGGTTCTGTTCCGAACTGGGCTAATGAAGAAGGGCATACGCCATACAGTGTGCTATAAGGGAAATTTTGCCCGGACAGCGGCACTACGGCCTACTCTTATATCGAATTCCAACTGTCAAGGGATCTTTTACGTACACGCCAGTGTGTACACTTGACCTCGTTTTTTTCGTACCATCCGAAGGACTAGACCGCTGTCCTTGTCGGGCCCTCCGTCCTGCATCACTGACAAGGGGGAACCCACGCCGGAAAATCTGAATGAACTTTCTCGGTCAATGCAGTGATCGAACACCCGACCTCCAGGCTAGCCAGCCAGCGTCTTACCCACTTAGCCACCGCGACCCCCTATTTCAATGAAAAGCCCTTCGGCTGGGGTGGGGTGGGGACGGGGGTTTGGAGCACATTTCAATTCACTCAAAGCAAAGGTTATGGTTTCCCCAATCTGGGGTGCTTTGTTATGAGAAGCTATAGTTTGTCAATAATTTGCGTTTCTCGTGATGGTAAGCTGCTGTATAGTTTTTTCTGGAAGTTGCATTTACATCGGCATTCACAAGCAAACCTGGCATGGGGTTTACCGTCTCATTGATGTTCTGCTCTGACTGGGCCAATGAAGACGGGCATATGTCATTATGATACAGTGGGCCAGGCCATGTTTCCTGCACCATTGACAAGGGGGATCCACGGCGGAAAACCCGATGAACTTTCTTGGCAAACGCAGGGAGCGAACAAGGAATCTCCAATTTAGCGAGTCAACGTCCTATTCACTGAGCCACCGGTTAATTCCAGTGTTTATAAGTGAATTCCGGTGTTTATAAGTGAATTCCGGTGTTTATAAGTGAATTCCGGTAGATTCGGTAGTCTACTCAGTAGTAGGTATATTTCCGCAGATCTAGGATGCAGCAATTTCCAAAATTTAAAGTCTGCAAACCGATTTAAAATATAGTTCCTGCAAAAAATAGATATTCGCCCTTTAATAACGTAAAAACAATAATAATATTGATTATACCGATATCAATTTAATTACAATTTACGAGTAGACGAATGCGAATGAATACAGAATGCGTGTGCATATTGTATTTTATAATATATATTATTTATTTTTTTAAATCATAAATTAGGGGGGGGGGGGCGTGTTTTACTAATTAGAACTTTCAGATAACGAAATGTGATGGTAGGAGTCTTAATTTGAATTACATTTACAATATTGTTGGACTGAGAGGATTTGATAAAAATTAAAAGCATTTTATTGGATAAATTGAGAATCTCCTTCTCGTCTTTTTAAAAAAAAAAAAAAATATCAACACAAAGTCGATAAAGTAGGCCTACACTTTTACTGAACCTGATTACATTACGGCGTAGTGATACATCATTTTTTGACAGCTATTCAACCATTGCAAAGTCCTTTATATTGACCCAGTATTTCCATCAAGGTCAATTAAATAAAAATAATTTATTTTTAATAAAAAGAAAAAAAATTACTTTTAATAAAAAATGAACTGTTCTTTGAAAATACAAAAAAAAGTAGTTCCCTTTAAACTGACCAACCAAATTCATGTAAAGCGATAGGCCTGGGGTTTTCCCCAGTTTAAATATGACGCATCTTTAGCTCAATAAAGAAAGTAGCACACGCCTACCCTTTTCTAAGAATATCAGATTGAAACTCGGAAGTAAGTGGCTGCAGCTTCAAATACGGTAACCGTTAGTAATAATAGTCAAATTAGTGTCGAAGTATTGGTCCTCGGTTACGAATCCTTACTGACTTACAAGTCATATGAATTTTTCCCATAAAAGATTTTTTTCTCAAGTTAAAGAATTTTGTTATTCAATGTTAAGCTGTTTTTTTTTCAATTTTCAGATGCGTATCTGTGTTCAAGTCTTAAAACAAATTTATATTTTGAACTAAGAGATCAGTTTTTACAGTTCTTATGATTTTCAGTGTGTTTACTATATATTTTTTTTTAAGAAACATACTTAATGGCCAACTGTGTCCCATAGTGTGACCCAGTGTACCCCACATATGGGGCACATTGGGTCAAAAAAAAATTTGGGTTTACAATGATTTACACAAAAATGGTTTCAATTTATTAACTTCTTAACAGCACTGTTACATCGAACATATGACTGGCTTCAACTGAGTACATAGTTTGATTCTCTGTAAGATTTCACTTCTGGTCAATTTACTAAAAAAATAAATCATGCCCACTGTGCCCCGCTCTCCCCTACTCTTGTTAAAGGTAAGATTGATTAACATTTTACTGCTACGCAGACGTCAAATTCGACTGCATTTGGTACTTAGGAGAAAAATGTTCAGTTCAGCCATTTTGTTTGCGGGGAGAAACGAGAATGGGGCGGCCTTAGCCTCGTGAGTTGTATTACCACGTGAGAGTTTACGGAATTCTGATTGACTTGCTCCTTTTTTCGTGGCTGGAAAGTAGAAACTGGTCGAACTCACTTTTTCGCAGAGAAAAGAGCCAGCGAAAAGTGTGGCGCCGCCTGAAATTATACTGCGCATGCCTGTACTCGAAAAAATTTGCCTAGTGGAAAACAGGCTTTACGAGTTGAGGGTGACGGGGCGGCATAGCGAGTCCAGTGCGGTAAAATTTTACATCTTTTGATGCGAATCTTCTGATTAATTTCCAAGTTATATCAAGTTATATCAGTGCCGATGAGAGGGGGGACAGCTGGGACACTCGTCCAGGGGCCCCGGAGCCTGCGAGGGGCCGGATCTAGCTTAATACATATATTATATGCCGAATAGATCTAATGTTTTAAAAAAAAGTGCTGGTATACATTGATAAAAAAAAAATACAGTGTTACTTGATGGTAAAGTAGAAGAAAAACAGTGACTTTTCTGAATATGGGTAGGCCCTATGTGTATAGGAATATAATAGGGTTCTGTTCTAGTAGTCCACTTTCTTGGAACGATTGGTGAATTAAATAAACTATAAGCCACCTGCTCGGGTCTTCGCGACGTGGGGCCCTCTCATCCTCGTGAAGGTATCCGGGCCTAACAAATAATCGGGGCCTGTAGTCCAGGTCTGTAAAAGCTGCAAAGATGGTGAGTGCGCCAGTGTTAATTTTGCGCTCTGCCGCCAGTGATATGCACACGGTTATCGATCGCTCTAGGTAGGCTGACTGTTTTTGATCATTAAAAACAAAATTGAAAGCGAAACTTTTACTTTCGTCTTCATTTCGTTAGGTGCTATAAATCTTGATGTTTTTGGATATTTGTGCCAATTGCGGACCTTTCTCTGACCAATGTGATTTAGCAAAGTAACCTCCAGTTACCCCTGTTGATAAATGTCAAAGTGACGCTAGAGTTGCTTGTCCCAGGCCCTGGATGACCCTGTTGGTTATAAATAATGAAAATAATTATGTATTTTCGTTGGTGCTAATGGATTTAGATAATCACATTGGCTTAAATCAGTAATAGACTTTGAAGAGAACTGGTAACCTTTTATAGAAAGAGTTATCTTAAATTGTGTAGAGTGGAGACCAGTGCTCCTACGGTTAGGACTTTTTGTTATTCGAATAGCCGTAGCTATTAACCGGTTAGTAACCGTTAACCATATGGTATCAATTTTAAACATAAAACAGAGCTTGTCAGGAGCTACGAGTCATTACTCGTGCGCACGCTATACTCGCGTTATAAAAGGCATTACCCGCGCAAAAATTTCAGGAATTTTTTCAGACATGTACAATTCTTTAATGAAAATTTAAACTATCTAAGGCCGTAGCTATTTATTTACCTGGTTAACTTGGTTAATTTGAAACATTTTTTTAATTAAATATAACGATAATATACAAAACAATACTCAATTTCCCTTCGTACGTGACAGACGGCGATAATATTACGATTACACAATGTTACTAAGAATAGAATAAAGTAAATTAGAAGGCGTCTATTGATTGGACAATAAAGAAATAATTCCTCGCTTGCAAGTAGAATTTTTATGATTGGTTAATTTAACTGAAAACCAAAGTAGAATTCATTCGAGAAATTACGAGATATGAAACGTGTTCAATGCCGTAACGAATCTAGTACAATGTCATTTTCTAGCCTTTATGATTATATTTTGAATGGTGGTTACGTTTTGAAGTAAATAATAAACAAGGTAGAATATAGTTAGAAATGCCGAGAAGTATTTAGATTGGATTAACAATAGCAAAAGTCGAACAAGGTCCGTTGACTTTGCCGTATGACTACGACGAGTGCTATTAATAGTATCATTGTTTAGCAGTCGACATCGTTGGACGACTGTTACATTCTAAAATTTTCAAACATCAAATACAAAATTACAACGGGCAAGTTATGTTATAAAGAGGAATATAATCAGACACAACTCTATGTAATGGGGGACATCTCCGAATAACCGTACCGTTGAATTCAAACCGTTTAACCGTCCAGTTCTAACCGTTTACGGCTATCCGACTAGTCGTAGGAGCACTAGTGGAGACTAACAATAATATATCAATTAAAAGCTGGGATGAAATTTGTTATGATGCTGCTTTCAGTACATGTATTCTGCACTTGTTTGTTACTATACAATGCAGGGGCGTGGTGATAGTGAGTACAGATACTCATGCGCCACTTGGTTATTTGTAGGCCTACAACTCATATTTTTTGCTCCACTACTAGTTATCATGAACAGAATTTATTTCGCATTTTGCCAAAGAAACAGAAATGTTGAAGCAATTTAGAAAGAAAATTATAGTGGGCCGAATCTGAGGAGTTTTCAGAAGTAAATATCGTTGAATTATGGTTTGTTCATCTTATATTTTTATCACTTATAAGCCATTGGCCTGTAATGTCAGTTAAATCGTTGAATTATAGTTCGTTATTAAATCATTGTCATTGGCTTGTGTAAGTCAGTGAAAATATATTTTTTTCATGGGGTTTCTGGTGCTTTATGTTTCAAATATCTTTCTGTTTAGATATATATATTTCGTAAACTTCACTGAAGACTGAAGTAAATATAATTAATAGTTAAATCAGATCAATTCTTATTATTCACTTTATCTTTTTGCAAGGCAGATTCAAGGATGGGGTGGGTTTGTTATGGGAAACAACACATCAAATTACCTTTTAGGAATAATCACAGATATGCTAGAAATTCTCCAGATTTTCTCAAGGGAAACCCCCGCCTCCCCCTACATTTTTGTGCCAGTCAGAAGCGCATGTACTCGCAGGCCTTCGACCCTCACTCCGCCCCTGATAGAAGGTCTTTGTTAATGCAATACCTCAGTGAGAAAAAATAAGTCATACGTAGATGTGATCGATAAAATTAATGAGCATATAAAATGACATTTAATCCATTACATTTTATGCCAATAAAGGGATGCAAACAGAATGTTACTTGAAAAACATTGCTGTAATTTAAATAATTGTGGTCTGGTATACCTCCTACAAGTTTATACATTTATGTCCCTTCCTACAGCATATGAAAGTTGGGCTTTGGTCCATAAAAGCTATAATTGTTTTTTTTTTAAAAATGACAGGTAATTGGAATCAGGAACATGATGATACTTATTGTAATTTAAGTTGTTAAATTCATGGAGTAGGGTGGATTTGAGCTCTGCTACCACCTAAAATTAGTAATTCTTTTTCCCTCATGATGCATCTTAAGTCAATATTCTTAACAGACACAAAGAAAATAGATTTTCCTTTGAAAGGATCAAACTAAAACTAGAACAATATTATTATCTAACATATTCTAGGCATGGCTACAGAAGAAGGTACAGTAGGTGTTGGTGTCGAAGTAAAAGTGGAAGTAGAACCCCAACCAGAGAACACAGATTTTGAAGGTAAGTGTTGTATACATATATGTATAGGAGTTGACTGTGGTCAATCGAGTTCTCTCTTCCTGTATTTGGTATGGCTTAATGATTCCTCATATCAATTTATAAATCTTGTATTTCATTCATTATTCTTTCAGCCTAGCCTGGCCAAGTCAGAACTTTACATCTACGTATAATTACAACTTCCTGAATTATGGCCCCTGATTGTACCAAAAATTGCATTTTTAGCTTGTAGACCCTATAGAGGTCTTAATTTTTATCCGATTCAAAAAAACATTTTAGTATATCACCGTTACACCCTAAGAATTTCGTGAAAATCGGACCAAAACTGACAGACAAAATGGCTCCCCCTTGTTCTCAAATAGCGTAAAAAATATGGTATATCAAGGTCTCGGTTCCTTCCAATATTCGTGCATATCAGACCCCTGATTGTACGGAAAATCGAGTTTTTAGCTTGTGGACCGTATAGCAGTCATAATTTTTATCCGATTTAAAAAAATGTTTTAGTATATCACCGTTACACCCTAAGGATGGTATAGTTCGAATTTCGTAAAAATCAGACAAAAATTGACAGACAAAATGGCCACCCCTCGTACACAATTAGTGTAAACATCTGGTATTTGTGGGCCCTCGAGAGGTCACAATTTTGATCTGATTTTGATGAAACTTGAAATGCATGTTTATAACCCAAAGATCTTGGTGCCATTCGATATTCAGGCATATCGATTAATAACTTCCTGAATATGGCCCCTGATTGTATGAAAAAATCATGTTTTTAGCTTGTTGTAGAGGTCACAATTTTTATCCGATTTAAAAAAAAAATGTGAATATATCACCATTACACACTAAGATCTTGGTTCCTTGTGATAATCGCGAATATCCGAACGTAACTTCCTGCATTATGGCTGCTGATTGTTCAAAAAATCGCATTTTTAGCTTGCAGAGTCTCTAGTGGTAACAATTTTTTTTTCCGATTTTAAAAACTGTTTAAATATTTCACCATTCCACCATAATGAAGGTTGAATTCGAATTTCAGGAAAATCGAAATGAAAATGGCCACTCTTTGTACGCAAATTGTGAAAAAGTATGCAATACAAGGGTGTGGACAATTTTTATCTGACTCTGATATATTAAAATATTATTATTATTATTATTATTATTGTTCGATTTATATAGCGCTTCATTACACGTGAAGTGTTTCTAAGCGCATATCACAAACATATACTTGAAACACACAGAAACAATCAAAATCAGGAGAACATAATTAAACACAGCTGCCTGTATATCTTTATATCCCAAAGATCTCAGTCCCTTTTGATATGTGCGCATTTCAGATCATAACTTTCTGGATTATTGCCCTTGATTGTACAAAAATCCTGTTTGTTTTTTGCTTGTTCGCTATCCATCTCTTGCAAAATGTGGGCGTATCCTGCCTGGCAGCCGCTGGTAAGGTTTTATAGGCGAAGCACTGTTTCCGGTGTTGTGGGGATCCGTAAAATTTTCCAGAATATCACTTTTATAACCAAAATATAACAGAATTAACATACACTATTTATACAAAACTTTTGAATCAGAAAGCACAGATTTTTTATTCAGAGGCACGTTTGTGCTTGTAGGCACGTTAAAATAGGCCCTGACCTATGTAGTGTATGTAATAAACTGATTTTTAAAGATGCATTTTGTAAGATTGAGATAATAAAAAGAGCTGACCTTTCTCACCATAATAGTTTAAAAATAGATAATGAAAAGAATTGAAAATTTCAGACTAATTACTTCATTCTAAAGCTGAGTTATGAATAATTCATTGCTACTGTTACGATAATAAACAAAGTCTTGATTATCCATTTTCATACGCCCACATTTTCATGTGGACGTATATTGTCGTCACCTCTGGATGTCCTTCCACAATTGTTTGTGGACACTCTACAGGTCACAATTTTTATCCGATTTCAACGAAACTTGAAATATAGGTTTATCTCCCTAAGATCTCGGTTCCTTTCGAAATTGGCATGTATCGGACCTTAACTTCATGGATTATGGCCCCTGATTGTACGAAAAATCACGTTTTTAGCTTGTGGACCCTATAGAGGTCACAATTTTTATATGCCCACATTTTCATGTGAACGTATATTTCCGTCGCCCCTGTCCGTCCGTCCACAATTGTTTGTGGACACTCTACAGTTCAAAATTCTTATCCGATTTTGACGAAACTTGAAATATAGGTTTATCTCCAAAAGATCTTGATTGCTTTCAATATTTGCACATATTGGATCGTAACGTCCTGAATTAAGGCCCTTGACTGTATGAAAATTCACGTTTTTAGCTTGTGGTCCCTCTAGAGGTCACAATTTTTATCCAATTTAAAAAAACGTTTGAATATATTCCTGTTACCCCCTAATGATAGTTGAGTTCGCATTTCGTGAAAATCAGACAAAAACTGCCAGATAAAATGGCCGCCCCTCGTACGCTAATAGTGTAAAAATACGGTATATCAAGGTTGTGGACTCTAGAGGTCACACTTTTCACCCAATTTTGATGAAATTTGAAATGCAGGTTTATAACCCAAAGATCTTGGTTCCTTTCGATATTCACACATATCGGATCGTAACTTGCTGAATTATGGCCCCTGATTGTACGAAAAATCACGTTTTTAGATTGTGGTCCCTCAAGAGGTCGCAATTATTATCTGATTTAAAAAACGTTCGAATATGTCACCATTACACCGTATTGTTGGTTGAGTTTGAATTTCATGAAAATCAGACCAAAACTGCCAGACAAAATGGCCGCCCGTCTACGCAAATAGTGTCATCTGGTATATCAAGGTTGTCAACCCTCTAGAGCTCACAATTTTGATCCAATTTTGATGAAACTTGAAATGCATGTTTATAACGCAAAGATCTTGGTTGCAAAGATATTTGCGCATATCGGATCATAACTTCCTGAATTATGACAGTACAAAAAATCGCTTTTTGTTTAGCTTGTTCTCTATCCATCTCTTGAAAAATGTGGGCATATCCTGCCTGGCAGCCGCTGGTTAAATTAAATTATCAAATGGCGATCATGTTTCAGTCCATTTAAGGTCACAATCATCTGATGATCTAGAGAGTTGGTTATGTAAATAAATGTCTAATTAATAGTTTATTTAAGAGAGAGAGATGGGGGTTTAACGTCCATTGGACACAAACTAGGTCATTTCGGGACTAACATATGGTTTAATTTTATTTCTTTAGCAGTGGGAGGAAACCGGAGGACCCGGAGAAAACCCACGAAGTTGGACAGGCGACCCTACTCCTTGTTACGTACAACTGGGGATTCGAAACCATGCCAGTTGACTCAATGACAGGCCTTATGATGCAGCACGCACGCGCTAACCATTCGACCATCCAACCCCTATAGTTTATATAACATTTTAGGCCTAAAGAAAGACCTGCAATAGCAGGGTTTAGCTTTTACATAATGAATCTTTAAAGAGATCATGTTTTTTTACTGAAAACCAAGGTTTGAAACAAATTTTGGAGACCTACATTTTAGGCCTAAAGAAAGACCTGCAATAGCAGGGTTCAGCTTTTACATAATGAATCTTTAAAGAGATAATGGTTTTTACTGAAAACCAAGGTTTGAAACAAATTTTGGAGACATACAACAAATAAATGTTGTTTTTTCAGCTTGGTTTTGTCCAGAGTGCACATTTTTGAACACGGAATGGAAAGAGATTTGCGAGATATGTCTTGCTCATAAAGAAAGCTCGCTTCTTGGTTTAAGAGTATATGGTAAAGATGGTTATTGTTTTAAATAATATCCAAAACCCCCAAACAACATTTGTAACAAATATATTAAAAGCTTACAGGTTTATCACACAATGGTGATAAAGCCCTATCTGCTAAATAAACTAATTATTAAAATTGAGAGTGTTTTTTTCACAGGATCACATTTTGAAATCTTTATCGTCAACAATTTATTGAATTTGAATTGTACTAAAACATTTATGCTCATTGGTTACCATCCTCATTCCTCTGTATGCTAACTGGATTACCGAGGGTGATTGTTATTGTAACAAGACAAAGAATCCATTAATTAACAGTCTTAATTAATAGCAGGGACATTATGATGAGGGGAACTGCCAGTCACTGTGAGTGAATAAACCAACAACATGTGCCACAATAGTCTTTCAATGATTTTCTTATTGTGTATTCACCTATACAGTCAGGTGTCTACAGAATGGTGTAATGAGCTATTATGGATTGTTTATTTACATTGTCTTGCAGTATCCTTCATAATGTCACAGTCTACATGCTAATTTGTAAATTAAAAGCAAAACCATTTGTATATCGGTGTTGTTGAGAAACTATTTGGATACAATTATATCTTAGAAATCTGAAATGGGGTTGTCCTTATTTGATATTGTTACTGTTGTTTAATAGAAGACATGGCTGCAAATGGTTTAGGACAGAACTGTATTCATATTTACATAGGCGTACGACCCAGGGGGGCAGGGGGGGGCAACTGCCCCCCTAACTTTCGGGCAAGCTGATTTTTCAAAATTTTCAAAATTTTCTCCCAACGGTCCCGTCTTCGTGGACTGTAAACGATTGATTGGAATTCGATTTAGCCACCTTAATTAGGCTATATTAGACCACTTTGAAGTTGCTTTGTTCACGGGGCTGAAATAGCAGAAAAATGTGTTTGCAGCCGTCAGATATTCCAAAATTTTCTTTGTAGGGGGCGGTGGGGGCATACAAGGTAAACTCCGCTTCTTCGCCTCACGAGGAAGACCGGCACCGCTGTCTGTAAACCCGAAATTTTTTCAGGCATTTCGGGTTCTGCCCCCCTAACTGTCATCGAGCCCGTACGCCTATGCATATTTATGTAGCTGGGGCTTCACCCACCTTTAAATCAATACTATAAACTATAAACATATTCAAATTGGGAATTTTTTTTCTTTTCAGAAAAACAAGTTCTTCGTATTATCTTGCTAGGAAAGACCGGTACTGGCAAAAGCTCTGTTGGAAACTCCATTTCTGAATCTCAACCTTTCAAGTCTGAAATCAGTTGTCAGTCAATAACTAAGCAGTGTCAGTATTATGTAGCTGACTTTCATGATATTAGACTGGAAATCGTTGACACACCTGGTTTGTTTGACACTGAGACACCCCAAGAGGAATCTATTAAAGAAATTGCCAAATGTATCGGATTGTCGGCACCAGGTCCTCATGCGTTTGTCCTGGTTTTGAACATCAACCGTTTTACAAAAGAAGAACAACAAACCGTGGAAGCTTTGAGTCAGCTTTTTGGTGATGAGTTCTTTTATTATGTAGTGGTTTTATTCACTGGGAAAGATGCCTTAATAAGAGATGGAAAATCGTTGGAAGAATTCATCACCAAGGTTCCAGATTATCTGCGTAAACTCCTGGTTAAATGTAAAAACCGATTTACAGCCATTGATAATACTGGAACTCAAGAGAAACAAAAAACGGGTGTAAATGAACTTCTTACTTTAATTCAAAATATGATGAAGGAAAATAAACCAAAATATTACACCAATATGTTCTTTAAAAAGGCAGAAGAAATGATTGTTGAACATGAAATGCATATGGCTGAAAAAGACAAAGAGGGTAACAAAAGACATAGTTCCAGAATAGGAATAATCAATGGTGATTCTTGGTTTAATAAAGAAGATATAATTAAAATGATAAGGCAAATTTTCATTGCTAATCGTCCATTTATAGTAAACATGTTAGCTCGAGCATTGCTTAATAAATTTAATATTTTTTAAAAGCATTTCTTTGACATCGTAAATTATCACTTTGCAAAAACCATAGAGTTTCTCAATTAATATGCTTAATAAAGGGTCACCATTTTGCAGTTTTTGTCTTTATTTTGATTGTGTTTTATAAAATGTTGCTAGAAAACATAGGAATCTATGAATTCAAGAATATTCTGATATATGTACCTTCAAAACCATAAATTAGTAGGCTTAAACCATATGGACGCAGACCACCAATTCTTCTCCCTCGCAGTTCTCCATCCACGGTATCCACTCCAGACCCTCAGTTTCCCCAATGGTCCCATTCCATTTTACTCAACTATATCCTTTGGTTAGTCTATAGTGTTTTAACGATTTCAAATTATCTGCTCTGGCCTTGATCGTAGACTGAGTTTGCGAACCAATCAAAAAACTGTTTACAAACCAGTCTTACTAATGAAATCGGCCTTCCTTTTGCGTTTGTTTTTATGAGGGTAGATAACCCTATTCATGTCCATTTACTGAATGATTTATGTAAATAATGTATATACATACTTCTAATTCATTTTTGTGGGTTTTCTCCGGGTCCTTCGGTTTCCTCCCACTGCTAAAGACCCATACGCGCAAGTGAATTATTGAAATATAACCCTGTTTCTCTCTCTCTAATTCATTTATATTTTATTGTATTATCAGAATCTTGAAATATGTATAACATGTATATGTTTGACTTTTGTTATAATTATTACTATTCGTTCTTTGTCTGAAATGTTTCATAAACCATTACCATTCTGTTATGTTTATTATTATTGTGCTTATACTTGGTAATTTAATTTTGCTGAGTGAGGTTGTGGTTTGCCTATGTAGTAGTGTGGTTCAATCAGTGACGGTACTCTCTGATACTTAAGTGTAACTGATCGAAGATTTGACATTATGAAACTGCTTAATCAATATACTGGGATAGTGAGTTGATTATAAAGATCTGTCTTCATTAATATGTTATATAAATATTGTAATTTATTGTTAATAGATACACATTTAGTATAATTCGGCCTTCTCTCATTTTTATAAGCCCACATTGAAATGTGGTCGTATATTGTCATAGCCCCCGTCTGTCCGTCGGTCCGGCGTCCACAATTGCTTGTGGACGGTCTAGAGGCTAAAGTTAATATCCGATTGACTTTAAATTTATATACAGTGTTTAAGGCCATGAGACGAAGAAGCCTATTGATTTTCAGCGATTTCCGACAATTACTGCCAGAGTTATGGCCCTTGATCACTTCAAAAAATCTTGTGGACGCTCTAGAGGCTAAAGTTAATATCCGGTTGACTTTAAATTTATACACAGTGTTTAAGGTCATGAAGCGAAGAAGCCTATTGATTTTCAGCGATTTCCCATAATAACTGCCAGAGTTATGGCCCTTGATCTCTTCAAAAAATCTTGTGGACGCTCTAGAGGCTAAAGTTAATATCCGATTCACTTTAAATTTATACACAGTGTTTAAGGTCATGAGATGAAGAAGCCTATTGATTTTCAGCGATTTCCGATAATTTCTGCCAGAGTTATGGCCCTTGATCACTTCAAAAAATCTTGTGGATGCTCTAGAGGGTAAAGTTAATATCCGATTGACTTTAAATTTATACACAGTGTTTAAGGTCATGAGACGAAGAAGTCTAATCATTTTCAGCGATTTTCGATAATTACTTCCAGAGTTATGGCCCTTGATCACTTTGAAAAATCTTGTGGACGCTCTAAAGGTCAAAGTTAATATCCGATCGACTTTAAATTTATACACAGTTAGGGTGCCCCGTGGCCAAAACTTTTCCCTACTAAAAATTGTACTCGACACGTTGAATGTGCACGCTTCAGTGAAGTAACTCTATTTGAATCACAGACGAGTCTCGGGCTCTTTGTGTGACACTTTGTGTCTATAAATAGCCACAGCACGTGAAATTCTCAACACTTGTAACAACTATTACAGACCTAAAAAATCTATTGTTGACGATTCTGAATAGCAGTAATATTTAGCTTTTTGGTTATTACTGCAGCTTTAGAAATTACGCTCGTTTTATTTTTTAAATTGCTTTATCATTAACTAAACCGTTAAGAGTGGCATCTTTTGGTTTAGTAGAAATAATATCTCTGAATAACGCGGGTTGGGCAGGAAAATGATACTAGCAGTAGTTTCATTTTACTTTTACAAGGTTCTTAAAACAATTGTTGTGTTGCCCAACGGGCGTTATTTGTAAATTCAATTTCTTGTTCTAGCTTTCTGTCATGTTTCGTAAAAAAGTATTCTTGATTATCCCGGCCCGTCAATCAGACGGAGAATGGTTGGTAGACTGGTTAAGTGAGACTAATTTCAAAACAAAATATCCACCATAAAGCTTCAACATGCTTATTTGATTACATGCCCGGGATCACGTGGCTAAGTGGGTAAGACGCTGGCTCGCTAGCCTGGAGGTCGGGTGTTCGATCCCTGCATTGGCCGAGAAAGTTAATCCAGATTTTCCGGCGTGGTTTCACCTTGTCAGTGATGCAGGACGGAGGGCCTGACAAGGACAGCTGTCTGGTCGTTTGGATGGGAAGAAAAAAACGAGGTCCAGTGTACATATTGGCGTGCACGTAAAAGATCCCTTGGCAGTTGGAATTTGATATAAGAGTAGAACACAGTATGGCGTATGCCCCTCTTCATTAGCCCAGTTTAGGAGCAGAACGGTAGGACGTTAAACCCCATTTCATTTGATTACATGCCTTATGAAATCATTGTACTTCGGTCTGTATTAATTGTAAGTATTTATCAATGATAAACTGTTCATCAGGTAATACCTCGACTGAGTTCAATATTGAGATTAGCCGGTTGATTTGTTGGATATAAACCTTTGAATAATAGCGCCTAACAGGCAGCTGTGTTTAATTATGTTCTCCTGATTTTGATTGTTTCTGTGTGTTTGAAGTATATGTTTGTGATATGCGCTTAGAAACACTTCACCTGTAATGAAGCGCTATATAAATCGAACAATAATAACAAGGGCACGTAACCTATTTTTTGCTCAAAAGTGTCTGGATGTCATGGACGACACTCCGAACCATTTTTCAGTGTATTATTTATAGATGGTTAAATGGTCATATCTTATTAAGTACAACATGGCCGTTTATTTAGTGACTATAATTGTGCGAAACTGATTTAAGGCTTAGTATATATATAAGTATTGTGGTGTAATTGTCATGATATTTGGAGATATTTATTTATGGTGGGGCAGCCTAACACAGTGTTCAAGGTCATGAGACGAAGAAGCCTATCGATTTTCAACAATTTTCGATAGTTACTGCCAGAGTTACGGCCCTTGATCACTTCAAAAAATTATGTGGAAGCTCTAGAGGTCAAAGTTAATATCCGATTGACTATAAATTTATACACAGTGTTTAAGGTCATGAGACGAAGAAGCCTGTTGATTTTCAGCGATTTCCGATAATTACAGCTAGAGTTATGGCCCTTGATCACTTTGAAAAATCTTGTGGACGCTCTAGAGGGTCAAGTTAATATCCGATTGACTTTAAATTTATACACAGTGTTTAAGGTCATGAGACGAAGAATCCTATTGATTTTCAGCGATTTCCGATAATTACAGCTAGAGTTATGGCCCTTGATCACTTCGAAAAATCTTGTGGACGCTCTAGAGGGTGAAGTTAATATCCGATTGACTTTAAATTTATACACAGTGTTTAAGGTCATGAGACGAAGAATCCTATTGATTTTCAGCGATTTCCGATAATTTTTGCCAGAGTTATGGCCCTTGATCACCTTGAAAAATCTTGTGGAAGCTCTAGAGGCTAAAGTTAATATCCGATTGACTTTAAATTTATACACAGTGTTTAAGGTCTTGAGACGAACAAGTATATTGATTTTCAATGAAGCTTTATGACTTGAACAGCTAAATCCAATATCCATGATGTTAAAAGTTTCGTATGCTAAACGTTAGCATGGCGCAGAACTTTATAAAAACCGAACAAATTCTAATGGTTTTCTGATAATTACTTAATGAGTTGTTACTCTTAATCAGATTTTAATGTATAATAAATGTTTCATTACCGAAAAAAGTAAAAATACGCGACAACTCTTGTTGACTGCCCGGACGATATAGCTGCTGTGGGCGTATGTTTCGTTGCCTGGCAACCTATCTTTTTGCTTGGGGGATACTTGAAGAGAATTAGGCTACCTTCTGGCTAATTCCTAAGCTTGTCTCTTGAAGGGAGCCTTTGCGTTTTGCTTACTTTACCGGAGGTTCGTGATTGGCCTGATATCAATCACTGGTGGCTGCATGGGGTGGATTTAGGGTGTTTAGAATCAGAAGGGGGAACGAATAGGTCTTTGTACACATACCCCCCCACCCCACCCCCATGAGTTTAATCGCCAAGACAGATTTTCAGGTTTATATCCACATGAATGTCCTGTTCTGCTCAGCCGAATGATCCTTCAACACTCTGCGCTGTATAAAAACTTGATTCCGCAACTCCATGACGCAAAAACGACTGAATCACCTGATGGTGTGTGCGGTGCATAATGACCTCCTTTATGATCAGGACCCAAAGCATGTCGCCAAGATATTCGCAGAGAACAGTCCTGATCGTAGAATGAACATCTTGTTGCAACACAATGAGAGTTACTTCCCTTCATCAACTTCCGATGCAATTAACAATATATATGTCATTGCAATTAACGATTTATGGGATTGGGCACAAACATCAAGGGCAGATAACTTGAATATGTGTCCCTCCCCCAATGGATTTACCCAGGGGTTAGTGAAGTGGAGAGAATGAAACAACTGGGGATACCTAGGATGCCGTATCCACAGTTGTATCCTTCCATTTTACTCCACTAACCTCTGGGTCCATTCACAGGAGAGACACAGTCAAATTAACCACCCTTTTTTTTATTTGCGGGTGGCCAAAGGGAAGTAACTCGCATTTTATTCCAACTTTGTCAAAATATTTTAGGGCATCGTTTTGTGTGCATGTCACTTCTTTGACATTGAATTTCTTGCATCTCTTCTGAAAATCAAGTGTACAGACTGCTTTATTGTGATGAAATGAAATGGAGTTTAACTTCCTACTGTTCTGCTCCGACTGCCATAATAAAGTGTGCTATGGGGGATATTTTGCCCGAGCAGCTGCACTATGGCCTACTCTTATATCAAATTCCAACCGCCAAGGGATCTTTTATGTGCACGCCAGAGTATACACGGGACCTTGGTTTTTCGTCCCATCCGAACAACTAAAAAGCTGTCCTTATCCTTGCTAGGCCCTCCGTCCTGCACCACTGACATGTGCATTTTCTAATTCATCATGAGATTCAACTGAATGAACAGATGTTGTTACTGTATCTTCACACTTATACTCAAGAAAAGGAGAGGATTTAGCCGGGTATTTCACAATTATTAGCATGATAACTGGCCATTTTTGCTTTGCTCAATTATGTTCATCTTCCTCTAGTCATGAGGTGGGGGATTGGAAGGTTTTCCATAAATGGAATAATATTTGACAGTCCACAAAATTTTCATGACTGTTTTTGATATTACAAACCTTTCATAGTAACAAAATTTGACATACCTTATATATATATATATACCTTATATGTTATATATAACAAGTGACATTGACGGTTGGGTTTGATGTTTATTGCAAGCTGGCGCACAAACTTCTATCAAACCCCTGACATTTGCAATTGGTATTAGAATTAATTTGAATAGCATTCCAATAATAAAATCACTGGCACTGGTTTGTTGACAATCTTACAGTGAATCCCAAATATATTTAATACTGTTATTTATTATTAGTAATTTATTGCTTTTAAATGAATAACAATACAATAATAACAGTTAATTAATGATGAAAACATTCAACTACAATTTATAGTCCATTACAAGAAATTAATGCACCATTAAAGTTAACCTTACTTTTTTCTCAAATATTGGATAAAATAATCTAATATAAATGATACCTTCGGTTTCGTTTTTTTTGATCTACACAATATAATGATCTGATGCTGGGCATGGATAAGGTTTGGAAGGATGGTCTTGGCTCCATTTTACGCTCTGTTTATAAATAGATCAGTGCACATGTCTTGGCTTGATTCAAGTAGCTTTTGTTCATTGGCTGTTTTAAGTACACAACTTAGAGCACAAAACGAATGAAAAAACATCAGATTGAGTTTGACCCCATTTACTAGATAATTACGTCACTTTTATTTTATCAATGACATTAATAAGCCCATCAGATTTAATTACCATTGAATATTATTATTATTTTGAGCAGTGTTTGACAATTCCACTGATTTACAGGTAAATATTGTATACTTCATTTTATCGGACTCGCAATAGGTAGGTAGCATTTAATTTCTTGCTTGTATTAATTTCTTGTTATTACAGTGCATATAATATTGATAATTTAATAGATAACTGGCATTACTTTCAATAGACATCAGAATGTTTTAACAAAACAAGGACATCAAGAACATTTATTCAAGGTTAATAATGTAATATAATATTTCCATTCTTTGTAATGCACAGTGGTTATTTATTATTTAATGTTTGAGAGGGTGATGACTGTGATGACCATGATGGTCTTTATGGTGATCTTTATGTCTACATACTAGAACTGGTACGTGGGAATGATGCATGATATAATCACTGACACTGCCTACGAATGTGCGACGTAATGTACCCATACCACGAGTACCAACAACAATAAGATCAGCCTTTTCTTCATCTGCTACTCGTACTACAACTTCCCCAGCATTTCCTCCAACACTTTTGACTTTTCCCCCAATCTTGAAATACAAACATGAAAATACTTTGGTATTTAAATGTCTCAATTATGTGTTTAGTAGAAATGGTTAATAAATGAAACATAAACATATGGTTTGTCTGCAAAGTCATCTGAGCTAGCTCTAACACTTATACCAACAAAAGCTTATTATGGGTGGATAACTCTAATCAGTGGTTTATGATAAAAAAAAAAAAATGTTTCGGATTTTTATAGACTTCATATTTTGAACAGGGGAATCATATTGAAATTTGAAATTGAGATTGTCTAACTTTCAACAGGGTCCTACCAAGTTTTCAAAACATGTGCCATGCACTTTGACATAAGCTTTAATTTGATAGGCTTCTACCTGTTACCCTAATATATTCTATCAAACATCTGTACTATATAAGTTCAAGATTGAAAATAGCAAGGGAGATAATAAATAAATATATTATGGGCCTAATACCAATGCATTTTCCTGACCCTCTTGCACCTTTTAAAATCTATATATTTTTTGAAATTGTGGAAGGGAAATTGATTACTTACACCTGCATGTTTTAATTTATTACCAAGAACTTCTAGAAATGCCTTTGTCTTCTTTTCTTCTTCTTGTAAAAGATCGGTAACCACAGTAATATCAGTCATCACCATTGCTGTAAAAATATTCTGTATATACAAATATTGTTACAAAGTTAGGGAGGTTTTGTTACTGTAAAGTATTTGCATGATATTTAAAACATGTATATTAAATGAAGTAAATTACATTTATAGACAAGGGTGGGGGTGGGCCTGGTCAGCAGCAGCAAAGTTGTCAACTCTGTAATATGCATTTTGCAAGAGATAGACAGGGAACAAGCTAAAAAAAAAAAGAATTTACATACAATCAGCGGTCATAATCCTGAAAGTTAAAGTCTGATGTGCACGAATATCGCAAGGAACCAAGATCTTTGGGATATAAACATATATTTTAAGTTTCATCAAAATCAGATCAAAATTGTGACCTCTAGAGTCCCCACAACCTTGATATTACATACTTTAACACTATTTGCGCACAGGGGGCTGCCATTTTGTCAGGCAGTTTCGGTCCAATTTTCACAAAATTCACCTCATTCATCATTATGATGTAACGTTAATATATTCGAAAGTTTGTTTAAATTGGATAAAAATTGTGACCTCCATAGATGGACCACAACCTAAAAACAGGATTTTTCGTATCCGGGCCATAATCCAGGAAGTCACGGTTCGATATGTGCGAATCGAAAGGAACCAAGATCTTTTGGAGATAAAAACATATATTTCAAGTTTCGTCGAAATCGAATAAAAATTGTGACCTGTAGAGTGTCCACAAACAAATTATGGATGGACAGGGGCGATGACAATATATGTCCACATGAAAATGATAGAAGAAATGACTATGCAAAACCTGTTCAAAATTTATGAAACGAGAAATTTGAAATTCAACAGGATTCTTCCTTATGCCCCAATCAAACATCTCACCATGTATAAACAATAGGCTTCTTTGTTTCGCTACTTTAAATAATAGGCCCACTTATCAATTTCAAACAGATTTGTAAGTTTTAAATACAACTCTAAAAATAATACTGAATTTATCTCCCTTTAATGCATAGAATTCATGACAGTTCTATATAATGTGGTTGTAGTTTTTGTCAAGTACTTATTTAAAGGCTCAATACCACTCCTGTTGTAACTGAATAATATGTCCCAATCTTTATTCTGGTCAACAAATTGTACTATTTTACAATATTCCAATTAATTGATGATACAAATTTAATCTTAACACACCTAATTTAAAAAATTGGAAAAATTCAACTAAATGATTTGAAAAGCCTAACGTAAAGCTTTTCAAATGTGACTTGGATTTAAAAATATTTTCGAACCTCTGGACAAGTAAAATAGGATTTAATGGATAATTTACACAACAGGTAGGATACTTAAACATCTAATACTTAGAATAAGACTATTATTTATTGTCCCTTTAACCCTTCAATCGGCTTCAAACAGCTCAATGTAACAACATTTCCGAATAACTAACAGCTAAATGTAACAATATTTTAGTGTAACAAATTGCTCAAAGCATCAAAATTTCAGGATAATGAACTGCTCAACGTAACATTTCTTGATAAGCCCCGGCATACTGAATTATGGATATAGCCATAGTAGTAATTAGTTATGGACCATAATTAAATCAACTTACGTGACTGTACAACAGTATGGTACTCAGGACAGTGAACCATAATTACATGGTCATGCTCTCGATGGACATTTTCCATATACCCTATAAAACAGATTAAAAAAATATAAAATAAACAATTTCTGGGTCATGCCTGGTCGTTGAGATGGGACAGATAAAATAAGCTCCACCCACGCTGGTGTGTTCGTAGAAGAATCCATGACGATTTAAATACAACAAAGAATAGACAGAAATTTTCCTCCCTAGCATTACACACCTATTCATATGAAAAATAATAGAATGGTTTATTTTAAGTCTCAAAAAGTATTACATTGATTACTGTAGTTCATTACTCAAGACAAATTCACAAAGATAACATCTTTTCAATGTTCATATACATGTACCAGGGCCCTTATTCACGAAAACATAAAGTAAATTACAACCGAAATGTTAAGAAATACTGCAACTTCATTGGTTATATGCAAATTGATTTGACTGGTCAGCCAATCGAATTGCAGTATTTCTTAAAATTTCGATTGTATCTTAGTTTAAAGGAGCTAAATCGCTAACATTTGGGACCTAGAAATGGACAAAAGTAGGTCGCAACACATATAATACTGTAGTATGAATGTATATAAACTGATTTACATTCAACTTTTTCGGTACTTACTCCAATTTCAAATCAGTTATGTTCGGTGAAATAAGCCAGCAGTCTCAAGCAAGTGCAAATTTCTAGCGTCTGGTTATTTCAGTCTACATACGCCGTATCCCTCGAGTCTCTTGATACAACTGGGGCTGAAGCGCATTATGGTACACGATTCGTGTACCAATGGTAAAATGTTTATTTTGTCTTAAATATTGGATATCAAAAGCCCTTTTTTTTCCGGTAAGATCAGTTTTAGATCACAACATGAATGTTGATTTAATTTGACAAATAAATCGTGTTTTCAATGTTGAAGATTTTGGATGATATTGAGTTAGAGACTTAGCTACTTTAAGTTAAGTTTTCGTGAATAAGGGCCCTGGTTCTTAAAGAGGAAGGCATTAATGCCTTAACATTAAATATGTTTCTACAATGCACAACCAAAAATACAAATAATTTAGTTATTAATTCACATTCCATCAGTGACATAGAGTGACTAACAATTACACTTAGTTAAACATACATTATGCAAGAGCTAAATCTACCTATTGTAGGTCTTTCTTTAGGCCTGAAATCTTATATACACCATTAATTAGACATTTATTAACATGAAAAGACCATAATCAACCCTCGATGCTATCTTATGTGTCCAATTTTCATTGGATTTGAATCCGATCTGCTGTTTAACACTCATTGAAGATTAAGCGAGACTGTTAATCATCGTGACAGTGTTAACAATGACAATCAAGGCTACAAAGACTTTAAAATAAGTTTTCTCGGCTTAGAGTAAAGCAATTTGACTGAAATTTTCAGCGTATTCCCTTTACATTATCTAGTTTTTAACTACCGGTATTATAGTGAGAACTGCATGCTCTTTATCTAATCTTCCATAATGTGTCTTTAATTAAGGAGAATCAATTAGTACTTCGAGCTGTGCATTGTTAAAACTATTTTAAAACTAAATGAATAAAATATTGGTAAAATCTTCGAGCTGGGCATTGTTGGAACTATTTTAAAACTAAATGAATAAAATAATGTTAGAAATTTGCAAGCTGGGCCTTGTAGGAACTATTTTAAAACTAAGTGAATAAAATATTTGTAAAGATTTGCAATGGACATTCTAACTTTCTTTAATAATAGCTCAACATAGTTAAATCAAGATAAGTTGAACTGGTTGTAAGTGTTATTTATATTCTTTGTATGTTGACATATATATATACCCTTGTATTATATTTCACGAATATTATTACACTATGTGATAAGTATAAAGTTAGACAGATAACCTACCATATCAAGATTAAGTAAAATTTTATTCTGGGGTCACCTTAAAGTAATAACTACTTTCTAGAAAGGAATGGGGTCCCGTTTACACAATACTGATGATGTACATGGTTTAGTATTTGACGGATATAGTTTTGTCATGACAGCAGCATTTTCATGTACACTTCGTCGAACTCCAACTTTCAAACGTTCCAAATGAGTCCAATGCCCAGACCAATCATGTACCCCCGCCTTCAAAAAATTGTGGTGCAGCCTTGACAGTTGTTTCAAAAAGAAAATAGAGTAAGTATAATATCCTGCCTCCTGCACTACTATATTAACATACAAGCTGAATAAATACAGAGACATCATTGTTTCATTATGAAACTTGAAAAAAAACTTCTACTAAAACAGTTTTAAATTTTGCTGGGGTAATATTCAATGACACCATCAACAACATGAAATGAAATGAAATACTAATAGGGTTCAAAGTCTACTTTTCTGCACCGACTGGGCTAATGAAGACAGTCAACAACATGAAACATTGATTTAATAGTTTTATATTTAAATTTCATTCTCTCGCTGATACCATACTGTTTATGGTAAAAATGTTTTATACCTGGTGGGAGACTTTTAACATATGCTGTATATAAAAAGAGAGAATCACTTTAAGAAGATTAAATACATCAAGCTTACCTTACTGATTTATAGTTATATTTTTCTGTCCTATTAAAACCTTAATGTATCAGTTACACTGTTTTATAGTATATTTTCAGAAATTGGATAGTATTTACACTTTCAAAAACTCATTAATATCATAGAAGTGTATAATTATCAGGTGCTTAAAGTGCCCAAGACCCATTCAAAGGAAGAAACTTTAAAGATAAATGCAGTAGAATTTGAAGATATGTTTGATCAATATAACTTATTTTATCTGAAAGTATATTACTTGAATTGACCAGGATGAATAAAATTATGGACATAATTTCCATCATAAGACAAGTTAATCTTTATAACATCATTCACTATATGCTGTTTTTGCTCTCTCAACAGATGCATTACTCGCAAGCATATTCATGCTACATAGGTAAACTGAGCTTGTCGATCTTGAAGTATCTTATGAGATATGTCTTGGGCAATAAATATATTTTTCTTGATGGTTTGAAGTTTGAATTGTATATACCTATATAAGATCACGATTTTCAATGAAATATATTTATCAATAAGGTATGATAAGGAAATTTTGAGACTAACAACAGCTATCTTTTGGTACCCTGGCCCTCGCGCTGTTCCGGCGCCCCTGGTAGGATCGAATTTAATATCACAAATTAAGGGTGATTTATTGAATCCCTCCCTGTATTGTAAGTGGATTTAGATTGAAAGAGTATCTATATATCCATACTTTAGAATATAGGCAAATGTTTAATCCGTAGAAAAGGCACTCCGAAAAAAATGGGTGGGGATCCTCCCATCTTCCACCCCCACAATACACCACCCCACCCCACCCCATAACTCTCCACAATCCAAATTGTCTGTCTCCCAATTGTAAAATTGCTAGCTGTATTATTTATGTAAGGTCGTAGGTTTATCCATATATCGGTCAGTAAAAGTCTTTTCAAACTCACAATACCACATCATCATTGGGGAACATCGCATGTCTGTTGGTTATTCACTCAATAACAATAAATTACAAGTGATCCATACTTACAATTAAATGCAAAATCTGCGTATTCACTACCATCCATAGCAATGGCTACATTTCTTACTGGTGCAGTTGTCATTGTTGAAAAAAAATGCCGATGAGAATCTTGACAAAAATAATGTTTGCGTCAACTAAGCTGTCAGTATCAGTAACCCTGAACGTCTCTCTACGATGTCTGAGGTCCTTTACCTCAATCGGCCAATAACACAGTTATTTATCACCACATATAGTTATAGTTATCCAGACACGTCATGTTTCTAGAACATACAAGTCTTTCTATTTTACCCTTTTTTATTCAGGTTAGCCTACTTTATATTTTATTTTCAAGCACAAATATTGTAAATAAATATATATGTAGGGTAAATGAAAATATGATTTATGGACCTAATCATTTTTTTTCTTGAATTGTATATTTTATTTATCAAACAATAATTCCAAGTAAAACATTTTTAATATTGATAAATATTTATTGTGTAAAATTTGGCCAATTTAACTACATTTTTAATGCCGGCTCATTGGTGACACTCATTGATATAATGCTCATTGCGGGATGCTTATTAGTCCAAAGGGCATATCATATCAAGGTAGTCCTACATGAATTGATATGAATAATACATCTTGTTTTAAAATTTAAAAATAACAGAATCCCAGATAAGAACATGTATAGTGTGGTGTATTCAGCACAGATGATCTGGTTGAATGAAGTGATTGAATAGGTGAACACAGGTGAACTGGTTGATAGTGAAATGAAATGAAATGGGGTTTAACGTCCTACTGTTCTGCTCCTAACCTGGGCTAATGAAGACGGGCATACGCCATACAGTGTGCTATGAGGGAAATTTTGCCCGGACAGCGGCACTACAGCCTACTTTTATATCGAATTCCAACTGCCAAGGGACCTTTTCCGTGCACGCCAATGTGTACACGGGACCTCGGTTTTTCGTCCCATCCGAACGACTAGACAGCTTTCCTTGTCAGCCCCTCCGTCCTGCATCACTGACAAGGGAGAACCACGCCGGAAAATCTGGATGAACTTTCTCGGCCAATGCAGGGATCGAACACCCGACCTCCAGGCTAGCGAGCTAGCGTCTTACCCACTTAGCCACGCGATTCCCCGAACTGGTTGATAGAGAGCAGGGAAGAGGAACATATAATCTTTGTTGTGATAATATGTTTTACAAATAGGTGTCAGTCAAAGATGTGAGTTCACATTTTCTATTAAAAAATGGGGATGGGCTAAATTGTTAATGACGTAGAAATAGAAACAAAATCTGAGTGATTTATCAAACAATTTCTTAGAATATCATAATGTTAAAAATAATAATAATTTGCCGGGGCGATAACCTTACATTCCTCAAAAAACGTCAAGGTCAAATGTTTTTTTGTTAATCCACTCTACTTTAAGTTTTAACTTATATAAGTTACAGGATTATGAGTGAAGACGGTTTGACATTTGTGTAGTCTTAAAGGCCAATACTAGGCTTGTTTAGCTTATAACTAAAAACAAAATCTTGAAGGTCTTTTTTATGAAAACAGTAAATCGAACAAAAAGTCATTCATTTCTCTGTAATAATACAATAAGCCAAGAAAATGTCTATAAATCATGTGATAAGGACAAAAGGTGAAGAAAACTATTCATTATGTTAAATAAGCTTCATTTATCACAAGAATCTAGTTTTTTCATTTCTTGTGGCTGGTCTGAGTAAATTTTGATTCACATGGTCAAATAAAATTAGTATAAGATGTTACAGCATATTTTGTTTCAATGCCGAAAGGCATATAAAATCAAGAATTTTGAGGTTTTCTACTTCTTTTATTTTAAGAGAAAACTTGCATGGGTATAGGTTTCAAGGCAACACATCTCCACAAGCAGTTTTTCCAATATGTTATGAAACTATTTCATCTAATGGGGCTTTAATTCGATTATCAATTTTCATACTATATCTGAACAAGATTTTGATTTCAGTTGTCCTCATTCTTGTGACCTTCCAATCACATTACTGGTAAGTTTTCCAAAATTCTTTATACTCTGATGTTGAGTCTTCTTGAACTAAAAAGAGTATTTTTGTCTAATGAGAAGAAAAGTAAGAGACCAAATCTGAATATTAATTAAAAAAGAAATACATTTTATTGATAAATTATTATAACAATTAACGCACATATTGCTGACAACCAAATATTCTTATAACAAATCCTGGTCCACATAATATCTCTATAGATCTAAATAGTTGTGCATTTTACATCATAAAATATAAAATAATTCACATATAAATAGCATATTGAAAATAATTACAGATAACTTCTATTAAGGACACACATTTGATTATGAAAGCAGGCATGACATCGGTGTATCTCATTTTTATTTTCTTCTGTCCTTTCAAGACAATGAACAACTGCAGTTTCAACACCTTACTAAATCTTAGGAGACTGCAAATACTTTACAGTTCAAATTTACAGGGTCTAAGTTTGAATAATAATAATGTGATATTTAATCTGGTGAAGTAGTCTACATATCCATCTTTGTTTTTTGAAATTTACAGGCAACATACACATTTAATTTATAGACTAAAATAAAATCTCTAAATTCTAGTTGTATCTCATGATTTACTGACCTTAGAAATAATAATATACAGTATGATAATTCTATAACATATGTCTGTTTACATTTTATATTAAAAGAATAAATTACAAGGGAACCATCTTTAAATATATATTCTATCTCTTACTAAACAAGGTTAATAAATAGGCTATGGCGGCTCTAAAAAAAAATAAAAGATTCCAATTTAACCTAATATGCCCCTTACATTAATACCATACTGCATACATAGTAAATAAACTAATCATTTTATTCAGTATCACTTGTGTGTAAATTGGACCCTTTATAATAGTGATAAAATATGAGCAATAAAAACATAATTAAATGTTAATAAAACAATTAAATAATGACTAATTTGAGATTTTTCTTAGCAAACATAGACAGGTGCTTTTCAGGCACACTGTATGCCCCAAGTTGTCCATGCTGGATTCAAAATCGTTGTCAACAAATCCCACAGAAATTGTGTTTGATATGTGCAATCCTAAAACTTTCATATTGAATATAGATCTTATTGATGCCCAAATAAACAATCTCACCAAGAATTGTCATCTCAAATTTTCTTCTGTATCATGCTTACAAGATTTCATGAATTTAAATGAAACGATGGTCAAACTCTTGATATATGAAAAAGAAAAATGCAGCGTTTCTATAGAGTCTCTCCTTTGGCCTAAATGAACAAGACCACCCAGTTTTGGATACTCTATCAATAACATTGTCTTGTATTCTTTTTCAAAGTCAATTTAATTAAAAAACAGATCTACATTTTGTTTTGTTTTTTTATACTTTTGAGTGCCTCCACTACATTAAGATCTGACCAGATGTAGTGGGAGGTAGCATCAGGGGTCATACAAGCGGCTTTTAACCTATGACGTCAGTGTTACTGTTGACGTTTCTACTGGGATACCCACAGTTCCGTGCACTGCATGCCAAGAACTTGCCACAACAGATAGCTTCATCGGCTAATCCCTCACATCAACCAGAATGCAGGTTATATAACAACTCTTCCACATCCTAGTGTAGTAAAGACAAGTAAAATGAAATTTTTAACTACAAAAAACGAAAACGAAAAAGGATATGTGTTTTAATCAGATTGTTTCAAAGTCAAAATATGGAAAAGTAAAATTTGAAAAATGAGTTCAGTATTACGAACCGCATGGTCTACAGACCGACAGGGGTAACAACAGTATACAACCACAGTTGCAAATCAAAGAAGTTTAAGGTTTCCTTTGATAATGTTGATATTAATGTCATTGAATCAAAGTCAAGAAACAAAACTATCACTAATCAAGCAGTGAACTAAAATCAACATGGAGGTTGACATTGTATTTAAATATTGCAAATTAAGAAATACATCTAATATTTTTATATCTCACAATTGAGATAAAGACATAAAGTTATATTAAAATTCATAAAGGTTGATTTAATTCATGCAAAATAGTAAAAAATTCCAAATTTAAAAAAAAAAAAATTAAACCTAACTTTCAATGGGATTACAACAACTGTTGTTAAAGAAGTGGGTATGCAGAGAAACATGAAGATGTACATGTACTATCATTTTCACATTTGAAAAATAAATATAATATATTGCATGCTAACATACAAAAATATTTCAAATAAATTTGAAGAAAAAAATAGTTTTTCACATTTTCAGTTAATCATAGTATTCAAAATGACGTACAGTTATCTCTTGGATTAAATAAACAATAATTTTATACATTATTAATTGCGATAAAAAATACATATGAAATATTTATGAACAATAAATCAGATGCCAATCTTAAATAAATATCTATACCGAGTCGATATTTTAAGAAGTCTTTCATGAATTTTCCTTCATCCATTTTAAATGTACATTATTGCCATCTAAAATCTAGATAGTTCATGCATGAATTGAGCAACTTTAGACCCACTAAATGTATATTCCAATAAGCAATACAACACGCAATATAGACCTTTCTAGAGAAATGATTTTTAAAAGCTTACAAGATTTGTTAACAAAAGCACAAAAAAGAAACAACACATAAACTAATGATTTTAAAACAAATTTTTGGTTTTACATTTGGTAAACACATCACAAATATCTAAAATACTTACAGGAAAATATATTTTAAAACATATTAAATTGTGCATTTAGAACTGAGTGACTTATATGACCACACCATTACGTGCTTTATATACAATACCTGTGGCCCATATGTATAACCCTGCACCAGACTACAGTATCTTTCATATTACTCCATTGTTTACTGCATATTAGACATACCATATTGACCTGAACACATACTAGAAGCAAGTCTTTTTTTGGCATGACAGCTACACATATCTTAATAAAGTTTATTTTACAATAAGATACTTTCAACAAAATCAGGAGCTATGGGTGTACAGATACTATATAATTTATGATAAATGAAAAACATCCACATTAATTCATGAGTGAAAAATTTTAAATTTAAAAAGAAATAAAACCCCCAAACAAATATCCTATTAATTATCATCTTGTGATTAAAATTAAATTATACTTTTTTTTATATTATCCAACAATGTAGTCTAACAAACTTTCAATTATGATGATATTCTGCCAGGAAGAGTCCTATCTACATCAGACAATTTTCTTCCAAATGGCTACATATCCCCCAAACCAGACACAAACATTCCTATTCATTTTTCGGCATAATCCAATACAATAAACCCTCTAAACCAATACATACAATTTGATTATCGATAGTCAAGATTATATGATCTGAACATCGACTTCAAACAAAATGTCAGATGTAAATATAAGAAAATGAACATAATAGACATCTTTTTTTTTTTTAAATCATATTATAATATTTTTAATCAATCAATAATGTGTTCTTCTATTGTGTTCTACTAATCTTCTTTCTTTAATGCACATAAATCTATAAAATCTATACTTCTGTTATCACAGTTTCATTTATTCTAATTCACACATATTTCTTATTTCCATCTTTATATTCATTTTACCGTACATGTTCCAATCATGCATGTTTAACACATTAAGAGTCCCAGATGTCTTGATAGTAAAATAGCCTTTGTCAACCAGATGCATGTTGTAATCCAGAAGTCCATCATTGTATGTTGCAAACTATTTAGAAATTTAACACTTAATGATTGACATATCAAATTTGCATATAGCATTAGCAAACTATCTAGATGTTCATCATCAAATAAATGATGCAAATTCATATACTAATCCGCACTCACATCTGATGGAAAAGTAATTATCGAAAGCCTTGATTACTAGCCATAACTTTACACTTAAGAATCAACAAGAGTTGGTGAGGTAATAAGAATGGGACCCTGGTTTAATATCAATATGACTATTGTCTCTTGTTCAAACTTTTTTAAGTCACATTTTTATTTTTGTTTTCTGCTTTGTGAGTAATTCTTGCATGCATTTTTAAATATTCAGGTGCATTCTCTGACTTTTCTGATATAGATTTCATCCGTTGGGACTCTTCCTGAAAATAACAAAAATTTCACAGCTGAAATAGCGGTAAATAAACCAACATTAATACAACATGGAATAAATTATAATTGTACATATGAAATCTGTGCAAATTTTCTATATTACCTAGGTCTGCAGTGGATTAACATGGAGTTGAACACAAATCATAATATGTAAAACAACTGATACCACTGCTTATTTATTTGGGTAGTTACCATTTTTATTGTATTTTTGATCGATTGTTTTTTGTTTATGTAAAAACTTAGCTGATGAGACTCATATTAAGTCCACTCAACACAAACTAAGGCATTTTGGGACTAACATATGGTTCAATTTTATTTCAATAATTCGCTTGCGCGTAGGGGTCTTTAGCAGTGGGAGGAAACTGGATGACCCGGAGAAAACCCACGAGATTAGACAGGCGACCGTACTCCTTGCCACATACAACCGGGGAATCGAAACCACGCCAGTTGACTCTATGACAGACCTTATGATGTAGCACACACGTGCTAATCATTCAGCCATCCAACCCCCCTACTTCTCAGACACATGCATGGAAGTTAACAATTTGTATCATACTTTCATATTTAAAAAAATACACCAGTCACCATTTAATGTATAATTTATGACAATTTTTTTGAGTTTAAAAATATCATGCAATCAAAAAGTGATTAGGAAATAAACACTTACCTCTTTCATTTTATTAGCTCGTTCTTCTAATTTTAATTCTAAACTTGTTCTTTTATTACACTGATGTTGATCTTCCCATTCTTTATGCCGCTGTGTTTCTTTTCTTTTTTCCAAAATTTTATTCAATTCAGGTTTTTGTAACACATTAACACCTCTAAAAAAGAAAGGAAACACAAATTTAGCATTCTTACAAACTGAAACGCGAGGGTTGCAGATTTTGTACATTTATTATTTCTAACATCCAAATCTACAATCCAATCTTGAAATCCAATGATAAATATTTATTTCATGGAAAGAAACAGTAAAGAAATTTATCCTCCAATCCATTTAAAATGATATATTTAAATAGAAGTCGGTATAATTCATGAAATGATAAAGATGGATATTACATTTTTTGCAAACAATTTACAGAACAGTACATTGGTAATCAAATGCAACTTGTTTAGATAGTGAGATTGAGACCAATAATCCTTAGTGGGTAGTATTACTGACCACCACCTTTTAAATAACAAAGTAAGTCGCTAATCCTGATCTTGCATGTTTCAGACAGAGCACAATTTATCAGGACTTAATCTATGATAAAATGTAATATTGAATTAAGAAAACAAAACCCAAATATCAATGACAGAAAATCTTCTGGCTTGGATTCAATTCAGAGGCCTATCAAAACTTTTTATAGGTGGTGCTCACTGGCTTATTCATATTGTCTGCTGAAGATACTAAATGTTGCAAAAATGTTCTGTTCATTGTATCTTTGTAAATACTGAATGAAACTGGAACATTTTTGGACTTATATTCCATTTAGTGGTTCAATTTGTACAATATATCATAGATGGCAACTGATTCAAAATCCCTCAAAGGTTGACACCTTAACTAGTGAATATTTTACCTTCTGTAATTAAGTAAGAGTTCTTTATGTAGGGCTTGTCTTTCTCTAGACTGAAGACATGGATTGCTTATTTTTTTAGGTTGAATCTGGGGACTTTCATCTTCCGGTGGAGGTTTCATAGCTGCGGTGGGAGGATGACCGTTTAATTTACTCTCAAGAGAGTCTTTATTACCATTATCTTCAACATCTAATGGTGGTGGAGGGGGTGGAAACGACTCACCCTCATCTTCGTTATAATCGGGTGCAGGTTCTGGTATTTCAATATTTTCTAAAACAATCAAGAAACATAAAGAACTTTATTTTCTCTATAAATAAAATATGTGATATATACTTGTTAAATTATTACCAAATTATTGTATAAATCTATTGTTGCAGCATGTTTTTAGATGATGATGTTATTCAACTGGATGTATTTCCTCGCTGGCTAAAATCCAAGTCATAACTAAGCTCGTCATTAGAGCTTAGTTGAAAATAGTTGATTAGTTTTAATGTATATAATTCCAACTAATGTACATTATTACAGTTACACAGACATATCAAAGTAATTTTACACAGAAAAAATAAAAAGTTAAGAGTTAGTTTACCAGTCAATAACAATCAGTTTCTAATAGGTGCTCAGGTGCAGACTATTTATAAAAATAAAGTGTGCTTGATTGAAACATGCTAGTTAATTACATAATTTGTGCTACTTAGTAAACGGTTAAATTCTTGGAACACCATCTCTATTAAAACATTCATGGGAACAAATTGTCTAATTAAAGACAACTACTTTGTGCCATGTTAGCAAGAGATAATTTCCCAAAAATTACTATTCTAAAATGGACAGAACTCTTTGATTTGGATACAAAATAAAATTGTTGATTTAATTCAATCTGTTGTATGAATTTTTGTTGTGTGAAGTAGGTATCTGTCTATATATAAATTTAGGATCAATAGACAGAGAGCCAATTTTGAGATATATATGTTCAACAGTCGACAGTTTAAGTCAAATACGAGAAACTAAGATTAGTACAAAAACTAACTTTGACTTCAAAACCAAAAATTTATCTAAAATTATCATTAATCAAAAAAGCACATCAGATCCACCAAATTCAACACTTTAGTTTCTTTAAATGAAGAGGTTTATCTCATATAAATACATGCTTTTAAAACTTATCATTCATGCATGAATAACCATTAGGACATAAAATTAAAAAACTTTCAAATTGGCGATATCATTCTTCTTGAAGTAACGATGCGGCATTGACATTTGTCGCTAAATTATCAAATTTTTCATGGATAATCCACACTAATATGTACTCAGATTGATTATTTCACATTAAATTAAGAAAACAAAAATCAAAATACCAACGCTAAATAATGTCCCGGCTTGGATTCAATCAGATTTAAAACAGGCTTATCATTAAATTTTCTAGTAGATAACAAATGTTGGCTTGCTTATTCCATAGTGAGCAGCATAGATTGATGAAATTTCAATTCTATACATCTTTCTAAATACTGAATGGAATTCAATCATTATTGGGCTAATATTCTTATTAGGGATACATCTTTCACAATATTGTAGTTTTCAAGTCATGCCTATTGCTTAAAATGGCGCAAAAGAACTTTAATGAAATACACAATCTTTTGTTTGGTTGTACGCACAAAATTACTATTATTGAAGGTAATACAATGATAAATTATTAGAGATATTTACAATATTGTTTGCCAAACATTTTAATGACAGTTTTCTTTTTAAGAATTAAATATGGAACATCATGCTGTGTTTGATATAAATGAGATCCATTGATTCATCTCACACTTATCATTAATATACAACTGACATGAATAAATTATAACAACACATTTATCTCAAGTCATTTATAACTTCATTATATACACGTTAAAGAGATAATATTACAAAAACATTTCAGGTTTCAGGTGGGGAAATCTACACAACATATTAAAGAGGCATTATCATTTTTACTGTTGTTTAAATCATCACTTTCTCCAAGAAAAATAAATGTAATTAATATTGAATACCGGTAATAAGTATGTAAAAAAAATAAAAGACTCCTTTAATTACTACAAATCCAAGCACTGGACTACTTAGAATAAGATATTTTGTTCTAGCGTTCATTAATTCCGTAAAAATCACTAAATAACTTGAAACTCACAATATTTATGTATACAGAATTATTTTTTACTGTCCCAGAATTTTCCAAATTTTTGATATATTGGGAATAATCAATTGTTTAATATAATGTATGTGAATTTCATATAAAAAAAAAATTGTCTCATTCAAAAAAAGAATTTATCATTATGGGTCCATTTGTTCTTAATTTACTTTGACCTAGCTACTAGCTAGACTTAAATTAATATCAAAAACAATTTTTTCGAAATAATATTTTTAACACCGCTTTGGTTTTTTTTCTCCCTTTTTGTTATTTAAAATATAAGCACAATCATTAAGATATAAAAAAGGTGAAAATCAGTGCACAGCAAATCTCCAATCTCTGAAATAAATCACAAACTATAAAGTTTACAATGTGACAGTTTCTTTGAAGTCTCACACAAATCTGTTAATCATGTAGATGTTTTGGATACTGGGGGTTACTTTATTGTATATTTTTAAATATTTAAAACAGTTTAAAGGTGTGAAACCTCTTTTAATAAAGGATTCCTGTTGGCTGTAACTCAAGTACAACTATTTTTCCATTTTAAATAACACACTATTATTAAGTAATATATAGAAGGTACATGTATATCATTTTCTTATTTATTAGCCAGTCAGGGACTTTGTGATCAAATGTAACTTCTAGTCCAATGCAGTTAATAGATACAAGTACTATACTTCTGTCAGTAATTATCTGAAAATGTTGAAGATTTGCTTCTTCATCTCATAACCTTAAACATTGTGTATAAAAAGTCAATGGTAAGATAACTTTTTTGCCTCTATAGAGTGTCCACAATTAATTCTGTATGACTGGTGAATGGACAGACATTTCAATGTGGGTTTATAAAAATGGTGGATGATATACTCACTATATATTACTGTATAATAGTAAGTCATCTTGTTTTTTTTTTAAATTGTGTCTAGCGTCTGTTAACACCCCAGCTCTACATGTTATAAACAATTACATTAAAACTGTAACTTGTAGCTTCATTGTTTGTAGAAGGAAAGATGTATATTTTGTCGCAATACAAATACAATGCACGTAACACAAAAGACAAAATAATATCCGGCTGGGTTGGTTTAAAGGGTCATAAAATTCAACTATTTTTATACATGGTAATGTCCTCCAAAGACGCAAAAAACATGTAGTCGTGTTTCAGACAGATAATATCAGTTGACAAATTACCAAATGCGGCATAAAAAACGCTGCACTTGGCCTCTGCAGTGACTTCGTAACACAAGATTTATGCATATTTATCAGCAATTACGGAACACATGTAATTAATTCAAAATTATATAAAACTCATTGAAATTTATCGAAATAAAGAACGTATTTAGCATTTATATGTCCCTTCATAAGCTCCTGTCCTCCAACGACCTCCTTACCAGGGGTAGGCAGATCTAGGGACCCATTTCACATGTGAATAAAATAATTTACTATACATTCCTATTGAAACAGGCCCCTGGAGGATAGAAAGCTATTTACACCAACCAGTTTTGGCTCATTCACACTACAAAGAAGAAATGATTTAGTTTAAAATCTGACAAGCATTAGTCTTGCGCTAGAAATTCTGAAAGAGATGGAATATGAAGACAAAATCAATTTATTGTTTTATTAAAATGTTTAATAGAAAAGGTTAGTCTTGTTGAGCTACAAATATATATATTGGAAAGATTTTGGAGAGATTTCTTGATGATGTCCTATACCTATGACAGCATTTGACAATACACTTTCAAATTTTCGAACGAACGTCAATGCTTTAGCATCTTTCTCATCTAGATTGTCATCACAGTCATAATCGGGTGTTGGTGTCTCCGGAACTGTAAAAATAATAAATTTCAAGTATCTGACTTAATGATAGTTATTCTAAATAAAGGAACAGAATGTCTGTATCGTGAATGTCTGGTCAAGGTCTGAGAGATATAACTACTTTTCTTCCTATGCTAGTGAGAAGAAACTAGTCTGGACAGCTTTCTTCAGTTATGATTCTGTCAAGGGATATAAGCTATTATGCATAACTGCAAGTTGCCCCCCCCCCCAAAAAAAAACCCCATTAAAATATCCTGTTTTGGCTCATGTTCATGAAGGGTTCGGTCAACAATACTCTATCATTTGGTGGTAAGCTATCAGATTAAAAACAAGAGCTTTCAAATTTTGGAGGTGCATAAATGGAGTTATCTCCCTTCTTCCATAATTCTCTACTTTGTAAATTGGAAAAATTTCCTTGATAGATCCTGAACACATTGTCATTTTCCTAGTAATGATGACATGTCAACTGAGAATGACTTTTTTTAAGGTGGCTAAGAAAATTTCAAAAGTTTGTACACCCCAAGGGGAATGTGTAGAAAAATAAATGGAAACCATCAATTTTGTACAGAAAGCTGGGCTTAGAACTTTTCAGCCATCCCTCGTAGCTTTCACCTATCTATTGCCGTATAACCAATTCCTTGAAATTCAGAATTGACAGTTATTTGTGACAAAATCATCTAAGGACACAAACAAGGTTAAAACTCCAGCAAATAAATCATGGTTCATTGTAACAAAAACATTGAAGCTAAAAAAAAATGCTTAGTTGCTTCTTGATTTAATGGGTGTATTAATAAAACATTTTCTATTTAGTCCTTTTTGCTCTAAGCTTTTAATGACCTTTTAGTGAACTATACCCCAAACTGGAAATCAATGCCCCAGTGACTTTATATAAAGATAAACTTAAAATCAGTGGTTATGTTCAGCTTCCAGAGTGCATGTTGACCTTAAATACACATTGTTTTAGCATGCTTAATACTAAAGTGGAAGGACATTGTTAGCCTTCTTAGTGTAGTTACAATTTACCAGCGCAAAAATCAATAGGTACAGTTGTTTGACCGTATCCGTACATATTATTTTCCGGTGAAATTAAGATGAGGGGATGAGAAAAGTAAATGATTATACATCCATGTTTAAATTGGTATAAAGTGTGTTTCAACTGGGGTAGTGAGAGTTTGTAAACATTAGCTGTATTAAAACAAGAACTCGGGATGGACGATTGGACGTGAAATTAGTTTGTATTAACACTAAAGAAAACCTTCCAAACAACATGGCCATGATATTTTTTTCCAAATCCCAACTGAATTGTTATTTCTAAACTTAGCAAGCATGACATTATAAAGCCAAACAATGATGTTTTTCTCTTGTCATGACTGTTACATTGTAAAATGTCTTCCTTATAAAGGCCTTTAAAACGTGAACATTTTTTGATAAAGAAAAAATGTAATACATTGTAATACATGTACATGTATAATATATATTAACAAGATTATGACAACATCAAAGACATCCACATTGAAAAGTTAATTTGTTTCATGCCTTATATATCAAATTGATTAGAACTTACTTGGATAATTTGGATAAAAACTATTCTGCATGTCTTCAAAATGTCTTATTTTCTTTTCCTTTTCTTCCTGAAAAAAAAAAGTACATTTAAAGGCTTTTTTCTTTTATAAGGAAATGTATTTATGGCATATAAAAATATAAATGGAGTATTTTAGACAAAATAAAAGAAAGTGTTTTTAATCAATGTTACCTTGAAGTTGTTTTGAGTAGTAACATATTATGGAAATATGTAGTAGTCGAGTCATAGGTAATTTACAAAAATTAACTAACATGTATTATCACAGCTTTCCATTAAAAATTACAACTTCATAAAGGGATTTCTTTAACTGAAACTCTTTCTTTAACTATTCTTTGTGAGTACACGTTAAACAAAGACATAAAACCAAAATGAATCCTTTTTATTGGTTATTTTTCAGAGTAGCCTACCAGAATAAAACATTTTTTAAAAAAATAAGATTATAGACAAATAGACTGACTACAAGTACAAATTCTCAGAATTAACTCCAAATTGCTCTCCACCTGAGCATGCCCTATCTTAACATGCCTTGTTGTGATAAAAAATCTGTGCTTTGAAAGTCTGAAATCTATGCTTTAATAAATTGTATGTACCGGTATCCTTATGAATCTGAGAAGATTGTATGAGAAAACTTAGCAAGAGACAGACACACAAACTACATGTAGGTCATTTCAGGACTAACATATGGTTCAATCAGGGAATCGAAACCAAACTTAGCAAGAGTGCAATCTGCAATCATTATGATCATCGACGACTTTCGTTTTCTGTTTCAAAAGTTCTGTACCTTGATATACCCCCGTCACCATCTAAAGCACAAAAATTACAAGCTAGAACATGTGACGGATGGTTTGCTTTTAAATCGATTTTTGATGTTTCTTTCGACTGATAATGACACTGAAACATGGTTATAAAGATGTTAATTTTGACAATTTTGGGTTATGAAAGTGTAAGCATGAAATTGTGTTGTTGGAAGCCAAATTCTTGAAATTTTCTTGAAACAAAAAGGTTATCCCCCACCCACCATAGGAAACTGTACTTTGTCAATAAAGCCTTAAGATAAATCATGGACCTGAGTATTGTAGTGGAAATTTATCCATTTTACCATCAATGACATTGTATTGTGACAGTATTTTTCACAGATTGCCTTGATGGAACTGAATGTCATTATCAGTAAATCAATAGTTGTTTTACTAACTCATCAATCAGGCAATTATATCTTTTCAAATCGATCAGGTCCTATTTATGCTTACATACAGCATTAATTCATCTGATTATCAAGGGGTATAACTCTGGCTGTGTTTATCAGAAATTGGTGAAAACCAACTGGCCCTAGATCACCCAAAATTTGTCCTGATGACACCAATGTTAATTCTGGTATGTTGGCTCCGGCTTTAAACTTTCCCAAATTTACACTGCATTAAGCAATTTCAACCACTGCTGGAGCAACATATGATGAATTCTTTCTCAATATGTACATTAGTACAATGTAGCTTTATCCTCTATAGCTTCTTTCAGCTTTGAGTCTCACCACATCTAAACCAGGCCTGTATGGAGTATGTTAAGATTTGGTGAGATTATCAAGGGCCAAAGAATCATTGAACATACATGTATATGATACTTTGATAATCTACTTTCTTTCATCAATCTACATAATCTATCCTTAAAACAAATCACATTTTCAATCTTGTAAAATTATCAAGATACATGTATACAGACATGACATAAAAATCTGTGAAAATCAATAGGGTTATGAAATTTCCAAAAGGCTAAATAATAGTTATCCAAATAAGAATTGCTGATAAAGGACAGATGAATAAACAAGTACAACACATGACATTGCTGCAGAAAACACATAGAAAAAACTTAGTTCTTCCTTAGCAATTATATAATAATCAAAAGCTTAAAATTGCCTTTATATTTTTTCGCTTTTAATTGTGAATGGTTTGAGCAGACTTTAGAATGTGGTCACCATTAGGAATCAGTGCTAGATTGAAAGATTCTGTAATTATTCCAATGGTAGTAAATACCACTACAGAAATCCTCAAATCAAGAATGGTACCAAAGTACCAGGAAGTATTTAACAATTCATATACGACTCATTTCTAGGCTGGACGGAAATCGAAATTTCCTCTTATTACATTTGGATTTTTGCACCCTATGTGATGCACCCCAGAATATTCCAAAATTGCTATGTTAGAGACCTTTGCAAACATTCCTATAGAAATTTTCTGCATTCTTATAACATATTTTTCTAATGCTATAAAGAATATTTCTATTCAATAAAATTTATCTTACAGAGCATCTCTGTTTTAATATTAACAGAAAACAAAATTACAAACCTTGACAATCCCAAACTTGTGATTGTGAAATATAGGCTAATACCACTTCTTATTTTTTTAATGAGTTCATACATGTAGTAAGATAACAAATTTTTCTACAGCTTTAATATTATTGAATGATCAATCTATCTGAAGATCAGTTTCTGTTGAAATTTGCATACCCAGACTGGAAAGCAATGCAATCCAAAATGTAACGAAATTTATCGCTTTTTCGGAATGTTTTAATGATTAATGTGAAGGCCTCAGATCACAAAGTCTGTTAGTGAGTCAAGTGGGGTGGTTCCAACTTCGAGGGTTTTCTTGAATTGTTTAAATAAAATTGTACAATATGTTATTCCCGAAATGACATAGTTTGTGTCGAGTGAACGTTAAACCCCATCTCTTTTTTTTCACAGTAATCCCCCACTGAATAATTTGGCAATGTTGTAGTATCCAATAAAGTAAGACTTTTCTAACAGCCTAATAAACATCACAAAAAAACCTGTTATAAATATATCTAGGTTAATCATACATTAATCTAAAATGAATTCATATTACTAACCTTAATATTGATAAAATAAATAGTTAATAACCACACATTACTATACGTAACTTGGTCGTTCAATAGACCATAGAAATATCAATATGTCTAAAGGCCTCAACTCGAAGTATAAAGTTAACATTTAATGATGGTGAGGTAATCAATAAGACACACGACCAGGTGTATATACTTGAGTTATATTAGTACATACCTCGATATAACATATTTAATTCATTATGATATAAAACACTAACTAAATCAAAGAGATCATCTCTTCCTGATAGAAATATACCAATCAGATTAATACACACATCCTATTCCTTATACTCCTCGCAGTGTTTCGTTTGATTAGAGCTAATCCCACTTAACACTGCTGTAATGGAAGCAAATTTATGTTCCAAATTATGACGGGTCAATAGTCCGATTAACAACCAATAGTTAGATAACTGCATAACAATATCATTACGCTTTAAACAGAGCTCCAAATTGGATCAAATATGTTTACATAACATTACGTCATGACTCACGATGTTATTATTCCCAATTAACCAGTGCATAGCAGAATATTGCAGAAAATCTAATTGCGTGACAAAAAGGCTATCAATTTAACAATACTGTTTGGAGACGAACAATACTTTCACCGCTTTTAATACCTTAAATCACTGTCCAAAGTTTTAGGGAAGACCCCTGATTAAACGAAGGTCTGTCATGTTGCTGTACTTGTGATAGATTTGATTGGACGGGAAGAATAGACATACTCCCTCAAAAGCTCAGGTATCAGAAGCCAATCCAGCAATGGCCAGAGAGGGATTTCTTGGGCCATTGTTAAGGAATATGTCTATTCCTAGTTTGTATCATTTTTAAATTTTATATTTGCTTTTAAAAATTTGGTTTCAGTACTGTGTTTCACCCCACCCCACCCCACCCCAACAAATAAATGTGATTGTGGAATCCCTACCCACATAGAAATTGTTCCAAATGAAACCAAAATTTCAACATTTTCATGAGACTTACCCCTCTATGACCCTTGTGATCTCAATTGTCTAAAGAAACACACTGTATGACAGATGCCCGGCTTCATTAGTCCAGTCGGTGCAGAAAAATGGGGCGTTAAACCCCATTTCATTTCAAATTATGTAAATATTTTTACATCCGAATATGCATATATAAACATTAAAATCACAACTATTACTTACATGTAAACAACAAGGAACTAAATAAGTTTCAATTTCCTTAAAAAATATTGTTTCTGGTAATACTAAACTTCTAAGTAATAGGATAATTGATGTAACATTATACCCATTTTTCTTCCTTAAACTTGATATTAATGATATACTGTATGTTAATTATGCAATATTTAGTCAAGTTTAGATAATCACTTCAAAACTGATTGATCAACCTGATAACTTTTAATCTAAGATATTTTAATTAAAACAAATTTTATCAAATTTATTTAAAATTTCTAATTTGTCATTTCAATGATTGCTAAATATATAATTTCTGACAGTACAAATGACATGTTTCCAGTTTCTATTCATCAGGAAAATGTCAAATCACTTGATAAAATTAAATACAGATACTAAATATGTCAAAACTATCAACTGTGGTTGAATCTTGGTGTGACAGCTGTCTTGTATGTGACAAAAATTGACTTTTTCTTTTATACTAATAAATCAAGAAAAGGACAAAATGAACAAATGAAAATCTGAAAATTACAAAATGCACACAAAAAGGTTTGGATTTGGCTGCAATAAAATTTAAGAAGGGGTACCCATTCACATTGGCTGTGTTCAGAGCAAACTTAGCACAGTTAGGTGTAAATTTTTAAAAGAAAAATTAATTCAAACTGGATGCAGTTGAAGTTACATGTCACTACTAAAAACATGTGTCTTAATATTTTCAAATTTGAGATCACTTACGTCTTTACCATTCAGAAGGCAAGGAAGAAAGAGATGTAATGCCAGGAGATTGCAGGGTTCCCACTGAAAGCAGATTACTGTTCTGACTGCTACAGCTAAATATTCTACTTGAAAAAGAGGATAAATTTTATTGTGCATACCCCTGACAACTTGAAGCTGTCAATTTTAAGCCAACCCTTTCAGATGGTCAAAAGGAAGCCAGGCTGGGAAATAAACCAAAATCCTCGAAGACAGGTAGTGAGTATTTGCCCCACCCTAGTTAGCATTCAGACTT